TGCTTTTCGTCAGGACAAAAGTACCCTGACCTAGCGCTAGCGGCAGTGGACCCCCTACTCTTGCACCGGCGATACGGGCACGCAGGATTCCGCCGAATCGCTACCACTGCAAAGGATCATCAAATTGAACTCGAACACAGGGACACCCTAGAGTGCGAAGCATGCTCGCTAGGCAAGGCCACACGCCTCGTTTCAAGGGACCCAATCCCAAAGACTAATGATCCAACACAGCTCTGGCATGCAGACATCCAAAAGGTGACCCCGATTGGTCATGGCGGATTCAACTACTTTCTACTCATGGTCAACAACGCTACTCGCTTAGTGAGGACGGCCATGCTTAAACACAAAGATGACGCCTCCGACGAGCTGATCAGGATGAATATGGAACACAAGAATATGGTCGGCCGATACGTGGCCACCTGGCACCTAGATGGTGGCCGCGAGTTCAACCGCTTTAGGAAATGGGCGAATCATGCAGAGCGAGGCATTCAAATCAAAATATCACCTCCTCGAACACCCGAAGCCAACGGCCTAGCTGAACGATACGGCGGCTTGCTCAACCGAATGAGCAGGGTCATGATACTAGATGCTGGCCTCCCTGCTCACCTCTGGCCGTACGCTGTACGCCTCTCAGCGCAGATCCTGAATCGCCTCGTCCCCTACCACAGCGCTGTCAGGAAGACCCCCGTGTTCCTATACAGATCCCACTACAACCTCCCGAATCCTAACGCGTCACTAGACTTCCTACGCGTATTCGGATGTCGTGCCTACCAACACATTCCCGCAGGAAGATCGAGTCGCATCCCAGAAAATGGGACCTCGTGCAAAAGTCGGATACTTCGTCGGTTTCGATGGGGGACAACGGACACGTTTACTACGTGTGGGATCCTATATCTGATAAAATTAAACGATCACGAGACGTTAAATTCAACGAAGATCGAACCTACAAGGATGACAAGGAGGATCCCGGTGGAGTTCCTACACGCGAACCTGACCCTAAAGGACCAACACCAGCTGGCCCAGGTGCCGCGCTCAAGTTAGACAACGCGTTCCTGCACCAAACAACCAATATATCANGATAACACGAGGGCCCTGATTGAGCAACCGGACCCTGAAGAAGACGTCATCCGAGGCAGAATCCACACCATATCTGCCTCCGCAGAGCCTCCACCTACACGCTCGATCGAGAATGCCACAGAATACGAGGCATCCTCAACGAAATACGCCGCGCAGGACTACCGCCTGCCGGACCCTACTGAGCCAGAAGAACAACCCATACTGAGGCGCTCCGCAAGGACCACTAAAGGCAAATCATCAACATGGCCAGATTACCAACAACTGGCCACGGTTGACCGGGTGACCCTACCCCACCTCAAACAACACGAAGTGGTCGTTCCGAACACCTACAGCGAAGCGATGAAGTCCCCGCTGGCACCATACTGGAAAGATGCTATGGATACACAGATCGATAAGATACAGAATATGGGCACCTACGAGATCGTGAACCGACCTCCAACCGCTCGCGCAATCCCAGGCAAGTGGGTGTACGACCTCAAGGTCAACACTGACGGATTCGTCACCCAATTCCGTGCTAGATGGGTAGTCTGCGGCAACCGCCAGATACCAGGCATCGATTACGACGAATCGTTCGCTCCTGTCGCCAGCGAAGCGGCCCTGAAGCTATTCATGACGAACGTCGCTATAAAAGATCTTGAATGGGAACAATGTGATATAGTATCTGCTTATCTACACGCGCAGATACAGGGCAAACGCGTGTTCATGAAACAACCTACCGGATACCATGAAGGACCACCGGATCAGGTGTGCCTATTAAAGATGGCCCTCTACGGCCTCCGCCAGGCGGCCCACCTCTGGCACCAAACGTTTGACGAAACACTTAAAAGAATCGGTTTCGAACCACTGAGGGAGGATCCCTGCGTATACAAAAAGGGTGATATCTGGTTGATTATTTATGTTGACGACTCCGCTATCGCTGGCCCCAGGAAGGAAGACCTAGCCGAGGTCAAACAACACCTAAACAAGGCATTTGGCCTGAAGGAAATGGGGGAACCAAAGGTTCTACTAGGATGCAACGTTCAACGTGACTACCAAGCAGGCACGATATCACTATCCCAACCAACGTACGTGGAGGAGTGCCTCAATGCAGCGAACCTAGGATCCTGCACCCCCTCCGCCATTCCGATGACCGTTGCCTACAAAAAGTCAGATCGCTCGAATATGACTACCGAAAACGTCAACCTAGCCGAATATCAAAGCCTTGTAGGGCGTTTGAACTGGCTAACCACAAAGACCCGCCCCGATATACGTCATGCAACGTTTAGACTTCAAAGGCGCATGAACACTCCCACTACGGCCGACGCTAAAGCATTGAAAATTGTATACAGATATCTGAAAAGGTCCATCCCGTACGGGATCACCCTCGCCACTGACCATACCAAAGGCATCGAAGTCTTCGTAGATGCCGCCCACGCTGACCACGAAGACGGCAAATCAACGGAGGGATACGTCATCTTCTACGCTGGCGGCCCAATCAGCTGGTCATCCAGGAAGCAATCGCTAGTTGCACCGTCATCTACGGTAGCAGAATACTGCGCGTTTGACTCCGCCGCCAAAGAAGCCTTGTATATAAAGAAATTGGTTGAAGCGTTTGACCTCAAGGCCTCCGTTGACGGCAGGATACCCTTGTACACCGACGCCGCCAACTCCCTACGGATCCTGAACCACGGAGGCTACACCAGGTCCACTAGATGGCTCGATAATCGTTACCTATTCGTAGCCGATCTGATCACGAAGAACGCTATCACCATTCAACACATCCCAGGGACCACCAACCCGGCGGACGGCCTCACCAAGCCGCTTGATAACGAATCGTTCAAAGCGTTCAGGCACCTCCTCGGAATGACCCCCATCTCCTCCCCGAACCTGCATCCAGGGAACACCGGTTGAGATAGCCGTTCCTTCCTATCTAGGCAATGCCTAGAGCCTCGTTACGAACGCTCCCTCGCCTAGGGGGCCGTGTTGGAACGTAATCTCAGTAGATTACTAGTAGTCGAGGTCACGTGACCCGAACTCCGTAACTTCAACTGCTCCTCCGAGCGCGCCTAGATAGCGAAGAATCAAGCGTTTTCAACGACTTCAGTATTGACCTAAAACGTCGTTTCAACATATTATTATAAAAAATTTTAAATAAAAATATAATAACATAATATCTGCTTACCTACACGCGCAGATACAGGAAAAACGCGTATTTATAAAATAATTTATAAAATATTATAAAGAACTACTAGATTAAATCTATCTTTTAAAATTAATTCTTTATAATTTCTGCCAGACAGTTTATCTTTGATATTAAATATTTAATAAAATATTAAAAAAAATCAGTTTTAAACTACTGAAGAAAAACCCCTGCGTTTATAAAAAAAAATAATATTTAATTAATTATTTATATTAATAATTTTATTATTACTGGCTTCAGAAAGAAAGACACAGCCGAAGTTAAATAATATTTAAATAAAATATTTAATTTAAAAAAAATAAGAGAATTAAAGATTCTACTAAAATATAATATTTAATATAATTACTAAGTAAGCACGATATTACTATTCTAATTAATATATATAAAAAAATATTTTAAAATAATAAATCTAGAATCTTATATTTTCTCTACTATTTTAATAATTATTATCTACAAAAAATCAGATTACTCAAATATAACTATTAAAAACATTAATCTAGCCAAATATCAAAATTTTATAAAATATTTAAATTGGTTGACTACAAAAACCCGTCTTAATATATATTATATAATATTTAAACTTCAAAGATGCATGAATACTTCTATTATAATTAATATTAAAATATTAAAAATTATATATAAATATCTGAAAAAGTTTATTCCGTACGGGATTACTTTTATTATTAATTATATTAAAAATATTAAAATTTTTATAGATACCGCCCACGCTGACCACGAGAATAATAAATTAATGAAGAAATATATTATCTTCTATACTAATAGTTTAATTAACTAGTTATCCAGAAAGCAATTACTAATTATACTATTATTTATAATAGTAGAATATTATGTATTTAACTCCACTGCTAAAGAAGCCTTATATATAAAAAAATTAATTAAAATATTTAATCTTAAGATCTCTGATAATAATAGAATATCTTTGTATACTAATATTACTAATTCTCTACAGATCTTGAACTACGGAGGCTATACCAAGTTTATTAAATAATTTAATAATTATTATTTATTTATAGCTGATTTAATTATAAAAAATATTATCACCATTTAACACATTTTAGAAATTATTAATCCGGCAGACAGTTTTACTAAACTACTTAATAATAAATTATTTAAAATATTTAGATATTTTTTTAAAATAACTTCCATCTTCTTTCCGGTGTTGTATCTAGGAAATACTAGCTGAGATAATTACTTTTTTTTATTTAAATAATAGCTAGAATTTTATTACAAACGCTCCCTTGCCTAGGAGGCCGTATTAGAATATAATCTTAGTAGATTACTAATAGTCAAGATTATATAATCTGTAAATTCTGTAATCTCAACTGCTTCTTCCGAGCGCGCCTAGATAGAAGAATCAAGCATTTATTACGACTTCAATATTGACCTAAAACGTCGTTTCAACAGATTATTATCACCATCAAACACGCTGTAAATTGCAGTTGATTACAAGAAGATCAGGTGACCTGTCTGTTCAGTCATCAGATCTCGAATACGTTACGCGAGTTAGCTACACCGAGTCAGTTATCTTTCCGTGACTCTCTACCGAGGCAGAGTAAATAAAATCCTTCCATAATCCGTCCTGAACGCTATCGTATCGTCAGGCGGCTCTTGCTTTCCTCGCTTAAGGCGCGCGGGTGGCGATGCTCTATGGGGCAAAAAAAGTGGCACTCTGTTGTGGAAATGGTAGCTGAAAAGGTAACAGCTGCAGGGAGATACCAACCCATGTGTTATGCTTGGGAACTGCTGTACAGAGTAAAGTCGGAAGAACCACTAAGGAAACATGAGTGTGTGGGGACTACAAGTGGATACTACTTTGTGTCATGCCAAAAACCATTGGTCGGTTCGTGTAGCCTTTCATTCAGCCGCATATCAAGCTTCATCTGCCCAACCCGACAGTGTGCCAGTGCGCCCCTTCATTCCCTCCGTCCCTAAATACTCACCAATCACACACGCGCTGTGTCGTAAGCCCTCAATGTCTTTTGGGGCCAAAAACAAGGGAAACACGTCAATTTGAGGCCGAATTTCTGTTGAAATGATGTTTTAGGTTGATATTAAAGTTGTAAGAATTACTTGCCTCTGGCTATTTAGGTGTGCTCGAAAGGAGTGGATTAGATTAAAGAGTTTTCAGGTTATCTGATCTTGACTACTAGTATTCTACTGGTATTATGTTCCAACAATTTCTCCACTATCTGTATTGAGTCAGCGAAAGCATACAAGAGGCTGACAGGGATGAGTATAAAGTAACTCAATTCCCACATGCCATAAGCTTCTTAGACTCTCTCCCTTCGGTGTCAGTTATATCTCATTCTTTTAAATTTACTGAACATGGAAACCTTGCGGGGCGCTATTTATGGCTTCCCCCGACCCCCACCACGCATCCGCACCAAGCCACTCCAAGTGATCTGTGTAGGCCTACCACGGTCAGGAACCGAAAGTCTCAGCCGCGCGCTCACCCAACTGGGCTTCAAAACCTACCACGGCTGGGACATAGTCTTCGACGAACCGCCATATGCCCAGGGCTGGGCGCAGCTATCCGAGCGAAAATATTCTGGCACGCAAGGGGCAGGCACTGCCCCAATCAGTCGCGATGAGTTCGATGCCCTGCTGGGGCATTGTGATGCAGTGGTGGACACGGCAGCCGCCATGTTCAGCGTGGAAATGATCCAGGCGTATCCAGAGGCCAAGGTGATTTTGAATACGCGGCAGGACGTAGATGCCTGGCACCGCAGCGCCATGAAGACATTAGTTGCAGAGGGTGAAGACCAGTGGATGGTATGGTTTTTGCACATCTTCACGGCGGATATGTACTGGCTGTGGAGATTGTATTATACGTTCGGGTATCCCGGCATGTTTCGTGGGCGGACGACCAAGGAGGGGCTTACGAAACATGGGAAGCGGGTATATCAGGAGCATGGGTTGATGATTCGAGGGTTGGTGCCGGAGGAGAGGCTTCTGGAATGGGATGTTGAAGATGGATGGGGTCCTTTGTGTGAGGTAAGTCAAGCTTGGGGGTGTTGATGCTTGGAAGAGTGTCACGGTTGACGTTGTGGACTACAGTTTCTGGGCAAAGATATCCCCGATGAGCCGTTCCCAAACACGAATAATCCGGCAGCTTTTCGGAAGCATATCGAAGATCTGGTGCATCCGAGAGCTAAACAGAGTCTGTATAATTTTGCATGCTGTGCTACTTCAGCGGGCGTGTTGGTAACTGCTATTGTGTTGGGGGTGAAGAAGAGACAACTATGGCAAATGTTGATCTCGGAGATACCGGTAGTTATGGGGCAATGCTTGGAATCATTATCACGTTCCAAGTAGTTAGTTAGGTGCAGGTGCAGGTTAAAAGGGCCTCTCTTATGACTGCGAAGCCAAGATGAAAAATAGAAAAAAAAAGATTAGTTCCCCCGAACCAGAATCGAACTGGTGACTTTTCGGTTACAATCATACCCATTACAGCCGAACGCCATGAACCAACTAGACCATCGGGGGTCTTTGATGGAGGAGGAGTCAGGGTTTTGACTACATATCCCTTTCGCTGTAACTACACCAACTTGGCATCTAGAGTTACCGCAATTGGGTTATATAGTCGAGTCGTTTAACTGTCCTCCCCAGTTATAGCCACAAATCTGAAAACCTTGTGTGCCCATATACAGGATGACCTGGAGGATTCTCGATTACTACTGTCGATTTTCAGGTGGACCATGCAATGTTGTTGTACCGAGTTCCTGTTAAAACTTTCTCAGCCACTGCTATATATATCAGATCGCGGATGGATGATGGCGATACCAATGCAGCACCGTCTGCCCGACTGCGCTGTAAAATATGTCAGATGGTGATAATATATCTATGAACAATACTAGCACCAGTATCTGTGTGCGTTAGTTCAATACAAGTGAGCTAGGCAGAGAAACTCTGCTATGTGCACTTTGAAGGGTAGCAAAGGAAAAAAGGAGCGTACTTGAAAGATACCGGGCCGGCTATTCAATCATGTTCAGACCAACAGTGCCCCGAGCAGTGATGATTTACTTCGAGAAAGTAGGGAAATAATCTACGCGCAATTTTGGCTAGACCCAGCACCGTCTCTCTTCCTTTTCTATCGTATGCGAACGAAAACGTTAATCCTGAAATGATATGGAAGTACTGACAATGAAAAGAAAAGATACTCTCTTGTAAAATGCATTGTCTTGAAAGACGGTGAATTTCTAAGCCCATAACAAGTATCACCATCCACCTCCGACACACCAACAGCAAACCCAGAATGTTAACTCCTTCGAATCCCATTCTGCACGAAAGGCTTCATACTAGAAAAGGCATATCTAGCAATGAGCCACTTTCCATTATTCCTTCTCAAGATGAACAATTCCTGATTCGCATGTGACTCAGACTCCTGGGTGGCAAGTATCGTCTTCGTTCCCTCAGCCGTCGTCCTGGCGAAAGCCCACTCCGGAGACATGATAACTATCTCCTCAATCTGGAAATTGATAACGAGCTGGATGGTTGCAAAGATTCGTGTATATGAGTCGCGTAGAGCCTCTGTCCCTGTACTGGCCGAGAAATGCGGCGGCATGATGACTCCATCTTCTGTGTAAAGGGCAACTGCTTCGTCCACATTCCGGCTTTTCAGAGCTTCGCCGTAAGCATGGAGGAGGGTAGAGATTTCTTCGGTGTCGGTGGAAGGCACTGCAATTGAGTCAGACTTTGCCGTATAAAGGACTTGTATCCATCATGGGTGCACCTACTGATGAGTTGCCGATTCCTGGGGTATCGGGAAAGGGCTTGAAGGCCGAGTTCTTTCGAATGACTGTCTGATGACGCCAGTCAATCAAGTTACAAGTACCCTGATAGCGTTAATGACTGACTGCCTGGCATTATATACGGCCTTCCTGTCCAAGAATGGGTACCCCCACCTATCAAGGTGGGGGTGTGAAATCTCATGAAGTATAGATTCAAGTCTCGCTGCAAGAGCTACCTGGGTCTCGTTGAAGATGCGCATGGTTGCAGATGATGTGTTAAGCAAGGCACAAATCATAACTGGGTGTGCTTGGAGATGGTGGAATCTCGGTCATCCTGGGGTCAAGCTACACAGTACCTCCGACCGGTAATCTAGTGCGGGAGTACGTATTACAGTCTTGTTGGTGGTATGTCAGTTAGCTTTACGACTAAGGTACTCAATAAGAAGCCTTGCTGATGGGATAGTGTATAGCTGGTATGACCCACAATCTCCAGTGATAAGATTCGGCGGGTCTAGTGACTTGGTGGGCTACAGAATATCTGCCTGCCACGCGCATTGTCGCTCCACCTCACCCGCAAAACTTGGAATGCTGCCCCCAAGAGAAATTTATGAAGTACGCCATGAGGCTAGCGACACAAATGCCGTACGGTACGAATGGTCCGAACTCGGTAGTATAAGCTCAGAGCAGTGTCCACAGAATATCAAGAGTGGGGTGCCTTTGCTTGTTGGTCAGCCAGCGGAAACTCATGTAGAAACTTAACCACAAAGCTCAGATTCAGACAATTACCAGCTCCCAATCTTTCTATGGCATTTACACCTCTTCTAAGCTTCATAACACGCCACTTGGGCATCAATAGCCCCCGCACCGGTTAACAGAATGTGGTTGCCCAATGTTATCCAATAGAGCATCAAATCAAGACGATTCTTGTACAACCTGTTGAGAGCCACATCTGGTAGATCTGCAACTTGAAAGGTAGGAAGTAAGTACTGGAGTACTGCATTATGACGGGTCGTTCAGGACTTCCCCGATTTGCTCACCCGTCGGTAAGACCACGGGCTATTTTTGGGCGTCACTATCAACCTCAGCGCATGGTTTCGGATTATCAGCCATGGGGACACACAGGAGCCTTACGAGTAGTCGATATCATTCCCAGGCCCAGGCCCATCACCTTTCGTCTCTGGCCATTGACGTTCAGGAGCACATATCTAAAACCGTCTTTTTCACGGAAAACCCGAAAAACAGCAGCAAACAAGTAATGTATACCACTGTAGAGTACAAATCCCGTCCCGGTTATACTTTCAGTTGACGACGGAATTAGCCTGCTTCTCTAGGGACATGGAAGACATCATTTCCTAGGCCACCCTGACCGGGCACAAGTCCACTTGCGTTGGCCTCTAAGACAAGTTTAGTCCATGAGCAGGATGTCGTGTCTTCCGACACTTCGAAACCCCAACTATCACGGTCCACATTGTTTTCAATGCCATAGGCAAATTTTTATGGTACCTTCGCTTTCCGCTCGGTTGGACTGCCGTGCCGTGGCCAGGTGTTAACTGTCTCTGTGCCTTGAGGAATCTCCGGACCATTGCAATTGATGAATCGATATCCGACGGCTATTTAGTTTAGTCACTTGGCCGTGTGAATGAACTCCGTTCGTAGATATATCACCTGAACCAGTAGTACCGTAGTCCACGGAAATAACAATTTTGGGGCCTTGCATGGTGAGCTTGGAGATGGTTGTTGAACTGAGAGGTGAGAATGTCACTTAGGTATAGGATAGCAATATCACGCTCGGGTTCGGAAAAACTTCGGCCATGAATTCTCTAGAGCGAAAGATCTTTCACAAGAGGCAGGGATGACACTATCCCAGCGATGCTTTACTTTCCTGAACCCTAATGTCCTTCCTAATTTGACTGGATGGTTCACTGGGACGGTAACAAGCTTTGAAGCGGCGATGGCTCTTCTTGTTTATTATTACCTTTGTTTGTTCCGTGCTTCCTTTCTCCTGTTGCGAACGCAGCTTTCGGGTGATCACTGTTCGCACCAGTCCGAACGCCAGAGGGAGCACTGCCCAGATTTAGACTTGGGCAGAGAAAGTGATGAAGCCTTGAAAGCAAATCATGCGAAAAAACCAGTACCGAAAATTATGTCTTTTGTCCATTTTTCGTCTTATTTTTGTGGATCAAAGATCCCGCCAGTTTATGTAATGTGTACTAGCCTAGCTTTGTTTTGTGGTGATTGGTAACTTACTCTGCATGGTACTTTCTCAGGGGTCTGAGGGTGTATGTTGAAAGAATGGTGTGTGTGTGTGTGTGTGTGTAAACCAGATCTACGGCTACGGCAGCTTTGCCACGCCTAAGAGCAATTGGCTCCCGCAGAGGATGCTGGTAAGGCCATACCTCGCTCTACAATAAAGGAGACGGACAAAGAACCCTTTCAACCTACCAAAAGACCTGACTCATCTCTACCCCCCTCTTACCTTCTCCTACTGATAACTTGAAATAACTTTTCTCTTCCAAATTTCTGGCCACTTTACCTCCTGGCAGCAGCTCGTTTACCTTCTTTCACCATGCCGAAGAAACAGTCAACATCCTCTAAAATGGAAACGATAGCAAAGGTTTGGCTCTCCATCCAGTTTGCCCCTGCCCAATCTAACACGTCGGGCTACTATTGCGGTATCTAGAACGATGCTCCAGCTAGCCACCAGTCTACCTCCGGACGCAAAGAAAACAGAGAGCCCCGCGCAAGGACCCGAAGCAGCAGCCCAGTTCGAAGCGAAAAGACGGAATCAACTACATTGTTACCAGGCGTAAAACCGGTATCGGAGATTGTGGAACAAACTCAGGATCCAGAAAAAGAGACATTGATACTGCCGGAAAAGGGCCCAACTCCACAGATCACCGTTGAGGATTTCAATAACAAATACGTGGAAAGGAGCCTCAACTTTTACGATTTACACAGTACCCGAGCCATCGACTATGAGCAGACGTATCCGAGACGGTGGCCAGAAGAGATTCAGCACGCCTTTGGCATGGCTCTTGACTGGGCACGTAATTACGCCGAACGTAAACATGCCAATCTTTCCATGGAGCAGAAGAGAGACCTTGTCTCTAGCCTTGATGGATACTGCATCCAGAATAACTTCGATACCATCGTATCTAGTCTTCCCCGAAGCTTGCATAATATGTGTCTAACACAATTGGTCTATCTTTTGCTTGTCAAAGAATGCATTTCCAGGTTTTTTACGAATCCTTTCTGGTACCTCGTTCCGGATCCTGAGCGTGGGGGCGATGCGGACGATAAGGGGAAGTTGCCAACAAACGCACCGGTATTTGGAGCACAGATATTCAATCTTTATGAGAGAATGCGCGAATGTAAGGAAACTTAGGTACCCCTTTCAGATCCTGAGCTTTGCCACTCATAGCTGATCTTTCCATTAGCTGATCCAGCGGCTGCCCAACTTTGGCGCTTATGGACCACTCGTTTTTCTCACCCAGATCACAAATTCGGATATGACATGATCGCTCATCGAGACTCCGTGGCTGACAGAATATGCGAGGAGATCTTGGGTCAAGAGCCAGTAAAATCGCTCCTCAGAAGTACTGATAAAAGTGTTCTGGATAGAGCCCGTATCGACCTGCAAAAGTTCTTCAGGCCAGCCGCTGAACTCTCGGTGAAAATTTCATGCCAACTTCAGTATTTGGAATTTAGATTTCTCAATACCCTAGATCCTGTCTTTCATCACCCTTCGGCGGAGATAGATTTGGCCGAGGATTACGGAGGCGCTACGAAGGAACCTTGTTTTGATGGCCGCCGTATCCTCTTCTTGGAGTTTCCTGCCATGTATGTTTGCGGAGATTCTAGGGATCCCTTTTATAGAGGTGTCCAAAGGAAAGCTGTTGTTTATGTTGAGGATGTGGTCAGAAATAGTTAGATTAGCTCTTGCTTGACCACTGGTTTATGTTGTTTTCTTAACCAGTCCCGTGGTCGCGGTCTGTTCGGGGTTTCTACTCTTTTTGTTATGTTTCTGTTTACCCGGGGTAGACAAAGGGTGAAGAAAAGTAGAAAATATGTCATATTGGGGTCTACTCGGCCTAGATAGTACTAGTTATTTGATATTTGTTACTCAAGAATATGATTGGCAGCATTTTCCTGCACGGACTTAGTATTGCAGCTATTTATAGTGTGGCCTGTAACGGCACCGGGTCTGGCAGATATAGGCAACTACCATTGTCCTGTGACAAAGGAAAAGTATAAAGGAGCTATGCAGCTCATCTTTTCACTGCGAGTCCGGTGACATATAATACTGACTCTTTTTCTATCATATCGGCCTTGGATTGAAGAATTTAGGTAAACCTGAATATTGCTTTATTCCTTACCAAAATCTTTGCTGCTTCCCCTTTCCGCATCATCTCAGGCCCCTTCCTTCCTCCATGGCGGGTAAACAGTTGAGAGCCTCTGCCAAGAGCAAGAAGGTAGGTAAGATGAAAAAATACATCTATTATATTCACCTCTTAGTTGGAGTCCGGCCACACCAACACACATTGCTGATATGTTCTCTAGAAAGCCCCAGATTCGCCCCCCTCGACATCCAGACCAAAGGACATCATGAAAGTCCCCAACAAAAGCCAAAAGCTCCAGCCCGGGCCGCAATAAGAATAGAGGTTCAGCTAAACCGTTGACAAATGCTAATCGAGACTCGATTGCTGCAGAGCGAGTTCGGGCCCTGGAGGAAGAAACCAAGACTCTGAAAGAACGATACAAGGCTCTGAAGACCGTCTTCTTCGAGGATAACAACAACATGTACGCCGACCGATACCTCAAGGCAGATAATGAAGTAAAGAGGCGAGAGGTCCAATAGACGTCATGCGTTCCGCACCAATGGTCGGATGCTATCGACGATGTCTTTATCTCCGCCGAAAACTGGGCAGGCAATCACATCAATGATGACACTAGTAGGCTCTCCCCTCAGCAGAAGAAGGAGCTTATTTCTCGACTAGACGGTTACTGCGTACAGGATGAGTTTGATGTCATTGCCTCCAGTCTCCCCAAAATTCCACGTGACGTCTCTCTAGAAACAATGGTGAAGCTTCTTCTTGTCAAAGAGTGCATTTCCCGATTCTTCACGAATCCCTTTTGGTATCTTGTCCCGAATCCTGGTACTAAAGAGAACCCGAAGATGGATACAACTGGCTTTGGAGCCCAGGTCTTTGCTCTTTATGAGAATATTCGCGCCTGTGATACATCCCCTCTAAAATACATAGCAGGAACTGATATGTGACTATAGCTGACCCATCTGCTGCCCACCCCTGGAGGTTATGGACGACCCGTTTTTCCAACCCAAGCGACGAGTTCGGCAAAGCTATGGTCGCTCAACGAAAGCGTATTGTCGATAAGATATGTGAGGATTTCTTGGATCAAGACCTGCTGAAGTTCCTTCTAAAGAATTCCGAGGAATCTGCTTTCCATGATGCCCTTGTTCACTTGCAGAAGTGCTTCAACGATGCCGCACAGACCTCTGTGATACTCGCATCGCATCTCAAATATCTAGAGCTGGAAACATTTCCCAGAATAGGTAGCGCGTATTCCTCAGACAAAACGAAGCTGGCTCATTACTATGATCCGGAATAGAGGGAACACCAACTTGAAGGTAGTCGCATTCTTTTCATTGATTTCCCTGCTGTTTATATTTGTGATGGTCGTAAGGATTCATCTTGCCGGACGCTTGGCCACCCAGCCGTTGTCTATGTTGAGGATAATGATGAGGATAGTGATGAGGATAGTGATGAGGATAGTGATGAGGATAGTGATGAGGATAGTGATGAGGATAGTGATGAGGATAGTGATGAGGATAGTGATGAGGATAATGATGTGGATGATTCCAACAGCTCTTGATTCGCGACTGGCAGTGGGAATTTGCCAACATTCTTCATCATATCTCTTGTGTTTCCTTCAATTCATCCCCGCTTATTTGCTTCACGCTTTATTTCTATTTTGTTTTGGGTTGTCTCTACTTGTTGATTATTACTTGATTAGATTGCCTGATTCGACTTCTGGGCACGTGTACTGGACGTAGTTGTTCTGGCAGGGGACAGGCCTAATAGGGCGGGTAGCTTGACCTATGCTTGTCAACAATTCTAGAGGGAGAACATCGCCGCAGTCCATAGTGGTCTAGGATGCAATATTATCTCAAGTTTGGATTGACCACCCCCCCCCCTTTTTTCTTTTTTTTTTGGGCAAAAGAGTTCTTTTCTTAGCTTGCTGCAGATGTTATATCCCTGGACCTTAGATCATCTGGTACCCGTAGTTTCTTCGGCTTCAAGTCCTTGTCTTTGTCTAGAGCATTGTGACAAAGTCATCAAGTCAGGATCCACGTAGCTTTTCTTCCATTGCTAGCCCCTTCAAAATATCGGTCCTTTCATCGAGACTGACCATCCACATCGTCTCCATGCCGTCTATTCAGGCCATCTGCATCAACCCTTCGACGTTCAATACCGGCTTGATCTCCGGCTGGGCACAACTTGTGGGTGTATAACTCAGCAAAGGGTATGGTTAGTTAATATATCTCTAAGCACTGTGCGTGCCCCTCAAAACGATAGCAGTAGTCGATGGACTTATTCGTATGGAGATCATAATATCCGACAGAAGTAGCGTACGATCTATCCAGTTAGTGTATGAGCTAACTGAGAGATGCCTGCAGTCAGCCCCACGGGGATTCCCGTTTCAGGACAAGTGCTGATAGTCGGTCGCTTCTCCCTGACAGGGTATATAGGTCAACTACGTGTTGTTTACAGCGCTCAAACCCAGCACACTCTACTACTTTCCGTCCCCACAAATCACCCATCGTAATGTCGAGCGAAAACTTCAACGTCACGGAGCATGCCGTTCCCGGCTGCCACATTCGAGAATATCCGGGAAGCACTGTTCATCAGGAAGACATATTGAATCTCCATGTCAAGCAGTATACTCCCAAGAACCAGGCCGAACCCGTTCCCGCCGACGCCATCACTATCATCGCTGCTCATGGGGCTGCACTTCCCAAGGTAACACGGTCTTCCTCACCCAGGTTTCTTTCCAACGCATGAATGTGATTCAACTGATGGGAGATATAGGAGTTGTATGAGCCGCTGTGGGATGAGTTGCTGAACCAAGCCACTGGCTTTCATATTCGCAGCATCTGGGTGGCCGACTGTGCCAGTATGAATACCAGCGGGGTCTTAAATGAAGATAAACTCAGCATGGACTGTATGTTAAATCCCCAACCATCATGACTTCCTAGACCATATCAATGCTAACTACAATCATCTTTTCTCCACGCCTAGGTTCTTGGATGGATCATGCGCGGGACCTGTTCCTGATGATCAACCATTTCCGCGACCAGATGCCCCGTCCGCTCGTGGGGATCGGTCACAGCATGGGCGGCAACATAATGTGCGTGCTTGAAATGAACACTTCAACGCTTAGCAATACCAGCAGCAGCGAGCACTGACCATCCCTTTCAGCACGAACCTGGCCTTTCTCCATCCGCGCTTATTCACAACCATTCTCCTCGTGGACCCCGTCATCCAGCTAAGCCCGCCAGCTATGGGCTTCGGCACCGACCCTCCGGGAGCACCGAACTACACTCTCCGTCGCTCGGACGTATGGCCCAGCCGCGAGGCAGCCGTACAAGCCAACCGCAAGTTTATGCACGGATGGGATCCCCGATGTGTGGAATTGATGGCGGAGCACGGCTTCTGGGAATTACCGACGCGGCTGTACCCGGACGTCGAGGCGGTGAAGGCGAAGTTTGGCACCACCACCAACAACACCACTCCAGTCACTCTGACCACCACCAAACATCAAGACCTCCTCGGTCAGATCCGACAGAACTTCAGCGCCCGCAATCCGACCACCGGGGTGATTGAGATCCCTCGCGACACCCATGCCGACCTGGACCCCGCGGCTGCCTTTATTCCCCTCTACCGTCCCGAGCCCCGCAGTACCTTTTTCCGCCTCCCCACTCTCCGCCCCTCCTGCCTCTGGGTCGTGGGCGGATCGACCTATCTGAATCTCGATGAGATGCGCCTTGCCATTCAGCGGTGTGGGACCGGGGTCGGTGGGAGTGGGGGACTGTCTGAGGGGAGGGTCAAAGAGGTTACATTACCTGGGTTGGGCCATCTGATGCCGTTTCAGGAGGTCAAGGCCGTGGTGGACCCGTGTGCGGCTTGGTTGCGGCAGGAAATGGATCGATTCCGTCGCGTGGAGCGGGAGTGGGAGGAGGCGCAGAAGGGGAAGAGTCATCTGGTCGTTGAGGAGAATTGGTATAAAGTCTTGAAGCCGGTGAATGCTCGTCGTGGTAAGGGCGGGCCTAGTGCGAAGCTGTCATGAGGATACAGTGTCTATAATGGTCATACTTTAGGGCATCTTCAGCTTGTACATGCACTCTGTGCATGATGGCTTTTACTTGAAGGAAATGGTGGCAGCTCTGTGGAAGTTGTAATGTCGATGCGTGCCGGTCTATATGATGGACGTCATACTAACCCTATTTCACTGTCATTCAACTAGGTCCACGTAGTCTATCAATTGATATAATCAAAATCGCTCATTCGGAAATTAAACGCTAATCTCACTAACAATCAAGTACACAAAGAATAATGGATAGGAGATAGAAGAGAAGGCAGTGAATTGGTAGCTGTACACCTTGTTTCACTCGTGGTAGAAGACATCTCCCTCCCGCAGCGCTTGCTTCTCATCAATACTAAACTCAACGGCAAGAGAGGTGGCCAAAGCTTGCTATATACCATTTCAGCATTACCAGGTCAAAAACATCAAGTAAAGAATACACTTACGGCAACTGTATGACCGAGAGCCTCTCTAGTCCTCGGTTCCCAACCATCCATGAATCGCTCGTCCACGAGCCAGACTCGTAGTGCCTCGATATCCCCGCCAAAGATTGAATACATGAGGGCACTGGTTCCGGATCCTGTGATATCTCAATTAGCATACTGGCATACTCATCCTAAGGGAGACGCTACCGCCACACCAGGAGAAACATACCGATCATCTTGTGGATAAAACTCCCCGATAGTGTGTACTGGCCATTATTTCGCTTACACTCTGCGCGGCGAAGACCAGAATAGTAGGAAAAGTCGGTCAGCGAGAGGTGTTTCCCATCCGACGCGTGGTCAAGTAATCTATTGATGAGGCCGGTGTGCGGGATGCTTTGGTCCGGGCAGAATGCAATATCAGGACGGGTAAATGAGGCATCATGTTGGACAACCTGAATTCAATAAATCAATACCTGCTTCAAGTGCTCGCCCAAAAGAGATACTTGGCAGCGAGAATAAACAGAAACTTCAGGGTGGCGGTAGCGCCTCCCAAACTTTAAGCGAGATTCTTGAATATACGCACGTTTAAGACGTTGAGATCATGCAGGTCAATCCAGCCCCGACCTTGATCCAGCTGCTTGGCTGCAGATGTAAGTTGACTTGCTAGGGTTGGTGCAAGGTTGTATGCATGTTGTATCGCGTGCGATAATTGTGCGTAGGTAATACGTTTGCCATTGTTCGGCAGGATCCCTTTGGTATGTTAACCGTAAACGGATCTATCGAAGAACAGGCTTACGTACCGTGATTAGCTAACGCGTTAAGCCTATGAGAGAATTGGAGTCAACATTTACTCTTCAGAGAAAGGAAAAGTGAGAACTACCCTGGACAAGGCGAGCGAGAATCCTCTCCTCGCTTAGGGGCCGTGTATTCTGGCCAAGTCCCTCCATGTCCTGGATATCCACGAGGTATAACGTTCCCGACTGGACGATTAGGGCGAAAAGGGTTCGTGGCCTGATGAACTCCAGATAAGTTGAAAGCTCTTACAATGGGAATGGGGGCTCAAAACGCACAGTCAAAATCAAGTCACGAATGGTGAGTTGTACAACATAGGCACTGAATGAGACAAGATCAAAAACAGCCTTGATGAACCGCAGCACAATATTCGCGGTGATCTTGAAGTAGTTCAGCATTGTGGATTATGGCTAGGATCGACAGAGAACAAAGACATAGTAAGATCGTGTTATAGAGCTTCAACGCTTGATACAACAAAGGCAGGATGCCCAGGGTATATGTAGCTTACAGAATTAGGATCTGCTTGCTTTGTTTTCACGTTGCACAGCAGCCCCTGACGAACCGCCACAAGGCGTCACCTGCATCAGCGATCGGTAAGGGTCGCATGAGTAAATATCTCGCAGTGCTAGCTCAGCCTTAGTATCTTACCGGTGTCGATTGAATTGGATCTGCCTAGGTACCAACATTCCCAGCCCGAGCTTTTGCTTAACAAAGCAAAGCATATGCGATAGGCTTACTGCCTATTTCTTTCGCTGTCCAGGATCCAGTTTTTTTCTGCTAATTATGGAAGTCAGCGATCGGATACGACCGATGCTCAGGTGGAGAATATGCCCCATCGATGACCTGGGCAGGTGATGCATGGAGTTAGCGGGATAATACACGGTGATCGCGGCCACGATCGAAGCTAACGGGGATGCATGCTGCAAAGCCTAAGCTAGACCTCTCTGATCTTTCTTCAGCCACTCACTACTCCCGTAGTCCACTTTCGTTTTGCAATACGAGATGTGCGCCCCCTATTTTTAATCAACTCGACATAATTGGCACAGCTACATACCATAAGTCTCAATTTACCCTTGAAAGAACTAACATTATAAAGCTCAGGACTATTATGCGTCCGTTGCTCGAATTACTAGCAAGCAAAGACCCATCTTGCCCATCTTCAGTATTATAGTGGCTTTTAGCCCTACATCGCAGCCCCTCCATCGGTCACCTGTGCATCAGCCACTCAGCCATATTGTACTTGCGAGAGAACATATCATATGCCGACACCCACTGAACTCCGGTATACGACTCGTCAGATATGACATCACTCTTCTATTCAGTCAGTGGGGGTTCAACAGATTCGTGGACGCATCGATGATGTGCAACCAATCAGAAGACATGGCCCTGCAGAAAGGGCTGAGTGCTTGCAGAATCTGAAATGAGGCAGGGGTGTGGCAAGGTCTGACTGGACAATGCAGAAAAAGAAATATCGAGTCAGGAGGGCTGAAAAATGTGTGCTGACTTCGGCACCCACTACTACTAACTAACTAACTGGGGCAAGGTAGCGGCCAATAGTCGCTTACGTTATGCAACTCAGTAGAAGTAGATGACAAATGTATTCTACTACGCCTAGCTTACATACTTCTGTCTCAAATCAAGAGGAAAGAAACAGGGTTGTAAATACAATCAGTGTTAGTGTCCGCTACCGTTCGCTCGGTTAGACGGAAATTCATCGCTGCTGCGGGTGCGAAATCAAGCCCATCCATCTCTGCCGATGCAGTTGATTGTGTTAAACTATAATTATACCCAAATCAGAGAAGGCAGCAGCATATTGTAAATACTGCTGAAGACAGCTACAAGACATATATTACACCAAACCTGTGAAATATGCCGGTATCCCATCGTCTGCGACATTCATGCTTCACTCAGTAAACGATGCCCCGGATATCCAGCGCACCATCATATCCAACGCGATATCAGGTCTATCTTGAGGAAGCTGTAAAAGTTGTAATAGACCATTAGTAATCCGCATACTTGGATCCCACAAGGCGAAAGGGATACTCACAAAATGTCCCGCCCCATCAACCGTAACTAGCGCAAACCTCGACTCCTTATCCGTACTCTCACTAACCTTCACTCTCACCTCCTTCGTCGTTCCAGCCACTCCACCTTTTCCAGATACCACATCTACCCAACTCCATGGCCGCAGCGCCTTCGACGCGAACTCGACCTGACCTCTCCATGGCAGAGAATGCGCCCAGCGCAGATTACCCGCCGTATTACACGCCAGATCGAGATTGCCCTGATACGCCAGGAAATGTACCTGATTCGCAAGCAGGAACGCGACTTGCTCAGACGCTGGCGTCATCGTGTCTGAAGTGAGATCGAATGCGCGCGACACATTGTCGGAAGTAACCTTGTATTCTTTGATTTCTTTGGGTGGTGATAGAGCAGCCCAAACTGCGGGTGTGTTCAGGTACTGCTCGATGCGAGCGGCCTCGATGTAGCATATGCCGTCAAGGGCGCAGGGAGCGGTTACTGTTTCATATCAGTAAATTGCAGAGATTTGCTGACAGGGGACAACTGGATGGGGCAAAGCTCACTATCAAACCTATTCCGACCACCTTCACCAGACTCGTCATCATACCATCCGATCACGCCCTCGTAGCATACCTCCGACGCAGCATGGCAGATAGCTGGATCGGGGTTCCGAACACATACGTCGGATACTTCCATGCATCGCGGCATATTGGCCGCCATGATGTCGCATCTGGTTCGGTTGAAGACGGGCTCGGGGACTCCAGGGTTAGTGGTGCAGAGGGTTTCCCAGTAGCCGTAGGTAGTGTCGCGAGGAGAATAGTAGCCGTTGCCTACGAGACATGAGTGCAGAAGGACCTGGGGCTCAGTGGGATAGAGCTTGTTCTGTTGGACGATCTGACTGCCGAGGTAAGGGACATAGTGACCCTGTGGAAGTTAGTCTTAGCTCAGGTGACCTAGAGAAGATACATACAGCATACGATTCACCAGAAAGATGAACGGGAAGAGTCTGCAATTGCGGGAAAACCTCCGAGACAAACAACTGCAAGAACCGATGCATGTCAATTGCAGCTTGATGCGAATCGCCCGGCAGGTCCTCTCCTTCATCGACGTACGAAAATCCCACATCGACTGGCTGATCGACAAATAGTAGGGAGGAGTTCCGGGACCAGCCCCACGGATTGTAGTAAGTGCCATTGCCGTACTCATTGATCAGACATGGCCCGACTTCTTCAAACAGACCGATCATGCTGGACCCCCCTGGCCCTCCTGTCATCCAGAGAGTGAGGGGATCATTGGCAGGGTCATTCTGGCTCTCAAAGTACCAGAAGAAGAGATGTTTACGGCCGATGTCGAGCCAGCCGGTGTATTGGGCGGAATGGGCAGCGCAGATTGATTCATTCTGCTGGCGGATGCGGATCGAGTGGTGCGGGGAATATGGGCTGTGGAATGTACGGAAGTCGGATGGTTCCTCTGGCTGGAGGACCGCCTGGGTGGAGGCATACGCCAGGCCGAATAGGGCTGCACTGCTTAGGAAACGCATTTGGGCGTGGGGTGCAGAGTAATGGGTTGGGAGCAGGGAAGAAGAAGAAGTAGAAGTGAAGATCACGGAACTCAGGCTTTAGCTACTGCTAGGCAACAATTGCCCTGCACTCGCGATAGCACGCGTTTCTCGCGAAAAGGCGGTTCTAGCCGACCTGGAGAAACATGTCAACTGTTAGTGCTGACGGGGCGTTGATAAGGACGACCCTGGACCCGCATCGGCCCGATGCAGTCGCTTTTCGTCGGAGCAACAAGAGCGTCATCAATTGACCTGCTATTAAGATACATCGATATGTCTTTATTCAAACCCATGACACTATATACAATATGTAAATTTCATGTATAGCATGACAAATATCGTCAAATACCAATCGTATGTGGCATACGCTTCATAGCCGTCCTCGAAGTATTACCTCTGAAGGAAAGCATTATGCATCAAGATAAGACTGGCCCACCAGTCAGCGTCCCACCCGCCAACGGTGCATTAATAATGCCAGCCTCGAATAAATCCTGAGCCAGCCTGACTAGCAATCCGTCACACCCCTTAGCAGCCAAAACATCAATGGCGACAGGAAACTTCTCCTGGTGCTGCGTGATGGTGCTGTAGGCCTCAATCTCTCCCACAGGAATGACAAAGTCCGGCACACTCGCCATATTGGAGATGAGGAATTTGCTGTAGCCCGAGGGTGCGCCGGGGAGCGAACGATAGACATTACGCGCTCTCTGGGAGCCATCGGTGCCCACGTAGACAATAAGTGACGAGGAGCACTGCTCAGGATCGGAGATCGGAGTGAGATAATTCTCCGCGATCCAGTCCATGAAGAGCGTCTTGTTGTGGATGGCTTCATCCAGTGCAGAGTCAGGGTACGCCATGGACCAGTTCCACCGGGAGAGAGGAACGGGGTCGACGAAGGGGACTCGGCCGTCGTGTTTAGCTGTGTATATGTCAGTCGGATGCTGTATATGGAAGGCTTAGGCCAGACGTACCAGCATAGTCGGCGTAGAAAGGATCCCTAACTAGAGGGATCTGCTGCTTGGTGATCAGCATTGGGTAGGTCAGGTTAAGCAAAGTCTCAAGCGAGACATTGGCGGGAGCGCTGGATGGCGGATGCGACGACCAGTCGTCAGATAGATCCAGCGGGGTGGTTGTCGTATTCAAGAACGCGGCCAGGCGCTTTTGAAATCCAGCCAGCAGAGCGTCTGCCGCAGAGTCATTGGTTGTTGGGAAGTCGATGGTGTACAGCTTGCTGGGGTAGCGGACTGATTTGCCATGGAACGAGGTGTAGTTGGTGCTATACAAGGCTTGGTTGGCCCGGTCCCAAAGATAAGGATCCCTTGTCAGCACTCCCGCAGTGTCCAACACAGGCGACATGGACATGACATGGTCAAGTTCAACGAGACCGTGGGATGGACGGGAACCGTAGACTCCCTGGACTTCTGCGGGATTGCGGATAGAGCCGCCGGTGTCACTACCCAGAGCCAGGTCCAGCCATTCGTAAGAGCCGATGGAAGCCCCCGCGCCTGACGAGGAGGAAGAAGGGTCCTGGTAGCCATCTCCACGTGGGTTGAAGGGCGAGTGAAGGTCGACCCAGTCAGCTGTAGCCGTTTCTCCGTTCGCAAACTGTGAGGGCTTCTGCAGTCCGACAATGATGGCGCCTGCATCAATCAGGCGCGATACGGCAGTGCCAGTGACATTGTTCTCTCCGTAAAGATTGTACCATGCCCGGTTTCCATTGCTCTGCCGCACGCCAGCGAGACTGTAAATGTCCTTAACGCCAACACGAGCACCGGCCAGCGGTTTCTCATCGCTTGGGGTATAGTAGATGCGAGAGGGCACACCGATAGTGGATGAGACCAAACCGGCCACTTGTGCCGACAACGGCTGGAATGTGCCATCTGGCTTTTGTAGTAGTGGCTGTGTGAAGGCGCCTGCATAGTCGCTGTAGAGCCGGTAGACCGGATAGAGATTTCCAGTGGCCTGTTCGAGGAAGTATGGGCCTGACGGAACAACCCTGGACTCTAACGGGCTGAGAACGCTGGAGCGCGAACTGTTGAAAAAGGTTGCAGTGACATTGTCGGGTTTGTAGCCACGGACCAAGACCGCACCCAGGAAGGCGGGCGTAAACACATCATCCACATCCGTCCACGTAGAGAAAAGAGATGACAGTGATGATACCCCAGCCGTCTCCTCTTGAACAACAGTCACGGGATAGAAGCCGTTGACACTGGGGATATCTGTCAGGGAGGCCGCGGACACCGTCACATTTCCCGCTGGGTATGGAGAGACGAAGTAATCGATCTGGTCGAGCGTGACAGACATGCCTGTTGACACCAGTTGAGCGGCCGCTGCACCAAGCAGCCCCAGGGCCGCCACAGCCAGTTGGGTAGCGCGCACCATGATTTGAAGACGAGTCAGCTGAAGAGGATGCGACAAAGAGGATGCCGAGGGCAGCCCACCGGGGTGCATATATACTCACTTACTTACTATCCACACCGACACTACTGGTCCTGATTGGCGTCATCGGAAAGAGGCGGTAATCTCCGATTCTTGGCTTGACCCCTCATATGCGTGAATCTGATATGGATCAGATTATTGATCTTGGCAGTCAGCCTGTGTTTCTTCAACTCGAGTCAAATCCATCTTGATCTCTTATCGTTATCAGTTCATCGGGTGATAAGCCGAACTTGCCGAGCGATATCGGGCATTCCTGCCAAGGTGGAGTAGTTGGGGTCGTTTGGACCTTCCAGCACGCAACTTCCTGCAGCAATTGCTCTACGCTCGTGGCAGCCTACTCTAGTAGTGCTGAAGATCCAGACTCTGCCACAGTGACTATGCCGTGGGCACGAAGAAGCCAAGCCACTTACAGGAGTGGGTAAATCGTAATAAAAGATGATGAGGAGACCATGCAGGAAGGGAACGATTTGTCGGTGATTCGTCAGATTTCCTCTGAGTTGAGATTGTTCTTGTAATACATTATGGGTTCGGATACATATAGTGTCTAGTACCCCCGAACGTTGTCACTGGCTCTGCAGTGGGCTTCTGTCTCCTAGAAACCCGATTTGTACGCATATAATACTACTCCTACTGTCGCCATTTCCAAAGGAGATGTCCATCAGGCCCAATCATTGCCTCCAAACGCACCCAGACTATTGCAGCTGTGGCAGCAAACAGAAGAGCACTGACCAGAACCGACATGTTCTCGTATGCCTTCGGAGTGAGAGCATTTGCCGCACTTCTGACCAAGACACCCCCAACTGGGGTACCAACCATGGTGGCCATGCCACGGACCATGTACAAAACTCCGTTGACTGAGGCGAAATTCTGTACCCCAAATAGCTCGACAAGACTAGTCGGGAAGAGAGACACATATGCACTGGCAAAGGTACCATACAGAATGGTGAAAGTGATAAACAGACCCTGCGATTGCGTCGTCTGACCGGTTAATGTGGATGGTAACCAGAAGGCAACAGTAGCGATGGCACTGAGACAGGTGGTGAGCAGAAGAGCATTCAACCGACCAAGGCGATCCGCGACATGGCCAATGACAATCTTGCCCACCGCGTTACAGGCATTACTGAGGGCAATGAAGTTCGAGCTGGCCGTGTTACTGTATCCAAGGGATTGTGCATAAGAGGCATAGAAAAAGACCGGAGTGTAATAGGCAGCCGCCTGGAAGATGGCCCCTAAGGCCTGAGCCATGAAACGACGCGTCCGGGCAACGCGCCAATCCACCAGTGGCACTTTCAAAATACCACCCGCACGGCTTGTCCTCGAGGCGTTTTCGATGGCGATACGACGCTGGCTGGCTGGCTCCCAGGCCATCGCACCACTGGCGATTGCGACCAGCGCGAACGACAGACCACCCGTCAGACGCAGGGTGTTGCGAAATCCGAGGGCTTTAACGCATGCATTCAACGCGGGCGCCCACACCAGACCGCCCACACCAGTGCCTGATAAGATGATGCCCATTGCTAGACCTCGGTTATGGGTAAACCACGTAGGGGCAATGGTGACGGGTATCATGTAGCACAAGCAGGTACCAATTCCGTTCAGCAACCCTTGCGTCAGCTCAAAATGCCACAACGCTGTGCCGAAGCTGGCTAAAATGAGAGAAAGCCCAAAGACAAAGCCGCCCGCAAAGGATACCATGCGAGGCGAGAAGCGCTTGGCCCAAGCGACCGCGAAAGGACCTCCGATGGTCATGAGGGAGACGGAAATAGTACCGATCAGATCGATCTCTGCCGGGGATGCTCCGGTGAAAGGTGTTCCGGGCTTTCGTGCCAGACTCTCGTACAGGGCTTGATAAACACCCCAGGCGAAGTTGAGACCACAGCAGGTGAAGATGATGACAAAGGAGGCGGCCACGATGATGGTGGATTTCCTGACCGAACAGGAGTATGTTCAGCCTTCGACAGTATTTCATAAGGGTATCGGTAGCTTACCAAGTTGAGCTTTGCGCTAAATGGTCCTCAGTTACGGACATGGTTGTCAGGCGAGGCATTGTGCTGGATAGATTGATCTCATCTTCGGACACAGCGCTGCGGGCGGTAATCGAGACGGCCATTGGTGAGGTATTGCAAGGAACTTGTGGACTCCTAGAAGACTTCTACCAGTTTCGACCTCAATTTCAGGTGAATCTGAATCAGTGGTCAAATTGAACCCAACAGACTGAACATGAGTCATTTGAGCTAAGCTGCAAGATGGAAGATCTGACGTCTTTCGCAGGGCTGCTGCGCGGATTGGATTGGTTGCAGAGAACCTCGGGTCCAACCGACGGGTCCCCTCGGCGGGTCAGTCCGGGGGATGCTAAGTAGTTGGGCATCACCTTCGACAAGGCAAATCATGCTTTAAACAGAGACACAGGACTGGAAGTATCAGATTGCCTAAGATTTATATTTTCGAGTCGCAGAACTCGTGAGCTAATGAGGGATGGAGAACACAGAAACCACTCACCATGTAGAATGCCAAATCCCGCCATAAAGGTGCGTAATTGTGTGCAGTGTGAAGCCGCTCGGCTTTATGCCAGCATAAAACGTGGAGTGACCATTAGCACAGGAAATGCAGCAGTGAATGGTCCATCTGGAGAGATAGTTATGTTGCGAGAGTCAGCGTAAATGCTGACCGATGCGTCGCTGTCTTCCGCAATACCCGCTAACTCCGCGGACTCCTTTTCATTGGTGGAAGAGACCTGGTACTCATTTGAAGTATCTGTTGAGAGGCAGTCATATCTATTGTGAAAGAAAGAGTTTTCATTGCAGCTACTTAGGCATATATATTTGGAGGCTAGACAGCTAGATGGATTCCACTCGCACGCAGGCACACTCTATGTCACCGAATCAGTGCTCTCGGCGGCCGTCATCACCATGAGTAACCTGCGAGATAGTGAAACCAGCAGCCAGATCTCCCAAACACTAGAGGTGACGGATTAACCCAAAGTTCTTCCTACATATTGCAGGATGGGTAGCTGACTGTTGATCCCATTCAGGCTGATGTTGAAAAATGCCCGGGGCAGCTTCCGTCCATGGGACAGGGCAAAGTCTTTCCTCCTGCCCTGCCGAATCGGGAAGACTATGTCGTCGATTTCGATGGCCCCGACGATCCAGAACATCCTTTCAATTGGCCACTTCCTACCAAGTATGCCACTCCTGTACTCAGTACTCACCGGACTCTCGCTTACTTCCTCCATTCTAGACTCCTCATCTCGATGATAGCCTGCTTTGCCACGTTTATCCCTTCATTCGCCAGTGGAGTTTTTGCACCCGGCTCCGAAGAAGCAGCCAAGGCTTTCAATGTAGGATCTGAAGTTGGCATTCTCGGTACAACCCTCTTCGTTCTAGGATTCGCCTCCGGTCCTGTCCTTTGGGCCCCCGCTTCGGAGCTGTTTGGAAGACGATGGCCATTGACACTGGGCTTGCTCGGAGGAGCCGTGTTCACCATTACATCCGCCGTGTCCAAAGACATCCAGACGCTCATTATTTGTCGCTTCTTTGCGGGGATGTTTGGGGCCAGCCCACTCGCGGTGGTTCCTGCTGTGCTCTCGGACATTTGGAACAATTCGCACCGCGGGGCGGCTATTTCCGTGTATGCGCTCTTCGTGTTCGTGGGTCCGTTAAGTGCCCCCTTTATTGGAGGCTTCATCACTGCCAGCTCGCTCGGATGGCGGTGGACCCTGTATATTCCGGCGTTTGTTGGCTTTGCTTGGGGTGCTATCAGCGTGTTCTTCTTGAGAGAGACCTACGCGTCTTGCCTTCTCCTGTCGAAAGCAGTCACTCTACGGCGGCTAACTGGTAATTGGGGTGTTCATGCTAAACAGGAGGAGGTCGAGGTGGACATACAGCAGCTGATTCAGAAATATTTCACCCGTCCGCTGCGTATGCTGGTAACTGAGCCTATCATTTTGGTTATCTCCCTCTATATGTCCTTCATCTATGGGATTGTGTATGCGCTTCTTGAAGCGTACCCGTATGTTTTTGAGTCCGTTTACGGCATGAGCATGGGGATCGATGGCCTTCCATTTATTGGCATCATTATTGGGCAGCTGGCTGCTTGTGGGTTCATTCTCTCGCAGCAGTCCGCCTATGTGAAGAAATTGGCTGCCAACAACAACGTTCCCATACCAGAATGGCGATTGGAAACCGTTGTGATTGGGGCTCCTGTGTTCACGGCCGGAATCTTCTGGTGAGTCATTTCAGAGCTTCATGGATTGAAATCATTGCTAATTATTGCTACAGGTTCAGCTGGACTGGCTTTACCGCCAGCATTCACTGGATGGCTCCCACTGCGGCAGGTGTACTGATCGGATTCGGGATTCTCTGTATTTTCCTACCATGCTTCAACTACTTAGTCGATTCTTTTCTTCCCGTGTAGGTGTGGTCTGCGTCATAATGGAAGGGGGTGTCATACTGATCTGTCTAGGGCTGCCTCGACCGTGGCTGCCAACATCATCCTCCGATCTAGCGTTGCGGCTGGCTTCCCACTTTTCTCGAAGCAGATGTTCGCGAATCTGGGGGTGCAGTGGGCGGGAACACTGCTGGGATGTCTGTCGGCGATCATGATCCCTATTCCATTCCTATTCCGAGCATATGGACCCAGGTTGAGAGGGGAAGGCAGGCAAAATAGCCGGTGAGTTCTGCAGCGACTCTGAGGGTATTGCGGGTAGGATGGAAGAGGCTTGAGTTCACCACTCCTCTACACTGGCACTGTGGCGCCTGGTCCCGGTCGTGGAAGGCTTTATAGCGTACGACACTGTTGCTTGTCCACGCTTGAGATTGGTCTAGTGACTCCTAACTGGAGATTGATGAAGAGCCAGGAGCGCAGGGTCAAGAAACAAGGCCCGGTCTGGCTGGATCTTGCAGTAGGCATGCCAATCTGTGGCCGTACGGGGCGCGCTGGAAAGGTTTTATCGAAAGATGAGGCCTCAGTCATCACCGGCGTGTGGGGGGTGATATCATGGTAAGCACAATCGCGGTAGGGATCAATTAAGATTCTCTAGCTGGTTATGGTGGGGATGGGGGGGAGGTGGATCTGCTACAGCTTGTGCTTGGGACCCTGGCTGCCTGCCCTGTTCTGCGATCCTACAGACCATTGATCCCGGATGTCGAACGGCGTCCAGGATTTCATACTGTTTATACAAATCCCTGTGTATATAATGTCTCGTTTATGATTAGTGTCTAGAATAATTGTTTTTCTCTTCTATGAGATCATTGGCATTTGGGTGTTGCTGTTCTTCCAATTGCCGGTCGGGAGCAGACGGAAAACCGCGTGCCGCCCGACCGAGGACCCTTGGCTACCTTTCCTTTTCCTGCTCACTCTTCGTATGCCCTCAAGATAACTAACTAATTCATCATGAGCGATACAACTGCCTCAAAGCGCAAGCGGGCTCGACTAGCCTGTGAACCTTGTCGAGAGCGAAAAAGGAAATGTAATGGCGAATCTCCCTGCTCGACGTGCACCAGCTGGGGCTATGAGTGTCACTATCAGGCTCCGCGACGCGTGAGAGGCAAACCCGCCGACCGGGGAAGCAGCATCCACGACCAGAATGAACCCATCCTCGAATCGAGTCCCCGACAGGTGGGCCGCTTCACGGAGACCCTCGAGGCCAATTCGGGAGCGGCCTTTGTGAGAAAAATAGGCCTCAAGGTTGACCCAGCCAACGCACCCAAATTGAACCTCTTTGGCTGGAATGTGGGTAGGCGCAAGTCCCCCACCGGACTCGCCCCGGTCGCGGCCTTTCCTATTGTCGAGATCCTCTCGTTGATGCAGATGAGAACTCTGGCCAATGTCTATTTTGCCAAGATAGATCCCTGCTATGGATTTATTGATTCGAATGATTTCTTCCGCCGCATGGACAGCCGCTGGCAGCCCAACGCGGTGGCGAGTACATATGACGGCGTTCTGGCTGGGGTCGCCGCTCTGGGATGCCTCTTCTCAGGGACCAACATCAACATCACCGAGTCTCACCTGGTCGAACTGGCGCGCTCGATCTCCGAGACTCATATCGGCAGTGTCCGTCCCTCACTACACCTGGTGACTATATGGACCCTGCGTGTGGTTTACCTGCGCATGACTGCCCCGCCGTATCCATCCTGGGTGGCAAGCTCGACCTTGATGCATTTGATTGAAGCTTCCAAGCTTCATCAGTTGTCGGCCAATGACGACCGTGATATCGATACCCGACGGAGACTCATTGGTGTCGCTCAACATTTGAATCTCTGGATCTCCTATGATCTGGGCCTTTCCCGAGTTCCACTGGGTGACACGCTCGGACTGCCATCAGCGCGACCTGGCGATGTCACCACAGAGCTCCTCGGTCTTCTACCTGTAACCGCCAGCCTGGGTCCGGAGAACCAACGTCCGGATCAAGAAATTGAAGAGCTACTATATCAGACGTTGGACCGCACTCACACCAAGCCACCCTCTCTTCTTTGCCAATGCAATCTGGTCCTTTGTCTTCTCCGTCGCCTCCGGTTGACTAACCTCACGGCATCGCCGACCACAATGACCAAAGTCCTCGATCTACTCAGACGCAGTCTAAGCGCAGCACGTGAAATGGTGGCCGAGTGCTCTCCATGGCACCATGTGCCCAATGTGCCGTTTCAGATGATCAGTATCATTCTCGAGATGGACACCAGCCCCGCACTCGAGCTACTGCCGGAAGCCATGCAGACGTTGAGAGTGGTGGCCTCTACCTATGACACGGAGACCATGAGAGAAGCGTACAATACAGCGTGTTTGCTGATCCTTCTTTATGAACGGCGTAGACGCGTGGACACTAGACTGTTGAGTACAGTACTGCAAGAATATCAGCAGTCACCTGCCACAGAGTCGCCTCTTCAACAAATGCCAACCTCTGATGAGGTTTCCTGGCTAGAAGGGCTGGTGGCTGATGTACCGACCTTGCAGGGTCTGGACTTCAGCCAGTTTTTGCAGCCGGACATGCTTCGAATGTCTCCCGATGCTTCTGCCTGGGGAAACAAGTCTGGATGAACTGGCATTCACTCGTCGTATACAAGGCTCGAGGGAGCCTGTCATATTCGACACTATGTTATCACCATACATACATGCTCCTCAGAAGTAAGAAGTAAATTTGTGGGATACGCGGCATTCCGTCTTTATCATGTGACTGGATGACAGATGCCTTTTCGGAGATAACTGACAAGTGCTCCTGCATGGATGGCCTGAGCACCCACTCGTACCGATAATCGCAGGGTACTACTAGCCTTCCCCACTGCGGTCCGGCTGAAAACTGCAATGGAAAGCTGCTGCTGTTACATTGATGAGGAGGTGCTGACAGCCGTACCCCAATTAAGGGTCCGGAGATAAAGGTGGATCTCCTGTCAGCCTGCAGCCCCGCGGCACCTGGCTGACACGCTCACACACGCTTCAGTATATACACTTTAGGGTAGTCGAGCATAAAAATATAACTGCAACCATATCCAAATTGATCCATCCATATTCCCCTCTTTCCTCACCAGCAACAATTACACTTTCACTACCTCAATCACATCCCACGACTAACCGGCTACACATCATCTACAAAACCTTCTCCAAACCCCCAAAAGAAAAACATAAACCATGCCCGAATCAATCATCATCCCCTCCGCCCACAAACCAGACGCAAAAAGCGCCAAACCCACGGCCACCTTCACCGGCGACGTCTACCTCGACCCGATCCACTTCGACAGCGACGCCTCCATCGCCAACGTGACCTTCACTCCCTGCGCACGTACTCACTGGCACACGCACGAGAACGGACAGATGATCAAAGTGGTCGCGGGCAATGGGTGGACCTGCGATAAGGGAGGCGTTCCGCGTCGTTTGAACACGGGGGATGTTGTGTGGGCGCCGGCGGGGACGACGCATTGGCATGGGGCGGATGAGGAGAGTGTGATGACACATTTTGTTGTTGGGTTGGGGAAGACGGTGTGGCATGAGGCGGTTACTGAGGAGGAGTATGGATTAAAGGGAAGGGAGTAGATGAATATTATGGGGGTAGGGATAGGGGTGGTGTTGGTTGTGGGATAATGTGTGTGGAGTTGGTCATTTGGGGAGTAGAAGGGGCGTTATCGTGGATGAGTGTTGATTAGTTGGTTAGGGAGATGTTTTCCAGATGGATCAATACTGCTATGAAGGACATCAAATGTCAATATCTAAGCGAAATAAGCTATATCCATCCTCCTCCTATAAGCACGGTAAACGTTTCCGCATGCAGACTGCCAGTCCTCCGCAACACCCGCAATACGCGCTCAGGCAACCAACGGAACTCACGAGCCCCACCTTTGATACCCCCATAGTTAACTAACTCATCTCACCCCCTCCACTTCCATCATCATCATCATCATTATCATCATCTATCCATCTATACATCTATACATCAAAGACCATCACAAATACACCCAAAATGTCTCGACTACAGCACCTCGCACCCGCTCTCTCCCGCCTCTACCCATGGACATCCAGCCCGCTGATCGTCAGCGCTCCCATGCGTGTCATGTCAGGCCCGGCCCTAGCTGTGGCAGTATCCCGCGCCGGCGGCCTTGGCTTCATAAACAACGCCAGCCCAGACATAGCCGCAGATCTAGAGCAAGCATCATCCCTTATATCTTCATCTACCCTCAACGCAACACCAACACCAACACCAACCCCGCACCTCCCCATCGGCGTGGGCTTTCTCCTCTGGGCCGACGACCTCGACTCCGCCGTCGCAACCATCCAGAAATACAAGCCCTGCGCGGTATGGCTCTACGCCCCGCCTAACGGCCAAGCAGACCTCGACACCTGGTCCCGTGGAATCCGCACCGCCTCGCCAGGAACCCAGATCTGGATCCAGATCGGGACTTTATCTGAAGCTAGGAGTCTCTTGAAATCGGCAGAGAAACCCGACGTGGTCGTCGTCCAAGGCGCCGAAGCTGGCGGCCACGGCCGGGCTAAAGACGGGTTGGGTCTGATTTCGCTCCTCCCTGAAGTGGCTGATGCGTTTGCGGGGAGTGAGATTCCCCTATTTGCTGCGGGCGGGATAGCTGATGGACGGGGGGCAGCGGCGGCGCTGTGTCTTGGGGCATCGGGGGTGGTGATGGGGACGAGGTTTCTGGCTGCGAATGAGACGAGGATTGCGCGTGGGTATCAGCAGGAGGTTGTACGGGCGGAAGATGGGGCTGTGACTACTATGAAGACGTTGTTGTATAATCATCTCCGGGGCACGTTTGGGTGGCCGGAGGACTATACTCCCAGGACGATTATTAATCGGTCGTGGGTTGATCATCTGGCTGGGAAGGGGTTTGAGGAGTTGAAGGTGCTACATGATGAGGCTGCCAAGGAGGGGGATAAGGCGTGGGGGCCGGAGGGACGGCTGGCGACGTATGCGGGGGCGTCGATTGGGTTGATCCATGAGGTTAAGGATGCGGAGAGCATTGTGAAAGAGGTGAGGGAGCAGGTGTTGGAGCGGTTTGGGTCGATTGGGGGTCAGTAGTGTTTGGTTTGGGCTGGAGAGGATGTGAATTGGTAGAATGATGTGAGATTTCTAGCAGGGGGGTTGTGTTGTTGTCAGAGTATGGTATAAGTACTCAGCTAACTGATAAGCATGAACACCATCTGGGACATTTACCATTGTGAAGAATGTGTATCTTAATATGATGTTTGGAATTTGTTAGGAGCATGGTGAACAAGGGAAGAGGTGTGTGATTACACTATTGATGATATTTAGGACTATAGAAGGCCATCCGCCACCATCCGTCACACTCACTCAACCTGCTCACAGCTTAGAACTGACAGTGTCCCTCCTGCTCCTCCTCGCCCTGTCCACCTTCCTGAATGAATCCCTGGCCAAATCCCTTGTTAATGCCCCAGTTCGATCCAGCCTGAGCAGCCTGGGTAGGAACCTGCACCTGGGTCTGGAAGGTAGAAGGACGGGCCTCACCGCCACCCACAGTCCAGCTAGGCACCTGGGCAGAGACAACAGCCGAGGTGGCCTGCGCAGCAACAGCGGCGACGCTGCTCTGAACAACAGGCGTCTCCGAAACAGTCTCACGCTCCACGGACGCAGTAGCCGCGCCAGCAGCAATGTGAGTCACAGCCGCAGAAGCGCTGCTCACAACGGCGGCAGAAGCAGAGCTGCTAGCATTTGCAGTAGAAGAGGCGGACGTAGTAGAGTTCGAGGAGCTACCGCTACCGCCAATGCAAGCAAAACTCATCTTCTTAGTGTACTTGGAGCTATCGGCGGACCAGACAACCTCGGAGAGATCCCAGTCCATGTTGACATACGGCCAGCAGATGCGGCCATCCGACATGGTGACCATGTCGCCGGACACATAGACATCGGTGCTCTTGAAGGCATCGCCGACCTTGTTGCCCTCAGAATCGACCTGCTGGAAGTACGTGCCGGCGAACTGTCCACGGCAGCCCATGGCGGTGTATTCACAAATGGGATCGGAGATCTCCTCCCAGGTGATGAGGGCCGAGGAGTTACCAAAGGTGGCGACGTGGGCGTTGGAGCAGTCGTTCGACCCCGAGGTCACCCAGGTGACCTGGCTGTCGCCGTCCTCGGCACCGACGGTCGAAGTAGCCTGCTTGCCGACCTTGGTGTACTTGTCGGTGAACAGAGCCAGAGCGACATTGCGGGGGTTAGTGCGGTTATTGACGTGGGTGTAGCCGTCGCCCATCCAGGTGTTCTCGGTCACATCAATAGCGCCGCGGGAGACCCAGGTGAAGATGTAGCGAGTGCTGTCGGCGAAGCGGGCCAGACCACTGTAGCTGCCACCCATGCCGCCCATAGGCTCACCGGAGGCACCGTTGGTGGTGTTCTCGTTGGAGATCTTGACGCCGTCGTTAGTCATACCCTGGGTCTTGGTGTTCAGCCAGATGGCGCCCTGGTCTTCGGCGCAGATACTGGCGTAGGGAGGCTCGTCGGCAGCCTCGAAGGCAATACCGGTGTTGTGGCTGCAACCCCAAGAGCTGGAGGCGCCGGAGATGGTCACGAGCGTGCCGTTGTCGGCCACGTATTCGATGCTGTCGCCGTAGTGGCCGGAGGCGTCGCCGGAGTAGTCGGTCACGACGAAGTAGGCGCCGTAAAGGCCGGCGGATTCGGAGTAGACCAGGTCGCCGTTCAGGTCGGGGGAGGCGGAGAGACCGTCGGAGGAGTGGACGCCGGGGCCACCGAGCCAGGTCTTCCAGGTCTGCTTGCCGTTGGTGTAGCGGTGGAGGACGGGGACGGGGGTGTCGCTGGGAGGAGCGTTGGTGGTGCCGGAGGGCATAGCCTCGTTGGTCAACAGGGCGAAGCCGTCATTGTGGGCGACAAGACCACCGGCTGGGATGAGTTAGCGGAGTGTAAAATGGATAGATGGTAAGTAAGGCAGCATGCCTTCCTGTCCACCGCTAACAGTGACGGTGGTTCCCGTGGCCTCAAAGGTTGTCGGGTCCAGCTCAGTAACGTGGACATCAGACCCGCTGGCATCCAGGTAGGCGAGATAGGCAGTCTTTCCATCGGGGGAGACAGCGAAGGGAGTCCGACGATGGTGAACGTAGTCAGTCCAGTAGGCCGCCTCGATGGGGTTGAAGGAGCTGTCGAGTGCCAGCACATCGCATGGGTTTTGAGGTTGGTCTCAGTAAGGGCAGCAGAGGCGCCCAGCGCCGCAGAGAGCATAGAAAGAGCGAAGGAGCCACGCATGACGGGCGATAGTTGGTAAGCTGTCTGCAATATGTTGCTGCTGTTGCAGAAACCGGGGGGCGACCTGTTGGGATATATAGGGCTGGTGAGACCGACTAGGATACGCCAGGAGAACCATTGTGGGAATTAAGGGTGTGGCCCAAGTCTTTCCGGTGCCATTGTCCTCGATGAAAGTGAGACCCTGATGGGGCAGTTCCCCTGATTAATGGAACTGGGGTTTCATCTTGATCGTTGTCAGGGTCTCGATTCTTCACCGCCCGGTGGCCTGCCAAAATCGTCTGATGGCTCCACCGTGAGGCTATAACAAGGTTCACCTATTCCTGCGCTACCTGCATTTGACATGACTCCGCAAGGTAAAAAGATGAATAGGGGTGCCATATGCCAGGCAGCAGCATGAATCAGTGACGCAACGATGGATGGACGTACCATAGGACACCACGGATAAATGCCGAATGGGCAGCGATGCCGTTGGGGAGGGGATGCTTGGCAGCGGATACGTGAAACAGGACGGCGCGGTTACTCCGGAGAGTCTCCGTGAGCTTCTCTCTCGCGATTGAAGTCAGTTGGAGTTCTAAGGTCATATAGGCTATTTAGATTGCAAGTACTCTAGTTGAAGAGTGTAGAACCTATTATGATGGCACCCAAACATCCAGTCATCGGACTCCTGTGAATGCTAGCAATGCACATAAACATAAATGTCTTCCGAGGCATGGACAGAATAAGAATCATTTTATTTGTCAGTTGGGGTCACCTACCTGCTCTAGAACAGGTTGAGTCTATGTTTCAGGCCAATCGCATCTGCCAGCTCCACAGTTCACTGTGCCGGGATCCGAAGCATGATCACTCAGTCTGACTGTGTCGCGATATACCTCTTAACTTCACTCACAGCACAAAAGGCTCGCTCGGAATAAGCGGAAAAGATATATATGGAGAAGCTTTCATGACTTGGGTACTTATACCAAGAAATCACGCCATCCAACGGATGATATTTGCATTTAATGGCGCAGGATACCCATAATATGGTCTTCGTGATAGTGTATGGCTAGACCTAGAGTTGAAAATAAAGCAATTAGAATCATACTCAGCGAGGTCTCTATTCGAATCACTTACAATACATTATAAAGTGTTGGGTACTTCGATAAATCCCTTCTCAATTTGACCTCGCGTCGAGCAATGCCATTATCGGAGATCACGCGCGCTCTGCTGATATACACAATAGATGAAGACCTAAATCTGGCTCTTGATAATTAGTTAGTATATAATACTACACTATTTGACTATAGTTTAAATCAATTGCTAGGTAGCTTGGGCGCGTGAGTACTATTGCGAAAGCAGCGGTGGCGTCTCTTGTCCAATAGCCATTCATATGGGTTGGATGCGGCGCAGTGGGGGTTCGAAGACGACTGCTGTTATCCTAGGCGCCTCATGGCTCCGCTTTGCTGAATGAAAACGAAATCGCAGTCGGAAGGTCATCTTATGACTGCAAATCCCGGAGGAGAATATTCGGCAGCTCTCTCTCATAATACTATTCACCATCAGCCGTTTAAACCTTGAAACCCATGCTTTTGGTAGAAAACATAAATTAATAAGTGGAAAAGAAAAAGATAGACTCACATCGCGATAAATATTCCTTAGTCGCATCTCCATGAAACACTTAAAGGCCATAGTCTTATTCGTAAAGGCCTCATGCACTGCCCTTCCATCTGGATCACCCAAAGGGTCCAGTACTCTTTCGAGCTCCTCGCGAACAATGGGCCATCCTCCATGGGATTCCAAGTCTAGCATATATAATAGGTGGCCCACATGCATCTGAATCAGAGCATGATAGACTTTGTGCCACACTTTATGTATGTCGTCGACGAATGCACTCGCGCCCGGGGGAATTGAACTGAGATCAATTCTGGTACGTGAAAATGTAGGGGAGTGTATTTTCATACCACCAAAATCTCTAACAACGAACCCAGTAATCTCTTTTGAGGTAGTATTGACGCGGACGAGGACGTTTTGGGCGTGGCTTTCGAGGCCAATTCCGTGACGGACCAGGGGCGGCAGAAGCAAAGAGAATAGTTTTGCCAGATATCTATTGAAGAAGGCTTCCGTTAGATCACCAAGCAAGCTAATACGGTCTCAAGACGGGCTGGGGATAATACTTTCTAAGCCAAGCTTGCTTTTGCTTTGAGTCATCGAGACCAAACATGATCTCCATGTATGTCCGATCATCTTTGTACGGTTTCTGGAATAGTCCGGCAACCGGGATGATCGTCTCTCCAAGTTCTTCCGCTTGCTTTTCTGGGCTCTTCCGTATAATGCATGTTAAATGGCGTGCTTTATCAAAATCATCCTGGCCGCCTGTGATAGCAGCGGCATCTTCAAAAATCCATAAGTCTGGCGGCAGCAGGTTTTTCAGCGCTGTGCTGAGTGCTGGGCTTAAAGCAGCAGTCCATGGTGTAATGGTCCTCGGGCCCGATGTGATTTGACAATTCAAGGAGAGCTTCAGATGCAAAAGAGATCCCACGTCAGGGAGAAATGATATAGTGCGCATTGAAATCTGTGCACGGCAGCATTTTCTAACAGATCCAAGCAGGCGTGCATCAGGGAATAGCGGCAAGATACTTGGAAGCTGACGAGTGAAGCACGGTACTACTACTCTGTCTGATGACTCGGGGCTAGGGATGCCCAACGACTCCAAGAGAGGCTTCAGTAGACTGGAGAATGGCCCGAAGGCTTTCATTTCTGATTGTGGTAGCGACATGAACGATAGTTCGGGTTCAAGCAGCTCAGGTATATCGTCAGGTGTGATAGGTTTCAGAGGCTGGTAAGCAAGACATGCCCGGTGTAGCTTGGTAGCGTTAATACTACGGCGACTTCAATCGAGAAAGGTAGTAGGAAAGCTCACTGGATGCGTTGGATGTCCAAGCACAACTGACTGCTCCCATTCATACAAAGGTGAGTTCAAATGTAGCGTCGGCTGAGTACTGGCTATCTCCAACCATTTCGCTATCTCGTCTCAGAATCGGGCTCCTAAAGCAGGAGCGGCTGGCTCACCTTGATTGTCTGCAGAATTCTGCACCTCCTTTACAAGTGTCTCTACGGCGGCACTTGGAAATTGTTCGGGTTGCCAGAGGCAGATGATGCGACAAATAGCACCTGGGTCTAGTTCTTCTGATATCCTCCCTGTACCTGTTTGGGTGAGCACTGGAGGAAGTAGATCATCTGCACGTACGAATCCAGTGATTTTGGCACCATTTTTCTCAACGTAGGCGGACCCTCGGAGACCACATTTGATATAAGACTCTCCAACTCCGGCTGGGTCACGTACGCACAACACCAAGTCAGGACCTATAGATTCTTCAATGGTTGCGCTGGCTAGGCCATCGTTCACTGCACTGGCCAGAACTCGCTTAGTAGTCTCAAATTGAGCCTGTCGACGATTGAGCGATGTATCTGTTCCATCGTCTGCTGCCTCGGTGATGATGTGCTCCGGGACTTTGCGATCAATAAGGTTGCAAGTGAGAGGTTCTCTCCATTCGGCACTTTGCATTGGACTAGGCCTTTCTCCTAGGTTCGCTAGCATTTTGCTAATTCTCAGCAACTGCCTTGACAACTGAAACAACCTTCCTGGGCTGGATGCAATTCAGACTATTAAGCGGTAGAAAGATATGTAGGTTAAAGAAGCTATATAGCTCTGCATAAATGCAGCAATCTTACGTCGAACACATAGTCAATAATAGCCCGAACCGTAAACGAAACCCAGAAATGTTTCTGCCGACGACGCTGGAATGCAACATTGCTCGGAAGTGGATGACACCCCCCACCCGAAAATGGAAGACCGCGTATATATCCGGCTCAGATGCCATAGTCAATAAGCGAATTGTCGATTTACTTTCGGTCTTAAAAGCGTGATAGATTAGCGAGTGGAACATCACGGTATCATCAATCCTACCTACGTACACTAGAGTACCGCCTGGTCAGACGTTTTCGGTGATGGTAGTGGTGATTTCATTGCAAGAGCTGCCTTTTCGCAACATGGATGAAGGGTAGTATAGAAACAAAATGCACCCTAACTTCAAAGCCACCTACCTAAGCAATTACACTATTCCCTGGTCTCTTCGCAGGTCAGATAACAACAGCGGAAGTGGGAAAATACTGCATAGAAGAGACGAATCGCGCATGTAAGGCACGCGGATGTACGGAGAAAACCAATTCCGAGTCTCAGAACATACTGTACCAATACGTATTACCTATCAAAAATTATCTGCACTTTGAATGACTTCAGAGTATATAGGTGGTGTTTGGCCAGCTGCTTGCTTATGACTGTCAGGGCTGTAGAAATTCTTTCTGTCCGATTGTGCGAATGAATCAAGGTCTCACCTCCTTTGAAGATCTTCGAAACCCGGGGCGTCACATTATGGATTGCGCCAGCACTACGTTCAGCAGGAGTGTCCAGTGCAGCGCCGGATGAGCAGCTTAACCTACTACAGGTAACATCGCCTCCAATCATGCTTAAGAAGGCTAAAAAATATAGTGGCTGTTCTTTTTAAAACAGCCGCATGCCAATATGTATATGTGTGTGTGAAAATACGATATAAGTATGTATCCCAAAAGCCACGGTATAATGATTGGGGCATTTGAGGCGACAGTGATGGCAGATAATTCAGAGAAATCATTTTCAATGGAGTAGCTTATAACTAGTGGAGTCGAACATGGAAAAGAGAATTACTGGCAAAAGTAGAAACCAAGAACAACGAGGATATTTAGTGCAATATAGGCCAGTCAGTCTAGAAGTTCTAAGTGTAAATATTGTAGAATAAATAATAGATATATGATAAAGTTAATCCATCCTCTATCTACTATTCAAATTACTTGATAGACTCAGTTTATCGATTCATGAACAGCACATCGAGGAAAGATATGCCGTGAGAGCCTTTCATGTGGATAATGCGCAATGTACGTGCTTGTGACAAGACGGAACCTTGAAATGTAGGGTCAAGATATAGACTGTATAGTCTGCGGACAGTGAAAGCCATCATGAGGAATTCGAAGTGCTTTATTTCATAGCAATTAAATTTGGCATGTTCATCACTCATTGAGAGTCAGCGCCATCTCAAATTGGACTAGTGATCAATTACTTATGCTAATACTGCTACTGCTCGAGCTACCCAAGCAAAATATAGACTAGCTGCACCAGTGTCCCGAATCTTTCTGCTCTGCATACATCTTGCATGCGCACGGAACAGCCCGCTATTGGAAGATGGGACAATGGCTCGGCCTTGAAGTTATGTTGGACCAACGCTCAAAACGGTGACATATCACACATCACTGGCTGATAAATATATCCTGAGACGTGTTGGCAATGCCGGTGAGCATGCACTCCGTAGTAATAGAAGTGATATTTGATACATAGCATTTGAGCACCATATCGAGGGTGAATATCAGCTTAGCCACGAAATCAAGCAATCTGGGCGATGTAGTCTATAACTCTGTCGAGTATTGGCGAGACTGGTAGGAACTGGGGGCATTGAAGACTTATGGGACGCGAACATAGAGATACTATAACTGTCTTATGAAGTGGACTGTGCTCTTGAGCAAATGTAGCAAAGTTTTCCCGCATCCCACCTATTCCAGACACGATATAGACCATGTATATTGACTATTGAAGGCGTCTGATTCCGCCAAGACAGCATATCATGGTCACCCTAGCGCCAAGGCCGCATTTAGTATTCGCTCAGACAGATGATCTCATCTAGCCAACAGCCAACAGTCAATTCTGTCTTACAACAAGTCCTGTTGGACAGTCCAATCCCCAATCACCCAATATTACAACTAAGCCATTGAGTGACAACCCGATCCAGACCACCCCGGAACCATCCCGGATACATTATGCCAAGGAACAATCCCAACCGTCTCTCCACGGCTAAACTTAGAACCCCGATAATAAAACCAAAAAGCGGGGTTCCAAGCCACTGTCCAACAGACCCTGGCGCAAGGAACAAACCACTCCACATTCCTCGGGACAAGAAGCAAAGTAAGCCTCACATCACATGTGAAAGCTTCTCTTGCACTGAGCAATCAGACCACTTCTGTTAGCTAAAAGCACGTCTGACCACCTGACCTGCACGAGCTCCACGGCCCAAGACCAGGTTAGTGCTGACCAAGACAAGTCGATAAGCGGCCTGAGCGACGCTTATGTGTGCCTAATATGTATCCCGACGTATTGGCCGGAGGGTTCGGAGATTGCCAAGTTAATTTAAGCTGTGGTTGCATTGGGGGTCTGAGCGGGGAAATCACGGGTCAATTCCACACATAACTAGTAACTAGTCTAGACGTTACTCCGAGGGAAAGGAAGGAAGGGATAGGTATCGTACAACATCACATTCAACATAGTAATCATAAGAAATGGCCATCGTAGCACATAACTCTACTCTACTCTACTCCCCTTTCTATAATATAATCTGAGTAAGATGGTGGATCAACACTTCCCCACCCCAGCCACCAAATCCCCCGCAACCACATCCACCCCGGCGGTATCCGCGTCCTCTACCCCAAACGCCAAGAACATCACATCATCAAGATACCCATGATACTTCTGCCCAGCAGTCTTCCACCCGATCGATGTAACATACATCATCTCCGTCTGGTTCCCCTCATCCATCATCCCCCGGCCGTGAATCCACAACGGCATGTCCGAAATCCCGTAGACTTCAAACGGCGCCCTCTGCCAAAACAGCATCACATACGGGTCGTAACTACTATGGAACTCCACGAACCGCTTATGCTGGAAGACCGTCAAAATGACAGTGTTGTGGTCGTCTGGGTGGCAGTTCGGGTCTGCACGCATACACAACGTCACAGCTAGGGAGTTGGTGGCTTGGTGGATGGATTCGTGGTCGGGATCTTGCATCTGAGGTAGATATTTCTGGAGACAGGCTGCGTCTGCGCTTGCCGCTGCTGGGGCGAGGTCTGCGCCGACGGAACCGTCCAGGGTCAAGGCAGCGAAGGCTCTTGTGGGTGCCACGTCGTAGTGAACGTAGGCGTTGCCGGCTCGGTCCCAGAAGAGGAACCAGTTCTTCTCGACGGCGAAGTAAGGGGCCGTTGCTGGGCGCTGCAGCTCCGTGGCACGACGGAAGCCATAGTCTGTGATGGTGTCGGAGGCAGGCCAGTCGACGAGGAGTCGGAAGTCAAGAATCCACTGGCCGAAGCAGGTCACGGCGGAGTTGGAGCCGTAGATGGTGTACGGGGCGTCCGGGCCGTAGAAAACGCGGGCATCGTGAGGACCGATGCTGAGGGCGAAGAAGGCGAGGGTGCCAGAGCAGAGGGCGTTGTTGCCCTCGGTTGCGGCGATGGGGAGGATGAAGGGATAATCGATGCAGCGGAGGGTGCGGCCCTTGTCTTGGAAGACGGCGTCACAGACAAGTTCGACGAACCAGGCGCTATCCTTCTCACGACGACCGGGCTCGTGAAGCTGCGCGGTGATGATCCAGGTGTTGGGTTTGGTGGGGTGCGGGATGATGCTGGGGTTGATGCCGCGGCGGGAGCGGAAGTCGATGCGGAAGTATCGGCCGTCCGGGGTCGAGTTGGATGCTATCTCATGGTGGGTGTTGGCGATGATTTGGCTGACGGTGAGGTCGGGGAGGGTTTTGCGGTCAGAGGTGGTGGCGGTTTCCAGGCCCAGGTCAAGATCTGGGTGGGTGTCGACGTGGATGGCACGATAGAGATAGTAGAAGGTGCTGAGGGTGAGGATGAGGAGGGCGACTAGAGGCGCGAAGCGAAGTATTCGGGAGACCATGATTGTGAAAGGGAGGGGAGGGGTGTTGGTCGAGGGACCATCGCGCCGGCCGTTAATTTCTGCATCGGAGACAGCGATATCGCGATTAATTAGGGTTGCATCCGAGCCAGGCCCTCCAGCGTACAGCAGCGAGAGAGGAAAAAGACGGCATCCCCCGCCTGTAAGTGGCGTGCCGATCCGGACGTATTGCTGTTTTCACTCGGGATTCAGCATGTGATGAGCAAGCAACACGGTCAGATAGGATGCGCTAGTTCCAGCCGTCTAGAAGCCACTGGATGCCGGCCAGTGCTCGGGTTGGAACTATTGACTTTTAGTGGCGAGCCGGACTGTGTCTCTCGTCCCGAAGCGGCAACCCCACCGGTATCTCCCTGTCGCTTGGACCTCTCAGGGACCAACGAATCCACTCCAGGACTCCCAGCACAGGAAAGGGAAAGATAATCTAAAGTGAGCTTACGGTGCACTAGTGGGAAAAGTGTCTACACCAACGGAAGAAGCAAAACTGAGACATTCATTTCGGAGATGCCTGGCAACTGCATCATCTACGCGTCGTGACCTGTCGATACAGCCACTGAGCCAATCGCACACTCGGCTCATCAATCAATTTGGTTACGATCTCCGCCAACCAAAGAGTAATCGGCAGCAGAATCAAGTGAGTAGCCAGAAAGCTGACTTCCAACCCCAGAGGCCCCGTGCGGGGGAGCGGGAAGCGATCGATCCACCCGGGACAATTTGTGGCATGCGAATCGCGCACCCAACCCACCGCCGCATACAGCCGATCCCCGAGCACCCACAACACCGGTCCATGCACTAGATAGAAGGCGAAGGATATCCGCCCCAGATACTGGTTGAAGCGAAGCTCGAAAAATCTCTTCAACCAGCCGATCCGCCCGATCGCCGTCACTATGAAGGTGGACGCCCAGAACAGATAAAACCACTTGTAGTCAAACACCGCTTGGGGCTTCAGGAAGGACAAGTAGTACCAGCCCGGGGAATCACGCAATGCCTGCAGGTCCCACGTGCGAGACGGCACGCCGCCCAGGTAGATGCTGACGACAAAAAGGAAGTAGATGATTCCCTCCTGGAACGGCCCCAGCATCAGGAAAATGTCCGGAAGGTTGTCGCGTGCTGCAAGCAGATCCAGGTCGCAGAGCAGCATACCCGAGATGAACAGCGCCCCGAACCAGCCATCGGCAATGTAGAGAAAGTAGAAGATCAGCCCGGCCTCACCGGCCAGACGCATGTTCCGGCGAAGGCGGGAAAACGCCAGTAAGGCCGTATAGACAATGATGGATCCGCGGAATTCAACGGGAATGGACCACGAGTGGAAGTTGTAGGTGAACCATGGCTCACCACCCCCGCGGAAAATGAAACTGAAGTTCTTAAACTCGATATACCAGTTCCACACTTCTTCACCGTAGGTGCCCTTCAATTCCGGCGTTGCGCGGATGTGGAAGAGGTGAAGGAACGTGAGATAGATGAACGTGGTAGCGATAACGGGGAGGTGAAGACGCAGCCATCGCCGGAATAGCGCAGAGGACAGATTGTCGCCCAGCTGGAGATATTCACCCGCCTGGATCAGCGCCAGCGGTTTGGCGGATAGCACGTAGCCCGATAGGACGAAAAATACACTGACCGCAAAGTGTCCGCCGGAGAAGAAAGTGCGAATTCCGGGGAATGCGACCAGGAAGTGTTGCTTCTCGTAACCATACGCATTCTCAAAGATCCGCTCAGCGCCCATGCCATCGTGTGCCCATAATTCATGATGCCCCCAATACACCAGGAAGGCTGCAAACCCGCGCAGCCCGTCTAGGTAGGCTGTCCGCCGGGCTTTCCCCGACGACGAAGTGCTGCTCCCACCCCAGGACAGGAAGGACGGCAGGAGCACACTGAGCCATCGGGCTTTGCTCCGGAGGTCCACTGAGAGGGGCAGAATGGACTTTTCCACGATCTGGTGAGAGGGTGCGGACGGGCATGGTGGTAGACAAGTCGGGCAAAACGCGTCGTCAAGACGGAGTCTCGCTGGCTGAAGATGAGGGGCGATATTTGAGGGAAAGACTGGTGACACTCAGAATAACCAAAATTCCGAGTTGAGGTGTCCGATCGACAGACTGCAGAGCAGTAGTCAGCTCAGCGTGTCTTGGCCCAGAAGCACATGCATCGGACTCATTTCCCATCCGGACAGAGCTAGCAGCCCAAGACCCGAGGTAGTCTCCAGCAACCCCGGGCTATGGCAAATGCGATCGACATGGTAGCGATATGTCTCGACCCAATCGCTCGACAGGCACACCGAGCGGGCTCCTCTCAGCCGGGCCCTCACGAAGCTAAGAGCATTAGTGTCACGCAGGTGGGTGGAGCCCGTAATATAGCTTCGAGGTGAAATGCCCTGAATTGCCCTGGTCAGGTCCGAATGGCGCTGATTTTTGGCCGCGCGTTGCGGGGAGAGCTGATCTGGTCAGACCGGCTCGCTCTGGCTCATAAACATTCTGGCCCTCAGCAGTGTGTGTTTTCTTCGCTCGTCCGCCGAACCCCTCGTCTCTCTTCCCCCTCATGGGTCAGTTGGGCCAGTCCGTCACAATGCAGTTGAAGACTCCCATACCTGCTATACCTTCCATGCCTGCCATGCCCGCCATGTCCGGGGTCTGTCTTCCACGACAGGTTCGCCGGGTGGTGCCGCTCTTCCTGGCTGTCTTCTGTCTAGTTTTCTATCTCTCACTTACAGGCACCTTCGCCGAGTTTCACGGGGGCCTCGCACGCCAGAGCAAGTGCAGGCTCTTCCCCCGCAAGATATGGCAGTCATGGAAGGTCAATCCCTTCGAATTCGAAGAGCGTGATCTGAACGTGGCCCGTACCTGGACCTCCATTAACCCAGGCTACCGCTACGAGGTGCTGACCGATCAAAATGACCTACATTATGTCGAGACAAACTTCGGGCCTGACGGCCTCAATCGTCCAGACATTGTCGAGACTTACCGCTCCCTGACCGCAAAGATCATCAAGGCCGATCTGCTCCGGTACCTCGTGATGTATGTGGACGGTGGAGTATACGCCGATATTGACGTTGAAGCCCTGCGGCCGCTAGAACGCTTCATCCCCGAACGGTTCAACGAAGCGGACATGGATCTGATAATTGGTGTCGAGATTGACGAACCCGACTTCAATGACCATGCCATCCTGGGCCCTAAGTCACAATCCTTCTGTCAATGGACCTTTATCAGCAAGCCACGCCAGCCAGTCATGATGCGGCTGGTGGACCGCATTCTCGAATGGCTGCACGATCACTCCGTCAAGCAGGGAAAGCCCATCTCCGATCTCGAGCTTGACTTCGACGATATCATTAGTGGGACCGGCCCCTCCGCCTTTACGGAAGCTGTACTGGCTGAGATGAGCGCCCGCACTGGCCAGGAAGTGACCTGGAAGACGTTTCACGACATCCCCGAATCAAAGTTAGTGGGTGGTATCCTAGTGCTCACAGTGGAGGCCTTTGCTGCAGGCCAGGGTCATTCGGACTCGGGTAACCACAATGCGCGATCGGCGCTGGTCAAGCACCACTACCACGCGTCGGGGTGGCCCAACACCCACCCGCGCTTCAAACACCCTCTCTACGGCGAAGTTGAACAATGCAACTGGAATAAGCAATGTGTGGCGGACTGGGATGCCAACACGGCGGCTTTCGCGGCCCTGTCACCGGAGGAGCAGGAGCAGCAGATCGCCATGAAGCAGGCCGCTGATGCCGCCGAGACCGAGATGGCCGTGGAAGATCTGGCGGGGGATGATGGAGATCTCGGGCTCGCCATCGAGTGAGCAAAGCAAGCATTGGGAATAATTAGATGACTACGATCGTTCTTGGAATGTCCGGGACGTGACAAGCCCCTCTGGAGTAACGGTTGTTCGGGTGGTCGGAAGGGTATTTGATGTTCATTGACTTATGGCGTATGATGTATAATGGCTTAGAATTGATGCTACACAAAAGACCGAGCTTGTCTGTTATTGCTAATAAAACTCATTGCTCGTAATGTTGACTCCCATCATTCTGGATCCTGGTGTAGGTTATTTTTAGCACCCTGCATTGCTTGGCGATAACAGGCATCCCTCGTGCTTATTCTGACAATTGTGACAGGAATATGTGACGAGTTACACGGAAGCCTGCTTGTTTCACCACTCCGTTATACAAACTCCGACTCCCTGTAAGATTGGGGTCAGTAGCATCTCAGAGGAAGCCCTGCGACAATTGGAGGGGCTTGGCTCTGACAATCCTTATCTAGAGGTGGAAATGCCATTTGCGCGACCGCAGTCGGATACAATGGCTCATTCTGGGTTGATATTAGCAATTGCTTTCCCGATTACGCAGCTTCCTGAAGTTTCTGACTGCGTGCAGGATCTGCTAGTCGGAAAAAGAAAACGTGCATGCCGCCAAGACTGAAGATATAGTGTGATGGGGCGACGGGATTCCCGATAGTTAACATTTAGTATTGCTTGTTAGTCATAGTGGCTGACACCAAATCCACATAGAGCCAAAATCACCATAGTGGAGGACAAGAGACCACAGAATCAACTATCAACCATCGGTGAGGGTTATGAGTGATAGGAAAGATCCCATGCGGCGCCGGAATGTCGCCATCGCCGAGTGCGCTTTATCGACCCAATCACACCCACTCAAACTGATGCGGTATCGCCAGCATAAAGTGATCGCCATTTCCCCCACCATTCAGCTTATCTTGAATTGTTTGCTTTTCTCCATCGCATCGGCCTCAATTTTGAGAACCCACCATGGATGATATCCATAACACCCAAAAAGACCCAGATGTCTTCATCTCGCCCACCCTCGAACCAGGCCCTGCGCTCCCCAAAGTCGGAGACCGCACACCGCGTATCGTCCACGATGAAGAGGCCCAGAATCTACGCAAGGGGTTGCAGGAGCGCCATACCCAGATGATAGCCATCGCGGGCGCCATTGTACGTCAATTCCCATCTTTACAATTTGAAATGTTCATATTTGTACGACGTACTGAATAAATATCCCACCAGGGAACCGGCCTCTTCCTCGGTCTAGGCAGCTCGATCCAAACCGGTGGCCCGCTCGGCGCTCTACTCGGTTATCTACTGATCGGCCTGGTGGTCTGCGCGGTGCAAATCGCCCTAGGCGAAGTGTCAGCCCTGATGCCCGTGACCGGCTCTTTTGTCCGACACGTCGAGCTGCTCGTCGATCCGGCTCTCGGGTTCGCAATAGGCTGGAACGTCGTCTACGGTTGCTTCATGTCCGTGCCCAGCGAGATCTCCGCAGCTGTCGTCCTAATCCAGTACTGGAACGACACCCTCAATCCCGCTATCTGGGTGACGATCCTGATCGTCATCTCGGCAATCGTCTCGTTCCTCTTCATCCGAGTCTACGGAGAAGTTGAGTTCGTCTTCGCCATCCTCAAGATCCTCCTCATCATCGGCATCATCCTCATGGGCTTGGTGATCGACCTCGGCGGCGTCTCGGGTACTCCACGTCTCGGATTCCATTACTGGAAAGACCCCGGCCCGTTCGTGGAATACATCGCCTCGGGCCCGTGGGGCCGATTCCTCGGTTTCTGGGCCGTCACGACAAACGCAGTTTATTCCTTCTCCGGGGTGGAAAGTCTAACCATCGCGGCAGCGGAAATGGCGAATCCAAGACAGAATATCCCCCGCGCGTGTAAACGCGTCTTTGCGCGCGTTACCATCTTCTACTTTTTGGCTGTGCTAATCGTGGGGATGATAGTCCCTAGTAACGATCCCCGACTGGGAAATGAATCTGGCACGGCCGCGCAGAGTCCGTTCGTAATTGCGGCTTCCGATGCGGGGATCAAAGTAGTGCCTTCTATTATCAATGCCGTGGTGTTGACGTCTGCGTGGTCAGCGTCAAATCAGAGTATCCTGGCTGGAACGCGCACGTTGTATGGTCTTGCGCTGAAGGGCCACGCACCGGCGGTGTTTCTGCGCACAACGAGGCACGGTGTGCCGTATGCTTGTGCGGTGGCGCAGATTTCTGTGTCCGCGTTGGCGTACCTTACGTGTCAGAATGAGGCATATACGGTTTTCAATTGGTTGTTGGATTTGACGGCAGCGGGGGTGTTGATCTCGTGGGGGACGATTGCGTTGAATCATATTAGGTTGATGAGAGGGTTCAGGGCGCAGGGATTGGATACGGCGGAAATGCCGTGGCATCATTGGTGGTCTGGTGAGTTATTTGAATATTCTACAGGTATTGACTGTGGCTGATGAAAGCAGTGTATACATCCTGGTTTGCTCTGGTGATGTGTGTGATTGTTTTGTTCACGGGCGGGTTCACGGTGTTTACTCATGGCAATTGGGATGCTTCGAGCTTCGTGTCGTCGTATTTGTGAGTCAGATTCTGTGTTGATGGATGATGTTGTACTAACTGAGTGGTAGGGACATTCCGCTCGTACTGGCTTTCTATCTGGGCTATAAGTTCTACCGCAAGACAGAGATGGTATCGAGTTATGAGATGCCGCTGGAGCAGGCTCTGCTCGAGTGTCGGAACGACCCAGATAATGTACCCATCCAGAGGAGCAAGTGGTCGAGGTGGAACATTTTGTGGGGATGATAGACCTTGGGATGCACATTCTTGTAGGTAGGTCAGGTTATCCCACAAAACTACATCAATAGACTGACACATGTACCGCACTCAGAGGAAAGTGATATAGACCATCACTGTATGACATATCATCTGATAGATTACGCAAGAGGTAACGCAAATCCTGATTGACAAATAAATCCATGTGCTCTGGCACAGCAGCATGCTTCGAAGCGTAATTTCTTCGGTTTACTCGCTGTCAGCTGCAATGTATGCATACAATGCAGTGGCCTTGTCATCGCGTTTCCTGTCCAGCTCCGAGTCGGCCGCAATGTACGCATATAGCGCCGTGGCCTCGTCATCGCGCTTCTCTTTGTCATCAAGCTCGGTGTCGGCGACTATATAGCCATACAGCGCCGTGGCCTCATTGCCTGCTCTTTCCCGAAGAGCATGAAAGTCCTCTGACCTGACGCGAAGGGTCACCGCTGCTAGTTTGTCAGTTGCATGGACACCACATCGATTCTAAGTTTGTTTCGGGGCTTGCATACGCTTGGCTGTCGGGGCAGAGGTGGCCATATGGCTCAGCAACAGTCCGTAGGTGGCCGAGAGGAGGATAGAATACTGCATCGTGGGCTGGATACGCTTCACGGAGGTCGTGGGAGAGTCGAGAGTAGGACAAAAGATGGTCTATCAAGCAGAAGGGCAGGAAGAAGGAACCTATTTATGTGAGGCCTCGGGCATCGGCCACTCTGTTCGCACCACCCCTACACAGTCGCCCGTGATCAGGCGGGGTGAAACAGCTACACAACCAAAGTGTGCGATCCTTTCGTATCAGTGCGACTGTGACGGCAGCAAGCATCTGCGCCTGGTTCAAAGAGGAAAGCAGGCGTCAACGCCATGCTGGATGGCATGTGCGGTGGCGACAGTTCACAAGCACTAATGCGTACTTGGCAGACATTTGATGCATCCTAAAATTACCAGGGATGTTGCGCAGTTCAGCTGACCATATTGCGCGGAGCGAGGATATTTGATCTCCTTGAACCGAACACTGCCTATTCTTTTCCAGATCATCTTTCTCAAGTCTGACAGACAATGGTGAAGATGAAGCCGGCCGTATCTCCATCATACGAACCTCTAGGAACCAGAGACAACGACGATGTTGCCTACAGCGTCTCCGGAGATACACAAAGCGAGGAGGATGTATCTCTCTTGAAACAAGCACCCCGGCCGTCTGAACACTTCAGTAGACGACAGAAATTGCTCCTCTGGCTCAATGCTACTGTTTTCGCACTGTCAGTGTTTCTTTTCGTCATCACTGTCTGCATTTTCCGGGGCACTGGTGACGCAAACCATCTCCTACGAAAAACCTCCGAGTACTGTGAGTGTGACTGACGACGAGCGTCTTCTCAGTTTGCTGACCAGTTGCAGCTCCTGTGTTCGATCGCCTTGAGATACCCCTCATCAGCCAGAAGATGAATGCAACACTGTTGGAGCCAGACCCCCTCCCCATCTATCGCCAACCCCCGAGCCCCGAGGTCGACGCAGCCTGGAATCGACTGGCGAACATCAACCCCATTGCCATCAGTCGCGATGACGTGGTCAAGCTGGGCAGGGATCCTGAGCAGGCAGCCAAATGGCCCGAAAGCTTTGGCTTTGGGTCTGAAGCATACATTGGACGACTCGATGTCTTCCACCAGATCCATTGTCTGGATTGGCTGCGGCGCGAAGCATACTTTGACCACTACTATGGCAAGAAGTGGCCGCCGGGAACCCCGCCCTCTGACATGCATCGGACGCATATCTCCCACTGCACCTACCTGCTGCTCCAGAACCTGATGTGCAACGCTAATGTCGACATCTACACCCATTATTGGGCGGATGCGCAGCTGAACGCTTTCCCCGATTTTAGCGTGAATCACAAATGTCGTGATTTTGACACCATTTTGCGCTGGCAGGAGGAGAACTCGGTGGATGTGGATGAATTTGCAGCCATTAGAAAACCCCCCGAAGCAGAGGCTCGGGTCATGTCGCATCGATTCAAGGAGCTGTTTGGTTGGTACAAGTCCAATCCGGATGATGGCTCGGACAGTGGAGTCATTGGATAATCAAGGCTAGTGTGTTCGAGTACTTGGATGGTAGCATCATGTTGATGATCGGCTGCTTACCCGGGGAAGGGCTGAGAGCGGGGTTAGACTGTGGATGGCGTGTGAGTTGTCAAGCGTTGGTGCTAAGCATGCTTGATCATCCATCCCTGCAGGCGCCACCAAGCAGTTGATAAGACACTATGTAGATATTGATTGGTCAATCACAACACGGAAATGTTATGGCGATGCACGCCCCCTTGTATGCATCCCAGTATTCTAAGCTGGCATGTTAGTATCAATTGGTCCTTCTCTGGGTGTTACAATGTGCGCTCCCACAAAATTGATCATGCGATGTAACCGCACCATGCACGAGACCACCTGTGAAGCTTAGCCGAGGCCATCAACATACGGGTGAGGTCTAATGCATGGGAGACTGTCGTCCACTGCATCTTACTTGGTATGTCAGTCTCAGCAGTTTTTGTTGTGGAAAGATTTCTCCGTCGCTCTCCCTAACAATTGAAGGTGGAAAGACCCAACATGCCCACACAGACACGCTTCCTCTATAGCATACTTGCAACACTTATCTTTCTCCTCTTCTCGATCATCGGTATTATATTCAGTTCAACTGGCAGCTTAGTCAGTCTCTCACAGAAGTTCCAAATCCATGTCTGCCCAAGCGAGTCCTCTCGCCGTACACCTCCAATCACTCGAAAGTTCCAGTCATTGACTCCATTACTGGGAACGCAAGCCGGTGCCGCTCTACCTCATGATACAGACCGCTCATGGGAATCTCTCCTCCTCCCTCAGAATGGCGGTATCCTGAAGGTTCGGACAGACAACAACACCATCACCGACTACGGCATCTCCATGTTTCACCAGCTTCACTGTCTAACCGTCCTTCGGGGGCTGATTTTCCCAGAATCTTCTCAGCATCACGGTGCTTCGACCTCGCCGTCACATTCAGGTGATGACCACGAGGATGCAGTGCACTGGGCTCATTGCTTCGATTATATTGCCCAGGTGAGTCAAGTGCTCCTTTTGGGCACGGTATAGGTTCGAGGGTTCTGATGATAGAAAGGCCATTATCTGTGCAGCGGATGATACTATTGAACCCCCTCATCCAGCAATTAATAAGGATGGGAACCGGATCCTCGTTATCGATGGGATTGGGCATACGCATCAGTGCAGGGACCCGGAGCCGTTATGGAGGGCTATTGGAGACAGTGGGAGCAATCCAGTTGACCTTTCTCAAGTGAAGGATACTGTTGAGAATAGTGGGTTTCCTCTGGATGAGGAAACTACGTGTCAGGGTGATTGTTCGATGCCGGAGCCGTACCAAGCTGAACGAAACTAGTGGCTGGAAATTGGATAGAGCATAGCTGGACGCGGTGAAAAGACATGCTATAATAAAGCAACAAAGCAGCTGAACTGTCGTACATCCCAATCTATGGGCCTTTGTCTTGTATATTGCAGAGTAACAAGGTAGCCATAGCATCGATGAAATGCACTGCAATTGAGATGCGTTGCTGGAAGCGCCTCTCGGCTTCACCCAAATTGGGAATCCCGGAGAAAACAAGCCAGGAAAGTTCTGTTTTGTAGGGCAAATTCCGATCGCAGTTCTGCATCGAGATAAGACTCGGAAGTTGTCAGAATCGTAGCAAGAACTAAAAGCTTACTACATTCAAGCTCATCTTGTGGACGAATGTTAACAACAAAGCGCCAGCATAGCAGAGAACAAAGGGAGCGCTTCAGGCCGCCTCCAGGCTGCCATGCGCTGACGCACCAGACCGGGGTCCCTGGTCAGTCACGAGCCATCATAAGCTCAATCTTATCGCGCCTCTTGTCCTCCTATTTCTTCTCCACAAGTCTCTCATCACCATGAATTTCTCCTTCCTCTCACTACCTCAGAGATCGCGTGGTTGACATACTTTCATCTACATCATCTACCATTTCTGTATGCTTCCCTCCTCACTCCATCATGGCGGGTAGCTGCTCCTCCGCCGCGGATGACTCGTTCGGACCCGTCGTCGCGTGTCCAGCAACATTTGACTTCACTCTGCTCTTCGAGCAAAGTATCCTCTCCATTGGCCCATCCGCCATATTTCTCCTCCTGGTTCCGTGGCGAATCTGGTCGCTCTACCCAGAGAATGTCAAAACCGTTGCAAACAACGCCCATTGGCGGAAACTGGTCAGTGGGGCCCCTATACATTTCCACGAGGCTTTGCTAGTAGCCGGACTGACCATATAAAGGCCGTCGCAGTTTGCCTTGTCGCTCTCCAGATCGCCTCAGTGGTCGAATGGGCGCGCCATGACCTAGTCCGGACTGCCATTCCTGCTGTCGCCTTGTCGCTGGTGGATGCTCTCTCGATAGCTATCCTATCGACTATCGAGCACGATCGCTCGGTACGCCCATCCTCGCTATTGAGCATCTATCTCCTCTTGTCAACCCTCTTCGACGCTGTGCAAGTGCGCACTTTGTTTATCCGACATTACCCATCTACTTTGGGGGCCCTTTCTGCAGCAACTGTTGCACTGAAGCTCCTTCTACTGGCTCTGGAAACCCGAAATAAACGCAGCTATCTGAAAGAACCACTTCGTGCCATACCACCCGAGTCTACCAGTGGAGTAATTGCTCGCACTGTTTTCTGGTGGCTGAACCGTCTATTTGTTAGCGGTTTCCGGAAGCTGTTAACACTCGAGGATCTATTTCCGACGGACAAAGACCTGAGCTCGGGAGGCCTGAGGCAAAAGATTGGAAAGGCCTGGAAAAAGTATCAGTCCAGCCAAACACGTAGCCTAATTTTTGCGACCTTCATCAGTCTGCGTTGGGCAGTACTTCGTACTATTTTCCCAAGGCTCTGCCTCATCGGATTCAGCTATGCTCAGACATTCTTCATCCAGCGTGCCATGGAACATCTACACATGCCAGATACGCAGCTAACCAGAAACGAAGGTTACGGATTGATTGGGGCCGCGGCGCTCATTTATGGCGGAATTGCAGTATGCAGACGTATCACTTACTGAACTTCTCAGACAGAGCTGACGGAATTAGATATCAACGGTGCATTACAAACATCAATTATTTCGTATGATCACGATGTTCCGCGGCGCAACTGTTGCCTTGATCTATGACCACACTATGATTCTTCCAGATGGAACCCGCGATGAAACGGCTGCGGTTACGCTAATGAGTACTGACATCGACATGATCGCGCGGTCTCTGGAGCAGGCGAGCGAGCTGTGGGCCCGCGTGGTGGAGATCGCTATCGGTATCTGGCTGCTAGAGCGGCAACTCGCTGCTGTTTGTGTAGCCCCGATTTTGGTGATCCTGGGTAGGTCTTCCTTCACTTAACCTATGTTTTACTAAATCACCATAGTGTGCACATCAGTCCAAATGTATATGGCTACGTTTATGCCCGCCAGGCAGAAAGTCTGGGTTGGTGCAATCCAACGGCGAGTCAGCATAATCTCCACGGCGCTAAAATCCATGAAGAGTGTCAAAATGCTCGGTCTATCCGAAGTGCTCGCCAATTCTCTTCAGAAGCAACGAGAGCGTGAACTAGACTTATCCAGGGACTTTCGATGGCTGATCGTGTGGCTGAACGTGGTTGGTAAGTATTCCACTCTATGCCGGTGTCAAACCAAGTGGCCTGACAGTATAAAGCGAGTTTGCCTCAGATGTGTGCCTCTCTCGTCACGTTTGCGGCTTTCGTTATTCGCGCAAAAATCGATCACTCGGAGACACTGTCGACCGTACAAGCGTTTACATCCCTTGCCATCATTAGCCTTATCACGAGCCCTGCGCTACAGTTACTGGCATCCATCCCGGCGATAACTGCCGCTTTGGGTGCTTTCGATCGCATTCACAAATTCCTCACTTCACCCACGGATTGCTCACCCACTGAGGAGGATCCTGGCACTGAGTCAGATACCTCTACTGGAAATGGGTCGGCGATAGAATTAAACGTATTGGCACCGAAGGCACCCGACCATGTCGCTCTTACCATGACGGATGCGTATATCCGTCCAGCCACGGGATCCGCGTTCTCTCTTGAGGGCATCCATCTAGCCATCAAGACGGGTACAGTGACAATGATTACGGGCCCGGTCGGATCTGGGAAGTCGACTCTGTTAAAAGCGGCTGTAGGGGAGATACCTTGTGAACAAGGAACTGTTACACGAACGCGGCCAGACGCGGCTTACTGCAGTCAAGTTCCCTGGCTCCAGAACACCTCTATCCGCAACAACATCTGTGGATATTCTGAGATAGATTATACCTGGTATAATGAGGTACTGAGGACATGTGCATTACAAGAGGACATCTCTCGAATGCCGGGGGGTGATCAGTCCGTGGTCGGCAGCGGGGCTCTCAAGCTAAGTGGGGGACAGAAGCAGCGTCTGGTATGTCACCGCAGTCGTCAATGTCACGTTACTAACATGATTATAGGCACTGGCTCGGGCTATCTACTCTAGAAAAGTACTTCTCGTGCTGGACGATGCGTTAAGTGCCGTTGACAACAAGACCGCACGGTATGTCGCAGAGGCTTTATTTGGCGATAACGGAGTATGCAGGCGAATAGGTATGGCTGTAATGATGGCAACTCATTTGGGTCAGTATAGTCCGATGAAAAGTTTTTGCAGCCATAACTGAAACTTCATTTAGATCAGCATCTCCGCTTCGCAGATAACATTGTCATATTAAATGCTAATGGGCAGATCGAAAAGCAAGGCCCCATGCGGAGCTTAGGCTTCGCCTCGCATGTATATCCTGACACTACGGACGCTAATCCAGAGACCCCAACTGCCCTCACTAACAGCGGAGAGGATTCATCCACAAAGAAAGTTGAAACCCTTACTGTCGATGACATAGCCGATATATCCCGTCGTATGGGGGATACTGCAGTCTACACCTATTACCTGAAGGCTATCGGATGGCGCCACACGCTGGTTGCCTGCACAATTATTATTGTGCACACATTCTCCTCTGTATTCCCTCGTAAGTACAATTCTGAGCGGCCTTTCGACTCGGCTAATGAGTCTGTAGAGATATGGTTGGAGTTATTTACGGATGACCATGGAAATAAGGCCGCCCAGTTCATTGGTGTCTACGTCCTACTTGCCGTAGCTGCCTCAGGGTCACAGGGGCTAATGATATGGTAGGCTTTTGACATGCCTTGTATGCTAGGCTAACCGCCGAATCAGGCAAATCATGATCAAAATTGTCATCACGTCAGGATTGGGACTACACAGAATCCTTGTGCGAACCGTAATAAATGCACCGATGTATTTCTTCGCCGAGGTTGATTCTGGCGTCATCCTCAACAGGTTCAGCCAGGACATGACCCTTGTCGACGCTGTACTGCCCACAATGGCTTTTGGCACAGTCCTGAGTAGGTTTACCAGATACTACTACGACCAAACACTAATTCATTCGCAGGTATTGCACAGTGCTTCGCTCAAGTTGCCTTGATTTCGCTGGGCTCTAGCTATATGGCACTGACAATTATCCCATGCTTACTGGTATTATACTGCGCGCAAAAAGTCTATTTGCGGACCTCCAGACAGCTCCGGTTCCTCGATCTGGAAGCCAAAAGCCCATTGTATACCATGTTCGTGGAGACTCTTGACGGAATTTCTACAATTCGCGGCCTTGGGTGGCAACGATCATTTGTAGCAGAGTGCTTGCGCCGGCTTGACGCTTCTCAAAAACCATACTACCTTCTATATTGCATCCAGCGATGGCTCAATGTTGTTCTCGACCTTCTTGTTGCTTGCTTGGCTGTCATACTAATTGCCCTGGCAACATCTTTACGGGGCTCGACCGATCCGGGGAAGCTGGGAGTTTCCTTGACTGCAATCATGGCATTCAGCCAGACTCTTCAGGAAGTTGTGACTAGCTGGACTGGCCTGGAAACATCCCTTGGCGCAATAGCACGGACAAGATCCTTTGAGATGAAAACACCCGCTGAGCATCAACCCCAGAAACCAGTGATCCCTTCATCGACTTGGCCAGTTGACGGGAAGATTGAGATCACCTCTCTTTCTGCCTCATATGAGTGAGTACCCTCCTGTCAATGATTGCAGCATTTACTAACAATCTCAACAGTGGCGTCACGCGTGCGTTAGACGATGTAAATTTAACCATACATTCTGGAGAGAAAGTGGTTGTATGCGGACGGACTGGCAGGTGAGTACCGAAAACGTACGATTTATACCTTCCACTGACCTTGAACCAAGCGGGAAGAGCACACTGGTCTCGGCCCTTCTCCGGCTCCTTGAAACCCAAAGCGGCACGATTACAATTGACTGGATGGATATCTTCACCATTCCACTAGATGTGCTTCGAACCCATATCATCGCTATTCCCCAGGACACTTTCCTACTTCCTGGATCTATCCGCTTCAACCTGGACCCGACTAGTCGCTCTACAGACACAATTTTGATCTCAGCATTAGAGAAGAGTAACCTGCTTTCTCTGACCACATCTCGTGGTGGACTGGATGCGGAATTGACATCGACCACCTTATCCCAAGGCGAGCAAAGACTGTTTGCATTAGCAGTCGCCCTGGTGCGGAAATGGAATCGCGACTATGATGGTTGCAATTGTGGCGGCATATTGATTCTCGACGAAGCAACAAGTGGGACGGATGCTGTCACTGACGCGCTGATGCAGAAGGTTATCGATGATGTGTTTGGTCGATATACAGTCCTCCATGTATCGCACCGGCCTGATATGGTGAAGGGTGCAGACCGAGTGATTGAGATGGAAGATGGTCGTGTAGTGAGGGGCTAGGCTCTATGCTCATGGCAGGGAGTGTTTGTTGTTCTTCGTCCGGAGGTTACTGCAATATACATCCAGTGATGATTGATCTAGAAGTGGACACCTAAGGGGCCAAGTGTCTGACTACATTATGGCCACTCCTCCAACGTAACAAACCTTATCCAGCCACCCGATTCACAGGGAGTCTATATCCTGCGCCGCAAGAAAGCGCGCCATTCTGACACGGCAGATACCCGATCTGTGCAGTCGCCTGTTTTCGCCCAGCGTGGACCCACCAGCGAGGCGCATGAGGGCGAGGAAAGTAGGAAAAGTATGCGGATGCTCGGATTAAGTCGGATCCGAGTCAGCCAGCGGAGCAGCAGAGGAATAGAAAGTAGTTGTTACATATTTGTTAGGTACATAATTGGGGTTAGTGGCAGTTGCGACCGTGGGAGGGGGCAAGGTTGCTGCAGCAGGATGGTAAATGGGTAGGAAACATTGCAGATTATGCACAGAGGAATCTCAGCAACATATAATATCTTTGAATGCTGTATATTGTTGTGGTGTTTGCACATGTGCTGTGCTTACCTGCTGTATTATTGTTCCTCCTGTGGTGTATATATTACCCCGCTAATCTGGTTCCGTGCATGCTGCGATGTCCTGATTGGGCCAACTTGGTATCGCATGGTACGGTCAATACGTCCGATAATGTATATCAGTGGATGAACACATGCAGGGAGTGGTAGGATTTCGCGAAGTCATCTTCAAGAGTGTCAATTTGCTTGAGCCTCTTGAGACATGTCATCGGATTTTTTCTACTCACTAGCTAATTCATTATGAGGTACTATTATGCCGAAGTCGCGCATTTAGCATGACTTCGATTGTCGAGGTCACCAATAGAAATATATATTTCAAGCTTCATGTTATCATCGTACTGGATTTAGGTTGAAAACGGCATCATCGAGAATCAGTCAGTATATGGTAAACGGTTTGACCTAAGCTAATCATTAAATAATAAATGAGCCAACCCAATATTCTCTTGTTCACTGTGATTACGAAGGAGACTACTAGTAATACTGAGGTTGTCGTGAGGTTACTACTGGCGGGAACTTGCTTTGGCATCAGCGGAAACAACGACACCGACTCGGGAAGTTACACTTCTATCACATTCATATAGCTCTAAATAGACACCATTCAACATCTCAAGGCAAGATGGCCGAGTTGGTCCAAGGCGTCAGGTTAAGGTCCACCTTAATACCCAGCTTCACAGCTTCCTGATCATCGTAAGATGGCGTGGGTTCGAATCCCACTCTTGTCATACCTTTTTTCTTCCTTCGCCCTATGTGTTGGTCAAGACACCATTTGGATTGGTGGTGGATTTCACTGTCACTTATTTAATAATTTTTGACTTTTCTTTGCTTTTCCTGTTTTTTCCTTTTGCCTTCTTGATTTCCCTAGGACTAAGCTTCTATCTAATTTGTAAGCAGAAATATAGTTGTAACCAGCAATGCCCTTATGTGCAGGGTTCAAGAATTTCATGGTTCCCGCCTGTCATTCCTCTATAATTTGCCCGTGCAGTTCTATTAAATTTCCGAGTACAATCCGGTATCATTAACAGTACACTGGCAATTAGATGCGACCGGGGCAAGATAGCAGAATAGTACAGCCGAGGATCTCCCCGAGCACCCTCAGACACATTCCTTCATTGCCCTCTCAGCGAGCGAGCGAAACTCGGCGCAATTCTTCACCAACCGCTTCATCCCTTCGCTTGTAGTGCCTGCAGACGTCGAAGATAGAAAAGCCTCCGCCTGATCGAGAATCCTCATATTGTAGATCTGGCCAGTATCGCGGGGATTGCGAACGATACTCGAGGCTAGTGTTTTTAATGCGACGGCGGGGAAATACATCGTTAACCTAGTATGTGAGTATTAGTGAAAAATGTCGGTCGACAAATCAAGTTGAACGTACCCAAGGGAGATGTCATCCTTCGGGAGATACTTCATCAAGCCGATCGAAGCACGCGCAGCCTTAGAGGTCAGGGACGCTGATAGCAGAACCCTAGGATTGGATAGAGAATCGGGGTTAATGGTATATCCAGGATGGTCGGATAGATCCTGAGCGGAATTTATACCGCGTGCGGCAATTAAGGAATGAATGGCGATCATGCAGTTGTGGTATGTGTTGTGCATGTGTAGGAGGACGATGGACATTGGGGTCTGGCGGAAATGGAAATGTGTTGGTGATTCGGGCTGGAATTCAGATGGGAGACTATCTTTCCACGCTTGTAGTTTCCCATCTAGATCTCCGACCGCGGCGAGGATCTGATGGAACGGCCTATCCGCAGCTGAAGCGGAGTAGAGGCGTTGGTAGATTTCGCCCCTGATCTGTGCAAGTTTGCAGGCTGATGCAAAGACGCTGAAGCTTCCTGCCTGGTCGTTTGTTGGTAAGGAGTAGACGAGAAAACCCGGTGTGTCTTTTGGCAGAGCTGCGCTGATCGCTTCGTCATTTTGCACCGGAGGTTCACCAAATCGAAAGGAGATCCTGGCCTTGTCAGCTGGGGCGTACAATAGGAAGGCTGGAAGGTACAAGGGCATACTCTCTATCGAGACAGTAAGCAAGCCAAAAGACTATCTGCCGATCCTGTTTCTCTTCATCGGTGAATATCGAGATGCCTTCGGTTGTTCCCAAGCCTAACTGGTCGCTAATATGGATAGCGACGGAGATCAAAAAGTTGCAAGGGCGTGCAGCCGATGCCGCCATGAAGAGAACAACCTAGATGAACATCAACGTTAGCTCTCCGAGGATATCGAAGACTAGGAGCATACCATCACTAAAAGAGCCTGAAGACCCCGAAGATCCGGTGGACCCAGATAAAGCTCGTTGACAGCCTCCAGAGCGTTCTTCAGAAGGAGCCAGCTTTTCTGATGATCTGGCTGCTTGGAAACCCCATTATCCGGAAGCATGTAGGCAACTGCTAGGACCGCATTCATAATAGCCCATTGACCTGGACTTTGAAAGCGCATATCAAGATGTGCTTTTTCAAAGAGAAGGATAAGGTCCGACCGCCTGAATAAAGGGATTGTGACATTGAAGTCCCCCAGATACCTCTCCACAAGACGTACGATATGCTCTTGGGGTGGGAGAGGGCAGAATACTCTCCTGGGAGATATGCAATGGAGTGGATAATCAGCCATAAACCCATCACGCTCCTCCGTTAAGACAAGACGTGTTAAATGATCAAGGGATTCGCCGCCAGTCTTCTCTGCTATCCATTCTAGCCCCTCTCGCGAGATCATCGAAAAGCCTGAAATGACATTAGACTTGGAGAGTATGAAAGAAAGTCCCCGGTTCAGCTTACATCCTGAGTTCAGTATACCCCCAAGATATCTCGGAACGTTAAAGCATGGTATTGCCGCTTGTGGCTGAGTTGGTTGCCCAAACATATTTGGTATATGAGGGCTTGGCGATCTGCTTGCTGTGGGATGGGTCGACCCTGGGGGCGGGCTCGTGTAGATGTTACCCCATTCTGCATCATCGGCATCCTCAGCCACCGGGCTACGATCCGTCGGACTGGATGATAACCTCAATGGTGAAATATCACCAACTAACTCCGACGACGAAGGACCAATTATGGTATCATTTTCGCCCACGGTGAAACCAAGGTCCTGGAGACGAGACTCCATGCGCTCAAGACTTCCTTCCAGATGATTGATCATCGCCTGCCTTTACCGAGCGAGTCAGCCCCTATTCGGTTCCATCAATTCTTTGTAGAGAGTGATGAGCCGGACCTTCGTAAGTTTGCCTGGTATCTCTGCAGATTCCTGGTACAAGCGATCCCCATCTTCTCGCATTGCGAGCACTTGGGTTTGTTGGAGAGATCGCATTTTACTTTCCTGCGCTGACAGGTATCACAAGCCTAGTTATACCTTTATTAGTGTGATGGCAGTCTTAGTTGAATATGTTGGACCCCCACCTTTCGCCGCGTGCTCTTTCTGCCATCTTCCTTACTTGAATCTAAAGGATAAGAGTCTTGTTGGCTAGTTGTGCAATTACTTGGGATGAAAGAGTCCATGCCTCTGCTGGTATTGGATGGCCCATTCATTGTCGGCCTTGGACATGATAGAAATCCACCAGGGACAGTGGAGCAGGGGGTTAGCTTAGCCTGGGATCTCGGGTTGATAAGGGAAGACAGCGGGGAAAATTGCGTTGAGTGGGAGCCCCTTTAAGGAATGACTCTTCAGATCACCAAGCAACCGAAGAGGACTATTCCCGTTGTCTAAGCTGAGATACCCAGTCTGGACCCTGGACGAAGGATGTTAGATTGAGGTGATCATTTTGCCTCCACAGTAGCACAAAAACGCTTTTTCTTTTTTTGGTTTTTGTTTTATTGACAAGATGAATGTTTGAAAGTTAGGGGTCCCGCCTTCAAACCAATCTGATACACGCACAACTTTCTGCTCGGAAAGTCTTGAACCCGATATCAGGGCCATGGAAGGGGCCCATTCGCCCTATCCGAGAAGGGCTGATGAACGTGTGGCGGACCTCGAGGAGAGAATGCCCACTTGGTGTCACAGGGTGTTTTGTGCTGGTACAGATATTGATTATATAATAATACACATGGATCTCTTGAGGCGGTCATCCAATGGGAGCTAAGGATGATCAACAGCTAAACCAAAATAATCCGTCTTGGCGCGCCCGGATGCCGGAAGTTCGCTGCAGACTGTCACAAATAACGGTATTTGGGGGGTAACAATACCAATAGTATTGCGTTTTTCTCGCCGCCGATCCTCTCCATCCTCTCCTTTCTGTGTGGCCAGACCACCCCGTACACTCGACCCGAGCATGAAGGGAACGTGACAATCACGTCTGATCTATCGATTTACCGAATGCTGGTGCGATCGGTCGAATGCAAGATGAACACTTCAGCTGACAGCAAGACTGGAGCAGACGCCAACAGCGTCGAGTCGCGGTCTTATGGCTGGCCGGTCTCCACTATAGAGACGAAACACCAGCAACAATCCGAGACTTCAGTTTTCACGGGTGCGAGTACAACCGTGATCCGGCTCATTCCACGTGTATCAGCGATAAGCGAAGATCTCCCTGAGCCATCCATGGAAGCCCAGGAGAGTGAATTCGCCCGACCGCGAGGCCCAGGAACCTCCCGTTCCCCGAAATTGGGTCCGCAGTATGCTGGTTGGTTCGGAATCCGGAGTCTCAGCACGACTTCAAGACCCAAACCAGGACAAATTATTAATCAGAATTAGGCTTCTAACTTTCGGGTGGAAACCGTTACCTCTAGTCTGGCGGATATGATAGGGGGTCGCCGACACAATCTGATTCGGGTCCCCGGAGGTTCCCTGTGCACGCTAGGCAGATCAGATGGCTAAAACCATTGCGAATCTTCTGTCTGTCATTGCAACAATGGAGATCGGGAACTCCGCGAGCGGGTCCCTGGAACTTTCGTTTACCGAAGACTAGACCTATTGCCTCAAGCATTGTGGACCCCCGTCTTACCCTCAGCTAGGGAGTTACTTGTAGTTATATAACCTCCACTACCTGCTGGCCCCCTAGTCTGTCCCCATCTTCGTTAAGAATTGAAGGTTATCTCACTCAACTAGGTGGACTGACTCGGTTTCGAATTAATTATCAACATCTACTGTGTGGTTTGTCCCTCGAGCACCCCAGGGCTCAACGGTCGGTGCTTGCTTTTGGTGCATGACCACAGCAGCGTAATTCCGAAAACAAGCCACCATGTCGTCGTTCGTCGCCACGACAAATCCCAACTCCTCCCGGGCACAGGCTGTGGTCAGCCATAACCTGCCACAACTGCAGGGCAGCCCAGACTTGGACAACGCAATCCATGGACCCCCCGGGAGCGCATACACCGAGAAGTCGGAGCAGAGAAGCGAAGATGACGAAACTTTGCAAGGAAGGGAGGAGAAGATAGAAGCCCGGGTGGGCGACCTTGCTCGCCAGCTCACACGCCAATCGACTCGATTTTCTACCAAAGGCACACTTGATAATCCCTTTCAAGTCGACGATCCGGAATCGACGCTCAACCCCCATAGCCCCAATTTCAAGCCCAAAGACTGGATGAAGATGCTTCTCGCCATCAGATCTCGTGACCCCGAGCGATACCCTGACCGGGCAGCTGGTGTTGCTTTCCGGAATTTGAGTGTCCATGGATTCGGGTCACCGACTGACTACCAGAAAGACGTCCTGAATTCACTTTTGGAACTGGGAACCCTGGCTCGCCGACTAGTCGGAATGAAGATGCAAAAGATCCAGATTCTTCGTGAATTCGATGGGTTGGTGAAGAGTGGGGAGATGGTCGTTGTGCTCGGAAGACCGGGTAGCGGTTGTACCACGTTCCTCAAAACGATTGCCGGCGAGATGAACGGTATTGAGATGTCCGAAGACTCTGTGCTCAACTACCAGGGTATGTGGCTCGCTCGGAAGGTTATCCATTGACCGCGTGGTTGCTAACAACGGTTGTCAACATCCAGGTATTCCCGCAAAAGAGATGCAGAAGTCCTTCCGGGGTGAAGCCATCTACAACGCCGAGACCGATATCCACTTCCCTCAACTCTCCGTCGGTGATACTCTGAAGTTTGCTGCCCTTGCAAGGGCCCCTAGGAATCGCCTCGAGGGCGTCAGTCGGCAGCAATATGCAGAGCATATGAGAGATGTGGTCATGGCCATGCTTGGACTGTCCCATACGATCAATACTCGGGTCGGAAACGACTTCATTCGCGGAGTCAGTGGAGGTGAGAGGAAGCGTGTTAGTATTGCAGAGGCAACCCTCAGTCAAGCACCACTTCAGTGCTGGGATAACAGCACCAGAGGTCTCGATAGTGCCAATGCCCTGGAATTCTGCAAGAACCTAAACCTCATGAGCAAGTATTCCGGAACCACGGCTTGTGTTGCTATCTACCAGGCGTCTCAGAGTGCATACGATGTGTTCGACAAGGTGACTGTGCTCTACGAAGGACGGCAAATCTATTTCGGACGAACAACGGAGGCCAAGCAATTCTTTGTGGATATGGGTTTTGAGTGCCCTGAGCGCCAAACCACTGCCGACTTTCTTACATCCCTCACCAGCCCATCGGAGCGCTTGGTCCGCCCAGGTTTTGAGAACCGTGTCCCTTGTACTCCCGATGAATTCGCGGCAGCTTGGAAACAAAGCAGTGCTAGAGCAGCACTTCTTAGGGAAATTGAAGAGTTTGAGCAGCAATATCCCATCCATGGCTCTTCCTATGATGCTTTTGTGGACGCCCGGAAAGCCATGCAGTCAAAGAACCAGCGCGTCAAATCCCCCTACACGATCTCGGTGTGGGAGCAGATTTCGTTGTGCACTGTTCGTGGATTCCAACGTCTCAAGGGAGATTCCAGCTTGACTGTCAGTGCCCTGGTCGGTAATTTTATCATTGCCTTGATTGTGGCTTCAGTGTTTTATAACCTTCCGGATACTACGGCCAGCTTCTACTCCCGCGGAGCTTTGCTGTTCTATGCAGTTCTCTTGAATGCTTTCTCCAGTGCGCTCGAAATTTTGACGCTTTATGCTCAACGTCCAATTGTTGAAAAACAGGCGCGATATGCATTCTATCATCCTTTTACAGAAGCCGTGGCCTCCATGCTATGCGATACACCTTACAAGCTGCTAAACTCGATCACGTTCAACCTCCCTTTGTACTTTATGACGAATTTGCGCCGTACTGCTGGTGCCTGGTGGACTTTCTGGCTCTTCTCGGTGGCCACCACCTACACCATGTCCATGATTTTCAGAACTATGGCTGCCACCTCACGCTCCCTCTCACAAGCGCTCGTGCCTGCAGCTATTTTGATTCTGGGAATGGTTATCTACACTGGTTTCGTGATTCCCACTCGCAATATGCTTGGATGGTCCCGTTGGATGAATTATATTAACCCCATTGCCTATTCCTTTGAAAGTTTCATGGTCAATGAGTTTTCTGGTCGCCAATTCGAATGCTCCAGTATTGTTCCTTCTGGCCAAGGGTATAACTCTGTATCCATGGACTACAGGATTTGCTCCACGGTCGGTGCCCAGTCTGGATCGACGATCGTGGACGGAACTGCCTATCTGAAACAAAGTTTCCAATACACCAAAGGGCATGAATGGCGCAACTTCGGAATTTTGATCGCCTTCATGGTATTCTTCTGTTTTGTCTACCTCGCTAGCACCGAATATATCTCCGAGGCAAAGTCTAAGGGCGAAGTCCTTCTGTTCCGCCGCGGCCACCAGCCAAAGCTTCCGCACGGCGAAACCGACATGGAATCATCTGCTACCCCTGGCGGTGCTGTCAAAGGCGACGCTCCCGCCCAGGACTCGGAAGTTCGCATCCAGAAGCAAACGGCTATCTTCCATTGGCAAGATGTGTGTTACGACATCAAGATCAAGGGTGAACCCAGACGCATCTTGGATCACGTCGACGGCTGGGTGAAGCCCGGTACGTGCACCGCACTGATGGGTGTGTCGGGAGCCGGTAAGACGACATTGCTTGATGTCCTGGCCACACGTGTCACGATGGGAGTTGTTACGGGAGAGATGCTTGTCGATGGACGGCCCCGCGATCAGTCATTCCAACGCAAAACCGGCTATGTGCAACAACAGGATCTGCATCTACCTACTTCTACCGTTCGCGAGGCTCTCCGCTTCAGTGCTTTGTTGCGTCAGCCGGCGCATGTTAGCCGCGCGGAGAAACTGGAATACGTTGAGGAAGTGATCAAACTCCTGGGCATGGAGCCTTACGCGGATGCGATCGTCGGTGTGCCTGGAGAGGGTTTGAACGTCGAGCAACGCAAACGACTGACGATTGGTGTCGAACTTGCTGCCAAGCCGCAATTGTTGCTTTTCCTGGATGAACCTACTTCTGGTCTTGACAGTCAGACTTCATGGTCTATCCTCGACCTTATTGATACCCTTACTAAACATGGACAAGCCATCCTCTGTACCATCCACCAGCCTTCTGCTATGCTGTTCCAGCGCTTTGACCGATTGCTCTTTTTGGCGCGTGGTGGAAAGACGATCTACTTTGGTGAAATCGGCGAGAATTCAAACACACTGTCCAGCTACTTTGAACGCAACGGCGCCCATCCGTTAGCCGAGGGAGAAAATCCGGCAGAGTGGATGCTTGATGTTATTGGAGCAGCACCAGGTTCTCACACAGACATAGATTGGCCAAAAGTATGGAGGGAAAGTCCCGAGCATACGAAAGTCAAGGAGCACCTCGCGGAACTGAAATCGACCCTATCTACCAAACCCCAGGATAACTCCGACCCAGAAGCTTTCAAGGAGTACGCAGCATCATTTGGTGTCCAGCTTTATGAATGCTTGGTCCGTGTCTTTGCCCAGTATTACCGCACGCCGAGCTACATCTGGTCCAAGACTATTCTCTGTGTTCTGTCCGCCCTGTACATCGGATTCTCGTTCTTCCACGCTCCCAACTCCATCCAGGGCATGCAAAACCAAATGTTCAGTGTGTTCATGTTGATGACTATCTTTGGTAATTTGTGCCAACAGATCATGCCACACTTTGTCACTCAAAGATCGCTCTACGAAGTCCGAGAACGCCCATCCAAGTCCTATTCCTGGCAGGCATTCATGACGGCCAATATTTTCGTGGAACTTCCATGGAATACCTTGATGGCCGTTCTCATGTTCGTCTGTTGGTACTACCCGATCGGCTTATACAACAACGCGAAGCCCACTGATGCCGTTAATGAAAGAGCCGGTCTCATGTTTTTGCTTATCTGGGTCTTCCTTCTCTTTACATCAACCTTCGCCCACATGATAATTGCAGGAATCGAGCTAGCAGAGACTGGAGGTAATATCGCGACGTTGTTATTCTCCCTTTGCTTGATCTTTTGTGGTGTCCTTGCGACTCCTGATAACATGCCTGGATTCTGGATTTTCATGTACCGGCTGTCCCCGTTCACATACCTGGTATCTGCAATGCTCTCAACAGGCCTTGCCGGGACCACCGTGACATGCGAAGCCGTCGAGTATTTGTCTTTCAACACGCCCGGAAACCAGACGTGTCAGAACTATATGTCGTCGTATATCAGCGCCAATGGGGGTTACCTGTTGAACCCATCGGCCACGTCAGACTGCCAGTTCTGCACTATGAGCAGCACGGATACCTTCCTTGCTCAAGTGGTTAGTTACTTTTCGGATGCCTGGCGCAACTTTGGCTTGATGTGGGTGTATATCGCCTTCAACATCGTCGCGGCGGTGGGTGTTTACTGGTTGGCTCGTGTGCCCAAGGGCAAGATGGTGTCTAAGTGATCTGTGTACGTTGTGTCATCCCAACTGTGTGATGGCAGTTTGGGATTCCTTTCACCCTTCAACATCATATATTTCAAATTCCAATCTCTTTCCAATCTCTTTCAACTTCACTGTTCATTGTACGATCTTTAGAAGATTGTCTATATTGCTTTTCTCTTCGTGTCGCTCGTTTCCCAGTTGACTGGCCTGAGATATACTCCGTGCGCACTCACTGGACACACCTTTTTTTTGTTGATTTCGCTTCTGTTCATGCTGTATACTTTCTCTTTCTTCAACAGTTGTACAGATAGAGCTACATACTATTAGACTTAGACTGCAACAGCAATAATCAAATCTTGGCTTACATCCCACCCCCGCCCTAATACTAGATGTGTGAATTTACTACACTAACATTTAAATTAACTTCATATAGTCATGGTCTAACTACTGTCATACGCAAATTATTACGGATCAGTAGAAATCTAAAGATAACCCTCTATGACCCAACCCCCCTCAGCTTTCTCACCCAAGGATGTTCCGCACTGTGCCTCGGGATCCCAGGTCGAAACCGCCTCATCTGCAAATCAGCCCGTACATTACACAGCAAACTAATGCCATCCCACTCCCATCGAGGCGGCGCGCTAACTTAAGATCGAACCGCGTCCACGACTTGGCATTAGTCGTGATATCGTCCAGGTGACGGTTCGCCCCCTGATCGTGACTGAAAATGTCAATCTCGCCCATCTAAACAGGAGCAGGCCTGTTACTAATGTTGGTGTTGTTGCCTGTGATAGGCTCCAACACCAGGTATGACTTTAATAATTGGATAAGTCGACAGTCTGCGCAATAGCTCTGACTCTGTCAGTCCGCGTCTGGCATTGTCTCTGAAAGCGCGTGGGGCGGCCGAAAATTCTCCGCCCAATCAACCAATCACTCTTTCGCCCGAGCCACGATCATCGCGAACCGACCGAAATAGGCAAAAAATTCGAGAGCGAGCGGATACCCTAAGGCAACGGCGTTCCCCGTTTTGTCTCACTTTATCAATGGGTATCTAATAACAGAACTATTATCGAAACATGTGGCACTTTGCGGAGTACGAGGAAAAGCGGGAAATATTACATGGGGTTATAGCAATCTATTCCATTTAGGGCAAAGATAGTTTCCTCGTTGGGTCAGATCGCGAGCCCTGGCATTTGTTGATATTCTTGGGACTCTAGGAGTGCTTCAACTGGTTCGGCGGTTTTCCCATCGCATCCCAGCGGGGATATGGTAAAAGAAAAAAAAGCCTGTCTGCTGGAGTGTAATGGTGGTGGATTTGGTGTGAATATTAGAACTCTTTCACGTAACTCAAGGAAAAACGCGTTCGTCACTAGAAATACTGGATTGCAGACCGATTTTGTCATCCGCAACGTTCATCTGCCATAATGACTTCGTTTGAAGAGAAGGTAAACTTGCTCCGTCAGTCGTCTGAGAATGGCAGGAAGCCCCTACCACGGGTTACACTAGGAGCTATTAATCGTGATGGTATGAGCAGATAAAACTGATTATGTCTTTTCCCTTCTGTATACGTACTGCTTGCTTACACCATACAACCAAGGTTCCTTGCACTATGCTAAGGCATTTGGAGAGGAATCTATAGAATCCACCGATACCGATGCCGTGCATTGGGTGGCCTCCTGTACCAAATTGGTGACTACCATTGCAGTAATGCAGTGTGTCGAGCGCGGTCTACTAGACCTGGATGGAGATGTCGCCAACGTATTACGGGAGTGGGCGAGTCCTCAAATCTTGACGGGCTTCGACGAAAATGATAATCCTATCTTTCGGGCAGCCACCAAACCTATTACTCTACGGTATCTCACACTCTCTCCGGATTGATGCAACAATTGAATCAGGTGTACTAACGGCTGCAAGACGCATGTTAACCCACTCCAGTGGTATGGGGTACTTCTTCATGGATCCTCTCATGACTCGTTATCACGAGCTGCAGGGAAGCCCACCCGTGGTCCAGACATTACACCAATACCAATTCTTACTCTTCGAACCGGGTGAACGATGGATGTATTCACCTGGCATTGACTGGGCAGGAGTAGCAGTAGGTTCCAACGTCCCGCATTATTCATGAAATTCATAAATTGACAATAGATGCTTCAAAAAGGTTGAGCGAGTCACTTCAATGAAGCTAGGCGACTATTTGCAGCGCCATGTTTTCGATGTTGTTTCCGTGAAGGATGCAACGTTCCATCTCGAGCAGAGAGAAGACCTACGAGCCCGCAAGGTCAAAGCTTGGACGCGAACAGATCAAAGACTGGAAGAAGAGAAGAATCCAATCTTCCTCGACCCCATTGCTGAAGATGTAGGAGGAGGCGGTCTATATACAACCGTGAGCGAAATGCTCAAAATTTGTCAAGGCATACTTACGGCACAGTTACTGCGTCCCGAGACCCTTAAGGAGATGTTCCAACCTCATCTGGAGAGTGTTGAGGGCCTCGAAAAACCGGAAGATTATTCGTTGCCGTCGCGCAATGCCATATGGAATGCTATCCCATGTGACACACCGGTGGATTTTGGGATCGGTGGCCTGCTCAACAGATCCAGACTCCCGCAGGGTCGAGAAGCATATTCGCTCTCGTGGTCGGGAAAACCAAATTGTTACTGGGTTGGTCATCCAATACCTTTAATTGACCCATTGCAGTTGACTAACATACTATAGTGGATCGACATCAAAAAAGGGGTTGCTGGGATATACCTTTCTCAGCTTATACCGACCGGAGATCAAAGTGCCATTGAACTGCTGACTGAGTTCGAAAGATGGGTGTACTCGCGTATAGAGAATCTGGATTGCGCAGCAAAGTAGACAGCAGACCTAGGGCCTCGAATACAGTAGGTTCAGAGATTACTATGGCAGTTTTAGTGTGATTGTAAATATCGAGGAATTTCTGTTATGTAAGAAGATAATCCAATGTTAACGTTAGATGATCAGCTTTGACTCCAAATCAGTCATCCTGTATCAGAAACATCTTGTAATCTACATATCCTATTTCAACCAATTCTCTGAGGGTATTCAGAATTTTTTGGAGTATTAAAGGAGGTTGTAGGATTTTCGTGTTTTTATTTTATTATAATTTCGATTTTGCTGATTTTGATTCTAACCTTTAGTTTTCAATTTTGTATTATTTCATATCACGTGCAGAGGCTAGACCGGTAAAATAATTAACCTTTAAGTTTAATCAGTTTTAGCTTAAATGATCACGGGTACGAGTTAATTTTGAGTCAGGGTTCCTCTAAAATTATCTCAATAGGTAGGTTTTGTAGTTCCAGGCTGACACTGCCACGCTAATTCCCGAACGTGTCGCATGTGGGTGCCCAGCACAGTCCATCCGCGCTTATTCTCAAACGTACCAAATCTTTGGAGGGCGCACATTCTTGGCGGTTTCATCCCTTGAGGCATTCGCACGTTATGTTCGCTTTCTAACACTAAGCGACAGTTCCTCGCAAGTAATATCTGGCCTAGGACTGGGGTTGTAGGTTGTAATATGGCACAGTCCCAAATCATAGATATAGACCACAGCACTTGTGACTTTATCAAGAAAGCCATACATGCGTCCCATGAGCCTTTAGCACTGGTATTTCCACCTCATACAGCAGATGGCGTCAGCCTTGGGCTCTAACTAGATCTAAGACAGCGGCAGCAACCTTGTCAGGATTTGATGAACTACGAGCGGGTCACGAACTTAGCTCACCGTCATCTTTACTGCTTTAGGCAGTTGAGTGAAGAAGTATTTCTGTACTCCAATCAGACATATTCTATGAGTCTTGGTGTTTTAATTGTCTCACACTTTTTGATGGATCTCTTTTTCTCCGTAAAATCACCGAGGATGAAGCCCATTTAGGGTGTTTATACTAGTGGCCTTGGCCTTCTTGATCTCTTATAAGCCAATCGGAGAGAGTTGGCGATTGACGATGGGTTGGCGGGTGTGCCTCCCAGCTGCAGGTATGAGATGAATTAAAGCACAGCCATGAAGACGGAGGTTGGATTTTATTTTCCTGAGTTGGAGCTTGTCAAAGCATCCTGTACATAGCTTAAGCAATGAATCCCGGGGTCAGAACCTTAACATGGCAGAACTGTCTGCAAGGGTCCAAAAAACGTGCAAGGACCATGAAGCGAGGCACTAGCCTCTTTTCAAACGCAATTCAGGTACGGCGCATTTAAGCCACCAGCAAACCCACACGATGCTCCCCAGGCAGCCACAAATATTAGTCAATCATGGCTGTGTATATCCACTTTGGCTACGTGGTCCCTGCTCCAGGCTGTCATTTACTGGACCTTAACGGGCCCTAAGTGGCCGGCCCTCAGCCTAGGGGAGCGTTCTTTCCGTATTCGTATTTGACCTCGGCAGGATCTTACTTTGGCGCAACCTGAGACAAAGAAGCTCCAGGAGATCAACATAAACGGCGCAAAGTATATGCAGAGCCCTGATTAAAAAAAGAGAAAATAAAAAAAGAAAAAATTAAGGGGGGGGGAACACTGCTGTGCTGTGTCATTAAAGAGACAGATGTGCTCCAGTATAACTGGAGGTAGCTTGTCTTGCACAACTATGGTCTCCCCCGGAATATTAGCAACTGCAAACATTACCACATCTGCAAGCACAGAATGGCGATGCTAAATCTGGTCCTTTCTGCCTCTTACCTCTATATATTTGGTACTATATTCTTTGACATCATTCACTATCGTCTACACCAATGGTCGAGATCTCGCTGGCGAATCCTCCGTTTTCTTTCTCGCTGTCATCAATACCACCACCTCTACTACCCTCGATCCCTTCAATTCAATCAGCGATACGCCAAACCGAATGCCTTGATTGCTCTTCCCCTCGAGCTAATATGTCAATTACTTGGAAGTATTATCGGCTGGATCCTTGCTACCATCCTGAGTTTACATGTTAAACGCCTCGATACGAATGCCCTCTCTCTCGTCCTCGTCGTGCAAACCATTCGCTCTCTTTTTGTTATTATCAGTAACGGCCAGGACTCCAATCATATCGCCCTTGACAAAGTACCGAAAGATCATAGCTGGGCGTTCGTGGGACCGGAGTACCACTCCTTGCACCATATCTACCCAGATCGGTATATGGGATCTATGGTGAAACTGTTTGACTGGGTTGCGGGTACTGCATACTCTCTAAAGAACAAGACGGTGGTCATGACGGGTGGATCGGGGGCATTTGGACAAGCGATGGAGAAGCAATTACTTGCTGAAGGAGTCAAAAGCATACACAAGCTGCAGTTCGGCAAGGACTGGAACAACGAAGACTTCTCGCGCGTTGGACCTACCCTTGAAGGGGCAGATATCATCATTCTCGCGCATGGAACAAAGGGGTCAGATGCCATGGACTCGAACTGCACCTCATCAGTCCGTTTAATTGAGCTGTTCATGCAACATATGTCTGCACAATCTCAGAGAACCAAAGTTCTACCAGAAATCTGGTACGTCGGCAGCGAAGCGGAACTGCATCCGGCTTGGGGTGGACCTGAGATGGTACGATACACTGCGTCTAAGAGAGCATTCTTACCCTACGCACGTGCTCTGTACAAGTCGGACAAGGTTATATATCGACATATCGTCCCTGCAGCGTTCGATTCTCGTATGGGAAAGGCGATTGTGTCAGCTGATTGGGCTGCGCGGTGCACAATGTCGTGGATTCGACGAGGAGCTTATTACGTCCCGGTTACATATACGGGGCTTGCATATCTGAACTTCTTCAAATTCTTATTTGGGGCGTCAGCACATCTGAAATGGATGGATAAGATGGAGAATGCTTAGGAGGGTGCATAACATAGATGGCGTAATTTGGATTCTTTTTTGATATTTTTCTTGTGTGTGTAAGCAACTTTTGAGGCTTTCGGCGCATAACAAATCTGGAATAGACATATGCAATAGATAGTCCTGGACCGCAGCAAACACATTACGTTTCTCATTGCTCTCATTTGGGATTATCCTTATCAGTATGAGTTGGATTCATTGTAAGCAACGGGAGAGATACTAAATGCGTTGTAAATGTTATACACAAATATTGCAACCTCCAGACCAATATGGCTGATTCAGGTCCACTGATGCGCTCCTTGTGTGATATCCCTCAATGAATGAATTGGCGGAAATCCGAGCATAAGCAGCTCTTGTGAACTCCGATCGTCAATGCTCAGATTCCTTCTCTGGTCTCTTATTCCGCCAACCAGTTCAATGAATACCAACGTGGTCACATACAGCCCGTCGCAACCAATTAGGCAAAAAGAAAAACTATGAAGGAAAAACATACAACAGAAGGGATTCGCTGGTGGTCACCCACCCAACTACTAACCTCCCGGCGTGTGGCTTAAGTACGGCTGAGCGGACGGGAAGCCCTGTTTTCCACACCCTATGGTCGTATGTATTGAGCTGAACCCATAAGGAAATTGATATGGGGTAGAATATCAGTAATTTTCTTCACAGATGCAATCCTATACATGCAGCACCCCGAACTCTGAGGGCTTTTGCCAGGAACGGAAGCACAGGTTGGCTGTCGTCGTGGCCGCAAGGCAGGAAAACACCTCAGCTCTTTTATCACAAGCAGCCAGCCAAATAACGATGATAAGATTAGCCCGCGGGAAGGCGCAGTTCAGAGCCGCGCTAAAATATTTACTCGCTGCTGCGCCTTCTCCATATAGGGCATAGTCGCATGCGCCGGCGTATATAAAACAACCGAATCTGCCACTACGGACTGGTCCCCGAATAGCACCTTTCTTCATCTTTCTTTTTATTTGTACTATCTGTGCTACCCATATATCCACAGAATGTCAGTCGAAGCCTCCCACCCCTCCAGTCGTGCTAGTTTCGTGATCGCAATCATATGCCCACTTTCCCTGGAGGCGCAAGTCGCGATACCCCTCTTTGACACGGTCTATGACAGAACTGTCTATGAGAAATATGGGCCTGTGCGGAATGACCCCAATCACTATACGCTGGGCCGTATTGGCCGTTACGATGTGGTTCTGGCCCACATGGGTGGTTGTGGGAAAGCCGAAGCATCCAGCGTGGCCAGTCATATCAAACAAAGTTATCCGGGCATCGAACTGGCCCTGTTGATAGGGATCTGCGGAGGAGTGCCTTACAGGACGAATGTGGGTCCAGCACAACCGAGAAGAGATGTTTTTCTTGGCGATGTGATAGTCAGCGGCGCGATTATTCAATATGACTTGGGGAAAAAGTTGCCGCACCGATTTGTGTGCAAGGATACGTTAGAGTCAAATCTAGGGCGAGCGAGTCAGCAGATCCGGTCATTCATTGAGACCCTAAAGTCACGTCATGAAGAATTGTCCAAGGAGCACCAGAAGTATCTTCAGACTATACGAGATTGCAAAGATGTGCCATATCCTGAACCCAATAGCGACATCTTATTTAAGCCTGAATACAAGCATCGCTCACACTGTCAGTGTATGAGTCATGTCAGTGGGGACGAAAGCGTTGTGGACCGCCGCCGTGTGGACTCCGATGGGATTCCCTATATCCATTTTGGTCGGCTTGCCTCGGGGGATACCGTGATGTGCTCTGCCAAAGATCGAGACAAGATTGCCAAGCGCGAAAAAGTTCTTGGATTTGAGATGGAAGGGGCGGGCGTATGGGACAGTGTCCCTTGCATCCTGATCAAAGGAGTAAGCGACTACGCTGATAGCCATAAGAATGATGTATGGCAATATTACGCCGCTGCAAGTGCAGCGGCTTGCATGCGTGCTCTCCTGGATCAGACTCCCATCTCGCCCGCGACGTCATCAGCGGGCCCAGGACAGGGTATGTAAGCAACCATTGTATCCTTAGTTACAAGTAGGCTCGCTTAGCTGCGTCCATCAATAAACGTCAATTGACTTTCCTGCAGATACACTTGCTCCCCAGTTAAATCCGCGAAAAAGACCCGCAGAGCCATCTGAGGTCTCTAGTAACGAACGGGAAAAAGCGTACCTTGACTTACTAACCTTTCCCCAGGCCCAGTATCGCCTGGACGAGATTACCGATCCTCACGATACGACTTGCGCTTGGGTATTAGAGCGACCAGAATTTAAGACATGGATGAGCGGGGAGGATCTGAAAAGACACGGAGGATTTTTTTGGATCAAAGGGAAGCCAGGAGCCGGAAAGTCGACGCTCATGAAATACCTTCTTCCAAAAGCAAAGCAATTCGGAAAAGACACAGTGATCTCGTCTTTCTTCTTCCATGCCCAGGGCGTGGACTTGGAGAGGTCCACTGTGGGAATGTATCGTTCCCTCTTGCACCAGCTTCTCTCGTCTACCGCCATTCCGTCAAGTGCCAAACAGCCCTACTTCAACTTTGCAGCGAAGATGCTAAGTCAAGATGACGGGATAACTTGGACGATCCGAGACTTGAAGCATCAGCTCTTATCGATCATCCGATCTCTGACCAACCACTACGTGTTTGTTTTTATTGATGCTCTGGATGAATGCGATCAAGACGAGATGGGTGACATGATACCGTTCCTCGAGCATCTGGGACACTCCGCGAACGCATGCGGGGTTCATTTGAGAATCTGCCTGGCAAGCCGACACTATCCACAACTCAGCATTGAACGTGGCATTGAGTTGGTCCTGGAGTACCAGCAGGAGCATCAAGGCGACATGCGAAAGTACGTTGAGACTAAGTTAAGAGGGGGCAAGTCCAAGATGATCCAAGAAATTAGAGAAGAAATTTGCGCCCGGGCAGCCGGAGTATTCCTCTGGGTTACACTTGTGGTTCGGTCGCTGAATGATGCGTTTGCCAAGGGCAAACTCCATGCCGTACGTCAACGGCTGGATGAGATTCCAGACGGCCTTGACGAGCTTTTCACCGATATGCTGACCAGAGACACCAACGACATTAGCGATCTTATCTTCTGTCTTCAGTTCATATTATTTGCGCACCGTCCGTTATCCAGGGATGAGCTTTACTTCGCCGTCATGTTTGCTAAAGATGGCTTGATCAAAAGAGACGGCGAATGGCACATTGATCCCCACATTGAAAATTTCATCCTCAACATCTCCAAAGGCCTCGTTGAAACCTCCCGATCTAAATCACGCACTGTGCATTTTATCCACGAGTCAGTGCGGGATTTCTTACTGCGACGGGACGGTTTCAGCAGACTTCAGGCTGGGTTGGGCGCGAACGCAGTCGGGAACGCCCATGATGAGCTTGCACAACTCTGCTTTCGATACATGTGCCAATTCAAGTTGTTAGCCGCGGATGATATTTCAAAACTCTATGCTTCTCCACGTGCAGCAAAGATAAAGTACGTCGAGTCAGAAACCCCGTTTCTCGACTACGCTATTCATAGCCTCCTACCTCACAGCAATGCGGCCGAGGCTGCAGGTACTTCGCAAGATGCCTTCCTGGCAACGTTCTCTTTGTCATTCCATGACTTCAAGGACATTCGTAATGCCCTGGAACCTTATCACACCCGCCGATATAGGACCAAAGTGACGGCTCTGTATGTCCTGGCAGAATTGAATTTGGACCATCTCATCCGCCTAGAGCTCCTACGCACACCGCCGTTGTGGAAGGAAATGGGAAGGCATCACAGTCCAATGGGTGCCGCTGTCTACGCGGGTAACACGCTTGCGATTAGAGCCCTGCTTGGCTGCGATCCAAGTGCAAATACCTCTGCCGACAATTCGCTGCTTAAGCCGGATGTTATTGATCGCATGAAGCATTATGTGGTTGGCAGCAAGCAAATTCGGATGCGATCGGGTCATTCGATGGCCTTGTTTCTGGTGGAGTACGCTATTGAACGTGGCCATGTAGCAGTATTGAAGCTTCTCCAACAAACCGGCGAAATTGATTTGAACTACAAACTCAACAATGGTTACCTGCCCCTTATCTATGCGGTCAGGTGTACAAAAGCAGAAATATTTGAATTTTTGCTCGACAATGCCGGAGTCTATCGTGGCAACCGAGATGCCAGGATTGGGTTATCCCTGCGTATTGCAATCAGCGAAGGCAAACGGGATATTTCTAATGTCCTACTTTACCACGCAATGAGTCGCCATTGGATGAACTCTTTCGGGGAATGTGCCTTCCATTGGGCAGTAGCCGGAAACCACGGGCCTACAGTTAGACGGCTCATTGGGCTTGGCTGCAACGTAGCAAACCGCGATGGAAGCGGGCGAGATGCCTTATCACATGCCGCCGAACAAGGCAAAGTCGAGATGGTGAGAATTTTAATTGAAAGCGGAATGGTGGATATAGATGGGAAAGACGATCAAGGAAGGACGGCTTTCTCATGGGCCGCAGGACCAGACGAACATACGCTAAATCATTCCCCTAAGCCAAAACAAGCCTGGGATGATTTGCAGAAGGAGGTCATGTATGTGCTACTCAGCACAGGATGCGTTGACGTGAACTCCAGAGATGGATATCAACGGACACCCTTATTCTGGGCTGTTAAGGAAAATAAGCCAGTGGCAGTGGACATTCTTCTTGAGGCCTCAGACACTGAGGTTGACTGCAAAAGTTTGACTGGAAAAACGCCACTTTCGGTGGCAGCGGTGCATGGACACGTAGCCATGCTACGAAAACTCCTGCAGTCTGGCCTTGCGGATGTCAATACTCAGGATAAATTCGGCCGAACACCATTATCTTGGGCTGTTTATCCATCCTGTAGTTCTCCACGACCATCAGTGAGACCTTCAGTAACAGAAACCCCGTCATCTTGCCCCAGGAGAGGGTATAGGCTAGAAATTACCTGGGGGCTTTGTGCAGTGCCGGTGCTGCTGGATTGGCCTACAATTGATGCCAGCCTTGCTGATTGCTTTGGCCATCCACCAATGTGGTGGGCCCATGTTTTCAGGAATCTTCTGCCTTCATCCCAACATGACGAGCAAGATAAAGTTATCCAGTTGCTCACAGCTCATCTATCGAAAAAGGATGAATCTAATAACAACGCGGTTTTGTCATCAGATAGGGAAACCCTAGATCGTGAGATCCAGCTGGTTGCAGCGTCCTATTCACCGTCTTATGATTGAAGCGCCCTTGAGGCTTTCTGAGTACAGACATATTGCTTCAACGATTTCCCTGGGGGCAAGGACCACCTGTAAAGGCTCATGGAGAACTCTCCACTCATACAACTGAAACGAACATCGTGCAGTGATGAGGTTGCTCTTTGCTCGTGTACATAATCACATTCAAGCAATAATAACTTATCAACCTCAAGGACAGCAGCGAATGACACCCAGGATCAAATCTACTAGGCCCACACTTTATGTCCTTGTCATGAGTGAAAGTGCAATATCGATTCGTCCACAAAGGCGTCCTTGCCCCAGGCTTGCAGGAGACAAGAGACCATCGCCTTCGCACCTGGCTATCCCCCTTTCTACTGTTTGACAGTCCCAGATACCTATATACTGGTCTCGATTCCTTCTTATACCAACTTTACTTATATTCAAGCCTTCTGGTTTAGCTATATACCAAAATCGGCCATGCTCTCGACCACCAGGGTACGAGCTCAAGCGCCGGCCAAGGACATATGGGCTCAAAGACTGGCCGTGGCGTCGTTCGTATTTCGGGGTTGTTGGAGACCATGATACCCAATCCAACCGAAAATAAACCAAACTCAAAATCTACGTACGTGGAAACTACTAGTTCGAAGAAAAGTTACAGAGACGGATCACCGCATTCATCCTCACGTAGCGAAATGAAGATCAAAGCACATACAGACAACAGATGCTGTATCCCGTCAAGATGAACACCAATTACTGTCCGTCACCAACCAATTTATGCATGATCTCTTCTCTCCAGCCCCAACCCAGCACAAACGCAGCTCCAGGGCCAAGCGTAATCGTAGTCCCCACCAGTCCCCCAACAGCCTTCAACCAAGAGAACGAGGCCCCAGCATCTTTCAATTCTTTGAATTTCAACGCGAGCCAAATGAACCCACTAGCCATGGATATCACTTCATCATACTGGAGGAACCTCGCAATCCCGTCAGAAAATGAGGTGACAGGCTCCAAGTGGCCTCTCAACCCGGGCAAAAAGGCACTAGCGAACGAAGCATGATCTGGCACAGAGTATCGAGCGTGAAAGAACGTAAGTCCAGAGAACAAAGCAAACGTGCCATATGCGTACCGGGCATAACGCATACTCTTCTTACGTTCTTCCTTTTGATGTGTCTTGTTCTTACTTATGAAACATGTCTTGACCAGACGATGCAAGGGAGCCTGTAGCAGAGGTACCACGACAGGAAACAGTTGCCAAACGGCATTGTGCGTGCGCCGCGATTCAACCGTTGGAACCACAAAGTTCGCAAATGTGGGTAGATAGTATACAACCAGCATAGCATACACTAAAGAGCTTGAAGTCTCCGGCGCTATCTGCTGCTTGGCCCCCGGTAGGAGGCTTGAAAGGGGCGAGCGGATATGCTCTAGTGCATAGTAGATTGGTGCAAACTTCCCAATGCCTTTCAACTGGAAGGTGATTCCTGCGCCTATCGGGCTATTCGTTTCTACTTAGCCATCCTATCTGCTGGGAGGGGAAGGTATAAAGTAGACTTACAGTATAAGCTCATACCAGGAATTTGCTTTGCGATAACTTTCCAAAAGCCATATTCCGTAGATGGGGCCATTGTCGGCCATAAATGATAACATTTGGATGCGGGATTGCGGATCAGATCCACTGATAGAGGGCAGGAAACATGTAATCGCTGGCCGAAAGAGTTTGTCCAAAAATGGGATATGATAGAATGGTCTGCTTAGGTTAAGGACCTCCCCATTACCTGCGGACCATACCCCCTCTGCAAACAAAGACAGCATGAAGGGCCCAGTCTGAGTTATCAACGTCCCCATTGTCTTTTGCGCAGCAGCATAGCAGGCAACAAAGGGAACGATTGAAAGAGCACGCTTCCATAACTCATTACCCTCTTTGGAGACACTGTTGTCGTCATCCAGGTACGGCATGGTGCACTCTAGTGATTTTGGTGGCAGAGGTAGACAGTCAATTTTTGCTGCTCCAACAACCGTAGCGGACGTTTGATCGACCAAGTATTGGCTAAGATATGGAAGAAGATACAGCCCGATGATCTTTTCCTTGAGACCAGCCAGGGCCTCTATTCTGGTTAACTTATAAGCTGACTGCGAGATATGGTCAAGCCGCTTCTGGCGGATGTTCTGCCATGCTTGCATGCACTGATGGATATTCCGGGCATCTCTCTTTGGTTTAGTAGGCCCATGAACTAGAGTAGAGAGGCTGTTTGCAAGCGACGCGGCGCTCTCGATTGCACTGTTGCCGCCCTGGCCCAGGTTCGGTGTCATCTATATTCAGTAGGTTAGATGACACTCTAAGTAATATTTGAGATATTAGACGCACCTTATGGGCCGAGTCGCCAATGCAAACATATCGGTCAACACACCAGTGCTTATAGACAGCTTCTTCCAGGGATACAAAAGTTCTGACTATTGCTCTCCTGTTAATCTCAGCCAACGGTACGTCGGGGGTGATCGGCTTTTGTAGATAGGGGGCGAGATGGCTATCGATCTCATCTTGACTGAACCTGGGAATTTGAGACGCGGTGTAAGTTTGGTCCATTCTATTGAAGAAAAACCAGTACACCCGTCCTTCTTTGCCGATGATTGTCAGTATGGAATAGCCCTCCGCGAAGGTTCGATGTCCATGTCCTGGTGTCAGTCCGGGGGTAGCTGAAGATATACCGAATACACAGTTGTACTCGGACGTCATCACTATTTTACAAGATAAATTAGTAAGGGTCATATAAAGCGGCTGCGTTATGTATGGCAGAATCGTACAGTTTTCCTCCTTGCGGGCTTCATGCTCCATTCCGCGAGACTCCATATACTGCCACATCTGTCGTCTCACTGTGCTCCGTACCCCATCGGCTCCAACAACAAGATCACCCTCATAGACGGTTTGATCTGCACAATGAACCACAACCTTTTCCGGGTGATGCTCTATCTCAGTCACTTTCTTGTTCACCATAACACGATGCCTTTGGTTTCCGAGGCCTTCGTATAGAATTCCGAGCAGAATTTGGCGATCAAGGAACGCAATTGGATAACCATGCCTGCTGGGTTAGAACCGCCGCCATTCTATACAATACAAAGAATACCGGATATATTGACTTACCTTTCATGTATTATTAGGGGGCCAGCTGTGTCGGAAATGGACTTGGCGTCATGGGTCCACGTGAAGGCTCTAGTAAGAGGCTCAACTTTACTAAGAACGTCATCGTAGAGGCCTAGTTGGTCGAGGATGCGGGCACCGTTCGGAAGGATACCAATAGATGCACCGACCTGGGGTGCAATATCTGCATGGGACTCTAGCACAACAAAGTCGATGTTGTTTCGAAGCAGACAGTGAGCGAGCGTAAGCCCGGCGATTGAACCGCCCACAATGACGACGCGGAAACTGGATTCGGAATCTGCCATGGTATGCTCTACGGTCTTTGAGTGCCCAGAGATGACGTTGTAAAATGAATAAACGGCAGAGTGTGAGAACTTGAGACAACTACGATGACTGAAGGTGGCATGGTCTTTATGTCTGTCTCTTAGGTGGACCTATCTAAGGCAGTCAGTATATTTGTTGGCATGAGATAGAAACGCGGCATAAGTATTAGCACGCTCCACTTCGGTTACGCAAAGTGTCGAATACTACTATCAAAACAAAACCATCGAAGAGGTCGATCAGATCTCAATGTAGTTAGAAGGTAAAGGAGCATTTAGGACTGTTGGTTCATGAAACGCAGTGGGTCCATGCCTCGAGCCGAGAAACCCGAGAAATCCGAAAACGCACTTACAAGAAACCCGATGATCTCGAGTCCACTTTGCTTCATTATTTCCACAAGGTTATCGTTTTCTATTGTTTTCTATTGTTTCTCATAGCGTCAATTATGAAGGCTTCTCATACCGCAACTTCCATAAGGGGGAATCGAAAACGTCGAGAACAGAAGCCCCGCGTTCTGTTGTCATGCACGTCGTGCAGGGAGAAAAAGTATGTAATGATAGTATAATCGATCGTAACCGATGTCTTCCCTTCATGCATGCTTTGCTTCAGTTTGACAATGCATAACATTCTTCAAGGCTGAGATGCAATCGGGAACGCCCTTGCACAAACTGTCGGAAACGCAGCCGGGATGCAGCCTGTCAATATGTTACCGAGCGTTCAGACCCCTTGACATTGAAGAAGTCAGAACCTGTTGACGTATACCATCGCTTGCAATTCTTAGAGGAAAGGTTGCTCTTCTTAGAGAGGGAGGTCACGCGGGATTGCAACTCTTCGTCCACTTCTCGGGATGATACGTTTCATGATGGCGAAAGTCCCAGCAGGAATCCTAGTAAAAGTGAGGTATTTCCGGCGGGATCTCGAGTTCCCACAGAAGGGAGTTCCTTAGCTGTTTGCTTCCTAGCTGGGAAAAGTGGGACTAGATTCGTTAACCCAAGTCACTGGCAGGCAATTATGAACAATGCGGTCAGTCTCACCAGAAATGCTTGGTCCTGCCCCTAGGAAGGGTTCTTCACCATGACCTTTTCTAACGCACGTGTTAGGCCCAGGAGCTCAACCGAGAGGATTGCAACGATGATGAAAACCAAGACGCTGATGGGGCCTCTCGGCCGGAAGGCCCGGTCCTACTACTTGGAATTTCACGGATGATGGACATGGCAGAGCTTCTGAACGCACTACCACCTCGCAGAACTGCAGATCTGCTCGTCGATCGCTGTCTGGATTCTGGGGAACCATCGCTAAGTATGAACTCAGAACTTTACTAGCTTATGTGCAATCTTGAATGGCCTCGTGAAGGATCTAACAAGTCCTGTAGTTATCATTCATGCTCCGACGTTCAAAAGCGAGGTACATGCCATTGATGAACGAGCCTAAATATAATGATCTAATGCAAGTTTCCTACAGTACCTGAGATTCTGGGATAATCCCGCAGGAGCACCTGTCGCCTGGATCGCACTATTGTATTCAATCCTGTCTTGTGGGATATACATCCAACATACGGCAGATTCAGAAGTTTTCTCTCTAGACTTGCCAAGATCATTCTATATGTACCGTCATAACAGTGCAGTTGCGTTGGCGAAGTCAAACTTCGCTACTCCGGGTCCATATAAAGTTGAAGCATCCATCTTATACCTCGGAATCGAGTATCTCCAAAGCAATGAACAGAAAACAGGACTCCCAATGTTACTCGGTGTTGTGTCGCGACTAGCAATTATGATGGGATATCATCGCGATCCTCAGCTATACCATCCTCAGATATCGAATTTCGAAGCAGAAATGCGGCGCAGGGCATGGCTTATACTCATCACAATCGACTCCGTACTCGCATGCCATACAGGTCTACCCAAGGTTATTAGCCGGAGCCTAGGCGATGTGAGTCTCCCCAGAAATCTTCTGGATAGCGATTTTAGTCCAGAAACTACTGTTCTTCCTCCTCCGCGCCCCGCAGATGAGGTCGCCAGCAGCATCGTATACATGTCGGCAATGGAGCAAATGCTGTCTGTTTCCAACGAAGTCAGCGACTTGGCATCATGTCCTTCGCTTTTTCCCGAAAGGGCTCTCGAATTGAATTTACAGCTGGAAAATACCAAGAGTCGCTTGCCCAGCCTACTTCGGTTGCAGTCTCCAGGGGCACGAGCATCAGATGACCAGACTGTGATCAAACAGTACTTTTTGGAAATAACATATCAACGCGCGCGATGCATCTTACACCGTCATTATTTGACGACCATTGATCCAGAGCCTCATGAAGGATTGAGATTAGTCTGCGTGGATGCAGCCCAGCAGGTTCTAACTCTCCAGTCCGAACTGTTCCAAGTTCTGGCTAAATCACATAACCAGCAGTTAGCGTGGTTTGGGGTATCTCGGTCAATCTCCGATTGCTTGACAGCTGCCATGGTGATATCTTTGGAGGTGATAACCCAATCAAGAAATGGTGGAACTGTGGGAATTACGCCGCAGGCTGATCTCATTGAGCTGCTGAAGGCCTCCCAAATATCCTGGAGGAGCTCACCAAGGCCATCACTGGAGACCCTGAAAGCCGCCGATATAATTGGTACGATGTTAGACTTATTGGGATATGGCGGAGCGAGTCCCTTACCTGATTTACAAGGAACTCAAGAAGGGCAGCAGAACCATAGAGAAACCACAGAGACGCTCTTACGATCTCCAAGTATAATGCATGACATACTGACGGGAGATTATGCGTTGGAAATGTTTGACTGGGTAAGACGTACTGCTCCATTGCAACTATTACGCTGACCATCACACTTCAAGGCTCTTTGGGATCATGAGATGCAATATCTGAGTACTTTGGCAGATTAATCATGAGAATTCCTATTACTGCTATATAAGTCAATCCAACGGTAGATTGATGAAAAACATTATGCAGACAAAAGTCAAATACGCATGATTTATGAGAAGTCGCGAAGGCCGTTATAAATGTGTCAGACTGCTCTAGCTCTTAATATCATTGGGTGGGGACCTTAATATTGAATAGGAGAAATTGAATATATATGATTTGTTCATCACCCGGTTGAACTTATTACAAGCTATTTAATTTCGAATTTAAGATCTTGCCAACGCTTTCACCATATATGCAGTGTGATTAGGTTCTGTTTCTCATCGCTGAAACAAGTCATAATTCTTATGGCTGCCCACATAGCGCATCCCATACGTTAGAAATCTGCATAGCTCGACAACCGTCTTATTGATAATTAATGTGAGAGCAAAAAACTAAAATGAAATAAAAGAAAAAGAAAAAAAATACAACAGGAGGTGTATATCGGTGGCTACTCTACATGCTTCATCGGGAATTGCTGCCATATTAACTCAGATTCAGATCAATTCAGAAATACCATCAGAATCCTGGGGAGAACACTCTGAAACCTATTGTACGAACAATATCTTACTAATCAATATGGCCTAAAGACTGAATATAAAACTTGTTCATAAGACTTCTCATTAGGACTTTACGTTTCATTGTCATTACCGAGATACAAAGAAGTGATATTGATCTGATACCGTCTGGCTAGTTTATTGAAGATCTATCACTCGACTCCTGCCGACGGGATGGGGGATATCCAACAGCTTCCTCAGCAATAGGAAGCTCAACTTGCATCCACTTAAGCACGACCAAGTCTAAAGCTCAGGGAGTGTGTTATCATAAGCAGTGTCCCATTCAGCATTACTGTCGTCGCTTGTTTTGTGAAGAACGGTACAGAGTGCTGCGTCCTCAGTATGGCCGCAAAGTTGATGTGTGCAGAATTCTCTTTGAAGTCATTGTAATTGATCAGGTCGCCCGGGGCCGTGGGGATGTTGGAGGCATGAAGCTGGATAATAGGAGTCACATCTTGACTGTTGTTTTGCTTTACGGGAATCTAGAGGAACAGGCTGTGTCAGTAACGAAAACATGCCGGAAAAGGGAATAGAATGCAGAGGGTGGGGACACTCACCGCTGCGCACGCATGAACAGGTCCGAGGTCTTCGGGATCGTCGGGTTGTTGGCGTTTTCCAAAGGCAAGCACGTAGGTCTTGTCATCTTTCGGAAGTTCCTTAGTGACGACCGTGAATGTATTTAGAGACTCGGCGTTTTCTCCTGTCTCCTGTAGCTTCAAATCACCATCCTTGAAGACAAGGTTGAAAATTTCTGGACATCGTGTCAGCATTCATCAGGGGAGCAGTATCTAGCGCTTCTAAGATACAACTACCTGGGCCTCCGAGTCTAATTCCCGGATCCCACCAATGGGTTTGGTCAATTTGACATGGTTTCCTTTCAATGTTCCAACTCCTATATCTCGTGTCAGCCGGGTCTCTGGGCGGTTTATGGGTAGGTTCTGGGGCTTCAAGGAAGATGAACATATAATGAAGCAACATACCGGCATAGAGGTACGCAGTGGTGTGGACGTTCCAGACCGTCTCATTGTTAACATCGTCGCTTGCAATCCAGGCAGGGGTATAGAGATCGGGGCTGGGAGGCGGAGCAAAGAAGATATACTTCTGTGCTGCACCACTGTTGTTTATCACTCTGAACCAGTGTTCTTCGGTCTCGTCCCCGGGAATTTTGCGGTGTTTTAGCGTCGAATGAGTCTTTAGAGATGATGAGGATGTCAATGAAAGATGAAATATTCCCGTTGCAGGGATTATACCGGGCTTATATAGGTATTTGTGGGGACTGCATGCAACGTCTCCCCAATGAGGGCTAAGCTGAACTGCGCAGCAACTTAGTTGGAATATTGTCATTGATGAACGTTATTCAACTATTACTACAGTTGACTCCATGTAGATACAACTGTAGACCGTGAATATGTGCCGAAAGCATACATAATATAGATCTACCATGGTTGGCCCTAGTTGATGACGGCGTCTTGCACTAGGTGCTTCTACTGGAACCAAGGCAGAATCTTCACGGTGCGCTGCCCAGGCTGCTCAACACTTGATGTTGCTAATCTTAAAGCGGTCTGTAATTTGGCAGTGACGCACTTGAATGCATTAGCACGCATCTTCTTGTAGATAGTACACGCAACATTATATACCGCGATACTCGAAATCATAAATGCGTCCCTTACTCATACGATTATTACCGGATAATCAGCCTGGAGAACACTAGCTTGTTGAATGTTACCACTGTAGTTTCGATCAAAAATGGAGTATTGTGAATGTTATATTTCTTACTAATCGTCCAGGTATACTAAGGTCTGGCGCTCAACTTGGTACCATATAATAATTCTAGCTGTAATAAATCTATATGATGTAAATTGAATATTAAAAGCTTCGTAGATCCAACAATTTCACTATGGTTTCACTGACACCTAATGGGGTGCTTTCGGTTTCTGTTGGAGGGAGCTACCTTAGAAAATAGACAAATTGCGCAAATACTGGGCATAGCAGCCGCGGAATAGTGGATGTCAGTGTCTCATCCGGTTGCATATAATCGCTGTTTTCTTTTATGGGCTCCACATCATGCCCATCATAGGCTGACTGTTGAAAAGACAGGTTGAGGTGCGGCTGGCTGTCACCATATGTATCGTGTCATTGTGCTTCAGATTACCTTCTGCGGCCATACCCATTTTAGGTGCCTTGACGGTCTGAGTCGAACAGCCGCAGCCGGGCAAGACTAGAATCACTCTAGGACCTCCGAGTTCAGACTGTAGCCCCACTCCATTTGTGTAGGCCGAATGTGGAATGTCGCTGCTACCATGTCCTCTTTCCTGACGCCATAACTTGCAATCGGTTGCAGAATCGAACCTTGAATAAGCCTAGGCTCTAGGTGCTGACTGCCAGGCTTCCGAAAGCGTTGTTGGAACTATTAATCAAGCCCCGGTGGGAGCCATCTGACAGGCAACCTGAGTGAGGTTCCGGGATACACCGAGCGGTTCAATGACAGCAACACCCCGCCTTGTGACGATTTAGAGTATTGGCGGAAGGTGGCTGGGATTTCGGTGAGCAGTGGTGCTGAGTCGGGGCCAGCCAGCCTTGCATCACTAACATTGGGTTCTGGAAGCCAACTACCGGATCTTGAATTTGACTCGTGGAAAGATGGTCCCTCTTAAGTATGACCTCCGCGGCGGACTTGAGCCTTCCGCTGACCATGTCTTGTTCCTATATTCTAGATCAGCAGCAGCCATGCCTTCAACTATTCTGACTTTCTTCAACCTACCGTTGGTGCTCTTTAGAAGTGGGCCGATGATGTTGGGAGTCACACCTGGATCGATGACAACACCAAGAGTGTCTCAGACTAGGTTATCCTCTATACACTTCAATGCAACCACGCGCCTGCTAAATGTCACACACGGATACCCCCGCTGAGGGACAGCAGTCCCGCAGGATTCACCACCCACGATACGTGCACCTGTTTAATACCTGGCTCGCCAAGATCTTCGATACCTTGGGCATGGCTTACAGATACTGGCTCTCGCCACTGGGGAGTTCCTTGGCTTGAATCAAAACTTGAACACAATTAGCAGCACGGATGGTACTCGTGCCACCACCTGGACGGCCTATATCAAGGACACCCCAGTGCAGGAGAAGTTTTTCTTTACTGGAAAGTGGGCCACGGTGGTTAACATCACCAAGTTTCAGTCCAACGGGAGGGAGGAAAAACGACAGGATCGCGGCCCAAAATGTGAAGAACGAATTTAGGGAAACTGGACTACTGGTGAAGGGCAAAAGACAAATGTAAAAAGAAAAACATACAACAGAAGGGATTCGCTGGTGGTCACCCACCCAACTACTAACCTCCCGGCGTGTGGCTTAAGTACGGCTGAGCGGACGGGAAGCCCTGTTTTCCACACCCTGTGGTCGTATGTATCAGATTATTCTTCTGAATACTTTATGTAGAACATCAAATTATCTCCAACAGTTTCATTAATTCAACTTTTCCATCCCATTGAGCGAGACATGCTCCATTCCAACCCTCACCTTCTCTTTCCAGTCCTCCCTCCATCTTGTCAAAGGTGGCCGACCCTCAACAAGATCCGACGTGGTCCAGAGAATACGTTTTCTATCCAACTCCTCGCTAACCTCGTTATCTGGACAAAGAATATAGAATCGTTTCTCGGCCATTTTTTCAACCATGAAATCAACCACCTGCTTCGACGTCCACGCCCCAGGGGGCTTTTCCCGAAACGCCGCAGTATGAAAGCCAGTGTACGTCCACCCTGGAATCAACAAATGAACGCTGACATTGGGTGCCGTCTTAGCCATATCGAAGGACAGATGTTCTGCAAGAGTCCGGACAGCGGCTTTCGACGCATTATATGCCGGGTTACTTGGCGGGTTCGTGATCCCCTGCTTGGACCCGGTCAAGACAATTGCTCGCTCAGATTCATTCTTATTATCAACTGTGATCACGCTGTCCAGGAGTGCAGCGAGCCCATTTGTGTATCCCATAGTGTTGACGGCAAAGGTCTTCTCGAAGTACTCCGCGTCATCCCAGAATGTTTTCCCTTCCTGTGGTGTGAATCCGGCTCCGGCATTTAACATGAGGAAGTCGATGCCCTGTGGGTGGGATGATTTAATCTGCGGCGCTAGCTGTTGCCATTCAAGTCTTGAAGAGACGTCGATAACATGGGTTGTGATCGTGCTTGTTCCTTCCGGTGGGAAGTGGTGCTTGGTGATTTGCGAGAGTCTGGTGGCGTCCCGGTCGAGGAGCACGAGGTTCATACCGTGGGAGTAGCATCGTTGAGCTGTGGCGAGGCCGATTCCGGATGCAGCTCCTGTAATCAGAGCTGTTGCGCCCTTACGGAAGATTGAAAGCGTGGCTGGGGTCATGGTGGTTCGCTAGGTGTGTAGATGATAGTTGGCTTTAAGGATACCAACGTGAAGTGGGTGGTTCAAGACGGCACACGGGATTTTAAGCTCCTCGCATATTTACAGAGTTCGAAGAGCGGAAGGTCATGACTAGACCTTGTGCTTGTAATCAATGTGTTTAGTGTCCTGTCTCACACGTCCTACTGGGGGTTAGTGGAGGAAGCACCTTACCCATAAGGGATACTACAGCGGCTGGTTTATCTTCCAGCACATCCAGTTGGTCAGTTGAAATGCCAGTTCCTCAAAATATAGATGAATTAATTGCCATACTAGTCCTGATTACAACCATCGCTACCTAAATCGACACAAGGTCTTTCCGAACTTGTGTCTCGAGTCTCCACCGCGGAAGGGCATTAGCCGTTAGTTCCACTGTGGAAGAGCATTACCCGCAACCCTGCCCAGGCCCCGATGAAAGATTTCCAGGGTCCAAGTAGTCCAATTAGAGCCCTAATGCGCTTCAAGGAACAGGAAAACACATCGATCATTTATTGCTGGGGTTGAAAGGATTTGGTGCACTGGATATAGATATGTTGAACTTGTGTTGCATAGACAGGTGCCTCAAGGACATTGGGGAATTCATTAAAGCATGAGCAAAGTACGGAACCCTTGAAGTTCAAGCTAGCGCATACTAAGCAGCTATTTCTAGTTGCAAAATAGGCACATCACACAGATCTTGGTTGACCCAGCGTCAATCGCAATGCTTGATTTCAACCAATTCATGATTTGTCCCGCTCCTGCTTTGCCAACACCCGAAGATCCTCCGTTAAGCCAGCCGGCTGCTTAAGCGCCGCAAAATGGCCTCTATCATTGCGCTCTTCGAAAATGTCCTCGGGGGGTTTAACCCTGCACAGCAAATATCGTGATGTCGCATAATCTCACCGGGGAAGTGGTGCTGGGTGTGCACGCTGTCTCCAGAGCCGTAATACAAGCTAAAGGGTCCGAAGAGCAAGAGATTCTCGAGTTGTTCTTGGTTGACAGCTAGATTTCCAAGTGTACAACTCGGCCGCACTGAGATTGATGTGTGGTGATGATTGGCAGCGCAGAGTGGACGGACTTCACCTGGGCACTTTGTATGGCCACGTGTGAGGAGGGTATCCTATACGCTGCTTCAATCGAGAAAATAAAAGGTCGTGTAGCAGATGACGACAGGGCTGGCAAGGGGCATGAGGAGAGAAAGTGGTAGATCATACCTAACAATGATCCTGTCCACTGGTTGTGTAGTAGTACTAGTGGTACTAGTAATTGAAAAATATATGTTTGCGAGTAGAAAATCAGCTTCATCCACCCTGCAGTCGACATGGTGGATTAGATAGAAAAAAAACTACTATGTGGCAAACGGAATGTCTGACAATGCATCTGACTACATCTGACTACGAAGAACGGCCTGGCAATGGAATCTAGTGGGTGTGGTTTATTGATTTAATTGATGAAGGGAAGAAAATTTGATTGTACTTGGGAAAAGCAAAAAGAAAAAGAGAAAAAAGATCTGTCCCGAGGGAGGTTCGAACTCCCGGCCTTGGGATCGCATGGAAGTTATGCTTCCACGTCATACAGTAGTATGAGACCCACGTGATAACCAACTACACCATCGAGACGACTTGTTGAATGGAGCTCACTAATTTAGTACTCTATACTAATAGTGACTGGAGGTGAAGTCCAATCATCCATCCGCGACATCCTTTCTCCTTCCACCAGCCCCAACGAATATGCATGCTGATGATAAGGTTGAGTAAGCTTACATTGTCGTCAAAGAGCGGGTTTAGGAGAGGGATATGCTTCAACCTCTCAAACTCTCCACCCTAACAGATCCTATCTCATTTCTCCATTGGGAAACTCCGAAAGTCCCGATACGAAGCCCATGGTTTACCGATGGCACCGTCCTTGGCTGGCACGCCATCGTCAGATGATCACCGCCAACTATTCAAGATTGGCCAACAAACTCAACCTATATCCCACCGGAATATATTTCTCTGCACGGTCCGATAAGCAGGACGGCTAACAGCTCCTGAAGATCTCTCTGCACGGCCCTGGTGGGTCTTGAGCCCTTCACTCCTCCTTGCCCGGATATTGGCTTTTAAAATACATTGTTTTCCTAATCCTTCCAAGTGCGGCCCGCTATCGGGCCCGACATGCAATAGGGGCATTATCTACGATTCATCGACAGTTAAATAGTATCGGCCAACCCAACTCAAATCCAACTAATGACTTCCACATTTCAACAATCTCCGGCCCAAACCCAACCAATCTAGCCATGGAAAAACTCCCTCCTCGCCTCGAGGCCTTCCTGGGGCGTCTCTTGCGCAACAAACGAGGCCGCGACGCGAAATTGCTCACGCGCACCAGCCCCGTCCTTCAAGCCCTTCAGCCCACCATCGCGGTAACCTCGTCTGTGGGCCCGTCGCAATCTCCACTACCCGCAGAATACACCCAAGTCGGAGCGAACCGTTTCCCGCCTCTTTCCTGGACGGTACCCAACGACTCGGTGCCCGCGGAGAAAATCAACAGCTACGTGCTCGTCGTGGAGGATGCGGATGCCCCGCTTCCGAATCCAATAGTGCATGGGCTGTACTACGGACTTTCCAAGGACAAAACTAGTATCTCTTCAGATGATGTTACCGTGACAGATGCGAACAAGAGGGCATTACAGGGGGGATTTAAATACGGGGTGAACTGGCACCAGAATGTGTGGAGTGGGCCGCGGCCGGTATTGGGACACGGCTCCCATCGGTATTTCTTTCAGGTGTTGGCGTTGGGAAAGCCGCTGGAGGAGAAGCCTTGGGGGAAGGAGGAGCTGTTGGAGTGGTTGGAGAAGGAGAAGGAGAGTGTGTTGGCTTGGGGGGAGTGGGTGGGCACTTTCGTGCGGGAGCCTTAATGGGACGGCGTGTGGAATGAATGATGAACTATGTAACTTTGGAATATTGGTGGAATGTTTAATTCTAATTCTAATTTATTCAGTCATATAAGTTTATGCTCGCTGACACGTCGATCATCTTCGGGTAGGAGTGATCAGGTGATCTGATCGTTTGTTCGCTTCAACTTCAGCATCTCTCCCTACCCCGTTGTTCTTCATCCCTGCGGCCATGTATCTACCCGACAGTTGTAACGACCATTCAAAATCCATCGGATGATACGATTATGTGGTGTTGCATCTTTCCAAGCTAGCAATATCCTTATTCGTCCAATATACCGGTGGAGGCCTCGCTACCCGTGCGCCACACCCAACGCTAGTAGAACCTTGCTAATCGTGTAATAGTTGGGTGTAAATATACAGCCCGCATCATGTATCTCCAGATTTGTACGACGTGACTAGAACCCGGCTCAGCGGCTACTCGCAGCAACAATTTATGCCTGCAGCCCGGGAACGAATGACGGGGTTTATGCTCCTGGCAGCCGTTAGAGACAATTACAGGGGTCTACCCTTGATGCCGTGCAGTCTTGAGAAGCAATGTACTCTCCTAACAAAATCCCTCATGCCTGGCTTTTGGGATTAGCTTCAATGTTGCTCGTGCTGAAAGTTTCAGGCATACGTAAACTCTCGGCTAAACTTTGTTAGTGATGTTGGGTAAGCTTGACGGGCCGTCTTGATTGAAATTAAACTTAATCCCTGGGTACATTCTGTTCAACATATCGTGGGACAGGTTGTAATCGTGGCGTATGTATGCCTCTGTTGGATGGGACGTTGCCCAGGGAGGGACCGATTTCGATTGGCAACGGGCATAATAGTCCAGCGGATTAAGCTTCGAGCCTATAGCGCACTACTCTGTACAAAGACTTTATTCTAACAGAAAGCCTGGGGTGAATGGCAATGGATATTTGTGCAGTTTTGCTCCCCATTTTCTGTCAGGCAGTTTAATCTTAGATAGGTCGATGTACTCCTAAAAAGACACTTGTCCCCTAAACAGGCGCGACTCTTCAGGTTCGAGTCTCATCTACAACACAATGATCGAGAAAGATGAAAAAGAGCAATCTGCTTCGGGCAGCAGCAGACCTCTTGAAACCACAGAAAAAAGTCCAGAATCTGGAAGCACCGCCTCTGACATTGTTGTTGTGAGTATCGCATTGTTTGGCTAAAGCGATAATCCCAATTCTAACCAAACACCTGACAGAACTGGAATGGACCAGACGACCCAGAGTGTCCTCGAAACTGGCCAAAGAGCCGGAAATGGCTCAATGTGCTTCTAATATCCCTTCAAGGAACGCTCTCACCAATCGCATCAACAATACTAACATTAGGGGTATTTGACATCGCAAGCGAGTTCCGCCTATTGAGCCCTTATACCCCAGCCCTTCCTATCGCTCTCTACCTCGTCGGCCTGGCCTTGGGACCGTTAGGCGTGGCACCATGCTCGGAGATTTTTGGCCGTCGTCCTATCTACACGATCTGCTTCGCTATCTTCACTATCCTAAACGTCGGTTGTGCATTGGTCGACAACATGGCCGGACTGGTTGTTCTACGCTTCCTAGCGGGCGTGGCTGGCTCCGCGGGGCCTAGTCTAGGCGGTAGCAGCATCGGGGATCTATTTTCACACGAGGAACGGGGAAAAGCTCAAGCGGTGTATGGTCTGGGGCCTATTTGTGGTCCGGTCCTTGGGGGCGTTATTGGTGGGTTCATCGCCTACGGCACTCAAGGCTGGCGATGGATGATGTGGGTGGTCGCTATCGCTGCGGGTGTAGTTACCGGTCTTGCTGTCCTCTTTCAGAAGGAAACATATGCGCCTGTCTTGCTGCAGCGTCGGAAGAGAGCCCTTGAAAAATCGAATCCTGGGGTCATGTACCGGGTTGAGGTGGGCTCGCAAGCATCTCAGGTCTTCCGACAGTCTATTCTGCGTCCACTACGGCTTCTCTTATTCTCGCCAATATGCACATTTATGAGTCTCTACCTGGCATTGTACGTGACTGGAATCCCGGCTGACCAGCAGCGAAGCACTAACTAGTAAAACAGAGTGTTCGGCCTCCTTTACCTCCACATGGTAACTATCACCCTCCTCTTCGCCTCTCAACCCAAGTACAACCTCCACAGCTACCACTGGACACACGGAACCACCGGCCTAGCCTTCCTCGGTGCTGGCCTCGGCGCATTCGCTGGCGTCGCATTCTGCATGAAATACTCCAACCCCTCATACCGGTACTTTGCTGCCCGCTACGAGCAGAAAACCGGAAAGGCGACCCGCATGCCCGAATTTCGACTGCCATTCATGCAAGTAGGTATGCTGATCGTGCCCATTGGTCTACTGATTTTCGGGTGGACTGCAGAGTACCATGTCCACTGGATTGTGACGCTTGTGGGCACTGCGATCCTGGGGCTGGGCATGGTCACAGCGTATATCTGTGTACAGTCGTATTTGGTCGATGCGTTCGAAGAGTATGCAGCTAGTGCGCTGGCTGCGGCTGTGGTGGCGAGGTTTATTGTTGCGGCGGTGTTTTCGGTGGTTGGGTTTCAGCTGTATAGGAGATTGGGGTATGGGTGGTATGTATGAATTATATGAGCAGGTTGACCTAGAGTTGCTAATAGTTGTTTGTCTAGGGGATCGACGTTGTTGGCGTTCATTTGTTTTGTGGCGGTCCCGATCCCGTTTCTGCTGGGTCGGTATGGACCTAGATTGCGTCGGATGGGGACTGAAATGGTTTGACTAGCGATGCCTGAATAATGACACTATACTGCCAGAAGAGATCTCAGCCCATGGCCCTGGGCCATTCGGCAGATCGGATCTGCCACGAGCCACGGGGGATCGACCAGGACCTAAAGGGTAGGGTAACGGGATGTAGCAACCGAGTCCCAGTATGTACACATAGGCGAAAGCAATGAAGTTCACAGTATTCTTTATCATAGAAGTGCCTACAATCAATGCTGTTGTTTTAAATTACATCGACAGACCTTCCCTGCCCCCAGGCGCACAGCCACCATTCCGCTTTAGGCAAGCGTGAGGGGTCAAACACAGCCTCAAAATCGATTCTCTCCATAACCTAAGCCATCATCCTCATCTTCCCCTCGTCTGTGTTGGCGAAAAGTCATAGTATATCCAGTAACCACCCCCGTCAGAACATGTCTCCCACTCAATTTCGCCTCATATTCAACGTTCCCCCGACCGGCCTTGCGGCCTGCAAAGCCGCCATCTTCGCTGCCGGCGCGGGCCGCTACCCAGGCGGGAAGTATACAGAGTGTTGCTGGACCACCGCTGGTACAGGACAGTTCCGACCCGGTGATGCTGCCAACCCACATATTGGGACTGTGGGTGCCTTGGAGGAGACTCCGGAGGTGAGGGTTGAGAGGATCTGTGTGGGTGAGGATGTTGCACGGCTGGCTGTGGAAGCGTTAAAGATGTATGTTTTTTCTCTTGATGTGGAACGTGGTCGATTAGTGACTGGCGGAATAGGGCACATCCATATGAACAGCCATCATATAGTGTTTTCCGAATGGAGGATTTTTGATCATTTGCACTGGGAGGATGAGTTGTGTATTGGTGCAGCCTGAAATGGTGGATTGAGGACTTGATTCGGACTTGTGTTTACGAAGCTAACACTATGTGAAACAGTAACATGAGATATATTCTTTCCAGAAGATATTATGGGCAATTGGCCGGCCAATTTCCCGTAGGTACTAAGTAACATCACGCCTTTCCCCCGTGGGGCCAGACGTACATCGACCAATGAATTCTACCATAGCATCTCTCCCACTCGCCTTGACTGGGATCTCCGTATGAAGAGCCCCAAGAACGTGTTTTCGAGACATATCCAGGCCAAGTAGTCTGCCCTCCCGTTCCAGATCATCTGCTGCATGTGCGGGAATGACCTCGTCTTTCTCGGCAGACATTATTAGGACTGGTGGCAATGTGGCCCCGTCACCATTGCCATCCGCACTGTATTTATCTCCATCATTTAAATCATCCCTCCAGCGTGCCATCCGATCCATAGCAAGGATACTATCCCAATGACTCCGCAAAAACGGCCAAAGATATCGATACGGCAACCATTTCTGGGGATAGAGGCTAATCAGCATGTCCTTGACGCTGGAGGAAGGCGCCTCGAGAATCATCCCAGAAATAGGAGCCGAAGATTGGGAATTTGCATTGCGCGACCGCGGAAGATACGTAGCAAGACCAGTGGTCGCAATCGCCGAACCCAGACTATGCCCCCACAGAATGATCTGGAGATCTGTGTCCGGGGCAGTGTAGGTCTCCGTAACCCAATCAAGAAAAGCTTGAGTATCGAGCTCAATACCATGCTGGGTAGGACGACCAGAAGATGTCCAGAATCCGCGGTAGGAGAGAGCTACTACCACGTAGTCCTTCTCTTCAGACGCTGAAGCAGCAGGAGAAGTTTTGGGAGAGGCGTAGATTGCGCGCAGGAACTGCGATAGAAGGGGCAAACGCATGGGAGTTGAGCCACCGTTGCCCTGGAAGTAGCAAACCACTACTAATTTCTTCTTACTGTGATTTTTCGTCTGCTGAATGCTTTCAGAAGAAGTGGCTTTAACAGGAATGCGACCTTCGCATACTGATAGTTTTGTACCATCGCGACTCCGAATTTGGTGCGCTCGCCAGCGCACCGGCTTACATTCAGTTTCATAGTCGGAGATCTTTTCGGCTCGTGCGAACGGTGGCAGCCAGGTGAGATAGAGAAGCTTTTCTTGCATCACTACAATCCAGAAGCATTTCCAGGTCCATAGGGAGAGGAGCAGACCCGTGAAAATGACCGGAGGTATCAGGATTGGTGGTATAGACTCTGTAAAAATGGTGCGTGACTGACGACTGCTACTCAAGTATAGAGGTTGATGCAAATGACGGCACGGTATAGTGCGTCTTTTTGTGGTCCGTACAGTAGTGTGAATATTCCGGGAGAGGATGTGGCTTTGGAACCGCACCGATGGCAGACACGGGCTCGGAGCCCTTCCGATAATAGATGACCGCCCGGCAAGATCGGGAGGCACGCGTTGAGCGCACCGCCAGATGCGTCTGGTCGGCATCAAGGCTCGTTGTGGATGCGAATTATGGAAAGAGAAACTGCTTGCGGATGACAGGAAACATGTTTAAATGGAAGATGGGAATCCGAAATTGGGTCCGGCGCAAGTTGTGCCGTGACATAGATGAGTCATCAACACACAAGGCGGTGTTAGATTAATTAGGGCCCTACGTTGGTAGATCTGAGCTGTCATACTCGCTGTCTCTACTTTTCCTTCTCTCATTCCTAGGAAAGCAATTCATTTTTTCAACTTCCATCAGCCAAATAATGCTTCACGTTTGGCTAATAATGTCACTGGGAATTCTCATAGCTACGAAATCCAAGTAAGCAAAGTTGGCACACTGCCACCGCACATTAAAAAGCAGATGGGAAAAACGTCGAGCAAGCCAGCCGCAGCGGGTTAGACTGGGCTGACGCCAATACCAGGAAGCATCTTTTCACTTTCTCTGAGGCGTTTTATCAACTGCTCCCGGTTACGCTGTAGTCCCACTCGTGCTTCTCGAGCTGCCGCGGCCGCATCTCGTCTTTCGGGTGCAGCTTTAGCTCGGACCCAATCGACAGTAAGACGTACGTATGTCCACCATTCTCGATACTCCGGCTCGAACGCACTAGGATTCCACAAATTATAGGCTTCGAAGGAGTACAGCCCGTTCCAGAACCGTCCCTGGTCGTCACCAGCCTCGCCATCCCGGTGGTACTCTATGAGCCATTCGTTGAATTGAGAGCGCACCCACGTTTCGATGAGACGGGCGGGACGGAGAATATTAACGGGAGGCAGATTATCCCTAGATCGACCACCTGTGTATTCTGATTCAACAATAAGCCCACAGACACACTTGGACGCGGTAACCCGGTCGCCATCTCTACGCGCTCTGCGATGCTCCTCACACCAAGAGGGCAGGCGCCTATCGTTTGCCAAAATAAAGTAATAATTACTGTCACCCGGAGGGCCAAGGTTAAGGGCGGGAACATGAGGAAGCCATTTGTCTTTGCTAAAGAGGCTGAGATGCCCGGGTTCAGGAAGTGGCATCCTGCCCTGAACTACATCCACGTGGAATAGCAAGTCGGGCTCGGGGGTGCTGAAGCAGAATCTGGCCTGTGAATAGCGGCAGCGACTTCCATTCTTGCACTGACGTGACAGCCCTTCCTCGTCTAGGAGCTTTCCAGCCCGCTCGAGGTCTCCATCTTCAACTGCGAAACTAATAGTCTGGTCTAAATTTAGCATTTATCCATTTCAGGGAATCCGATTACCTTACATGAATTCTGCTAGAAATTCCAATAATTTTATGATAGGCCTGACCAACAAGGACGCATGGTATCTTATGGTAGGTGAGAACCCTAGCCACACTGGCAACGAATTTGTTCTCTCGGTGCACTTCCCAGGAGACGAGCTCAGGCTTATCAGTGGATGCGCTAGTTGCCATCGTGTAGGCAGTAGACTTGCTTGCAGTACACAGATGTCTATGCTGAGCCAAAGGTAGAATTGGAAAGAGGCGTTCTTATAGGCATTGTGAAATGGGAGTTATTGAAAGTTGCCGTGATTAACCTGGTAAGACCCGGCTAGGTTGGAGCAATGGGAGGTGGCTTGCTCCATATTTTGCTGAAGGTGATGGCTTCTTCCAGTGAATTTCCGGGGTCTTCCAACGCTTGGAGGCAGCCGGTCTTGCTGTGTATCAACCTGTCAGCAGTCTACGGGAGCTTCCAGTGTGGTTTAAAGAGACATCATGCAGCTAGGTGCGATGGAATATGGGAGAGCTATCATTCCGACGAGCTGGCTGTTGTAATAAGATAGGGTTGAGCTACGCTATCATTCGGATAGATATTGACTTCCCTAACATAACAAGTACTTCTACTATCGAGAATAAGTTATTTGTCATGTACGCGTTAAGAAATCACTTCCCTTATTGAAGTTGATTGGCTTCAATTAGAGATATGATGTGTTGCGTTTTATACGGAAGTCCACCGGATATCATTTCGGGCACAACAAACATTACTCTATTGATTGCCGCAGAGCCTATCATAGAAACACTAGTCATGAAGGTAAACAGTCAACATCTCAGGCTTTAAACTGATGCCCCACAGGAAGAACACTACCAAAAACTCTTCCAAAACTCTTCATAGTCAGGTCAACAATTCACTCAAAACGCTACTAACTCATTTGCTTGAATCAAGAATAGACCAAGCTTAATAACGCTCTGTCATTCTTGTGGTAGATGTTGGTGCAGTATCTTGGTTCCTGCTTGCTGCATATATCTTCCATGGAGTCACACATTACTGGATTCCGGGACGTTGAGAGATTTGATGGCATGGTAAGGGTGGAAATTCCTCTCTCTCTCTCAAACGGATAATCGTGGGATATGAATGAAACGGGCTACATCTCAGAAAGATGCATTCACAATCGTGTCAAGAGTTGGCTTATGACGTCAAGAATGGCCACAGTAGTGCGGATATTGCGGGTATGGCGGGGGGGAACCCGATTAGCAGGTGCCTTGTTTCTCGGGTGTCTGATCGCCCTTGGCTCGTGGAGAAGAAAAAGAAAGCGGGGAAGAGGTCGATCATCCGTAGGACCGTGGAGCAGCATTCCTTTATAAGCAGCCACCCACCACACCTCCATCAGGGAACTTGCTATACTGATGACTGTTCAATACAAATTAGGTTATCTGAAAGCCAGCTCAACGCTCCAGTCGCACCTTCATCGATCGTCATAATCATGCATCATAGGCTTACTTTTCAAACAACTTACCCATGGACAAAAGCACCAGTGATAGCACAAGCTCCCATGTTGAACATCGCTGGCCCCGAGCTAGCCACAGCTGTGTCCGCAGCTGGAGGGATAGGATTTATTGCTGGTGGAAATGACGTGTCAACCCTTGAAAGCAAGTTCCAGAAGGCCGAACAGCTCGTAAAAGAGTATAAGGCAGCGGGAGGCTCTCTCGATCAGAACCGTCTCCAGCGATATGAGGGCCCGAACTTACCGGTTGGTGTCGGGTTCCTGAGCTGGGGAGCTGATATAAAGGTGGCTTTGCCACTCATCGTGCGATACCGTCCATGTGCTGTGTGGCTGTTTGCGCCATCTAACAGTGCTGCAGATCAGGTTCCTTGGGTGGAGGGGATCCGGGCCCAAACTGGCGGGAGTGTGGCTATTTGGGTGCAGGTTGGAAGTGTCGAGGATGCACTTGATACTGTAGCTAAGCTACATCCTGATGTGCTTGTCGTGCAGGGCAGTGATGGCGGGGGTCACGGATTGCAACACTCCGCTAGTATTGTGTCTTTGGTTCCAGAAGTCATAGACCAGCTGAGTGCGGAAACTTCGGTCATACCTAACGGTCCGATAAAACCAAAAATCGTTGCAGCAGGTGGCCTGGTAGATGGTCGAGGGGTGGCAGCCGCTCTTACCTTAGGTGCTGAAGGGGTAGTGATGGGAACTCGTTTCCTAGCCTCGCTCGAAGTCTCCATACCGAAGGGATACCAACAAGCCATTCTCGATGCTAGTGACGGCGGGGTTCATACGATTCGCTCGGCTGTTTATGACCGGGTACGAGGGTTTCTCCGCTGGCCGCCTAAATATTCTCCTCGAGGGATTGTGAACGAAACGCACAGAGACTTTGTGACAGGTAAGGTGACTGAGCAGGAAAATTACGATCTGTACCAGGATGCTCTGAAGAAGGGTAACCCAGGTTATGGACCTAATGGGCGACTAGCTACGTTTGCGGGCACTGCGGTTGGCTTGGTGAGAGAAATACTACCGGCAGGAGAGATTGTTCGGAGGAGTAGGAAGGAGACTGAAGCTATTTTGAAAATAGATAGACTGGCAAGGTTATAGAGAGTACTATTACATACTCACTTCCGAGGGATAATATCATCTTTGTGCTGTCAAAAATGGGCAAAACACTACATGTAATGCCGATTATGTTTTCCGCGGCTCTCTTATGACCAGTCTGGTTTGTCATTGGCTTCGTTTTGAAGATACAGATTGGACCCACCAGTCCACGATTGAGATGAAAATTACTGATTGCTGTTGTCGCATGAGGAAGTCTTACTCTGAATAAAGCTAGGTGGGGCTGAGAGCGTGAATAGGGGTCTACAGGAGTCTGCCACGGTGTATATCACCTCTAATGTCCACTTTGTGAATTTGTATCCCAGAAAGGGTAGAACCTAAAGAATAACTAGCGATTCTATACTCATCTTCACCTATTGGCGAGTACTGTTCAATTCCAACGGAAGCTCGGCCAAGTAAGAGAATGGAAGATAAGCGTTAAATTGGCATGGCCCGCCAAGAAAGCTAAGGGCAGTTCGTTGCGAAAGCACTTCCTTAGCTTTGTCACTGGTGCTGAGAAGAATTATCTAGACAAGACCATTAGTCTTATTAGTTTTATTGCAATGTGCACGGTAGTTTCAGCTCCCACCGCTCCCTGGCTCTCTGCATAGCGGATAAACATTCTGCTAGATTAAAGGGTCAGATCTGCTCGGACACTTGACCAAGTCAAAGAAAAGGGTGGAGACTTGCGGAAGAAGGGCACAGACCAACAGAACTGCTTAAGAGGAGATCCTGGTCAGACATGGGCTGGTTAAGATGCTTTCCAACTGCGCGAAAACACCTCAGTCCAGCCGTCGGAGCGACCGTGAACTAATGCACCGACAAGGATCAGAATTTGCGCTTTGCTTTTGCGTGCCGCGTACACCCTGCAGCCAATATGCTTGGTGCAGGGCCGGGTGGCGGGCCGTTTCTTGCTAGGGCCACCACTAATGTGAAGCTAAGAAGTTGACGCCCAGGATGTTGATAAGGTGAGGGGAACTCGGCTACCTGGGACTCCTTGCACCTTTTCTTTTTCGCAATTTTTTCTCCGGCTTCGTTGCTGTGATTTTTACTGGTCCCGTCTCTATATTCCCTGGCTTCAGGCTCAGTCCGAAGTGTGCAGGATGGCCTTCACCCAGAACACGCAGCAGGATGCTGCCAAGGAATCCGTAGTTACTGGCTCGCACACTGTAGAAGTCGATGCTTCCAGTCAGGAGGAGGGTATCAATGGCACACGCTACGACGTGACTGAAATGGATCGGATGGGAAAGACCCAGCAGTTCAAGGTAGATATGCTGCTCCCAGACAATACCGCACAGCTAATTAATATGTTCGCAGCGAAACATCCAGTCTTTTGCCGCCCTCAGTTTTTCGGCCGTATTGCAGTCTACGTGGGAGTACATCATGCTGTGAGGCAACCAGAATTTTCGCTACTCCCTTCAGGATCTAAACATTAGCAGGTCGGACTATGAAGGGTTGCAAGATGGTGGATTGGCAGGTATGCTGTGGACCTATGTCTGGAGCGCCATTGGATTTGGGTTCATCATCGTCTCTATCTCTGAGATGGCCTCGATGTAAACTGCCCCGTCTTTATACAAACCATCACAGCAACTAACCCTCTAGGGCGCCTACTTCTGGAGGCCAGTACCATTGGGTCTCCGAGTTTGCATCTCCCCGCTACCAGAAATTCCTTAGCTACGTGACTGGCTGGATGTCTGTTTTGGCGTGGCAGGCAGGAACCGCATCGGGCTCATTCTTGACTGGAACCATCATCCAGGGCCTGATTAGCGTCCGCGACCCCAACTACGACCCCACTGGATGGCAAGGCACATTGTTTGTGTTTGCGATGATTCTCATTGCGTTCTTCTTCAACATATACGGTGCGGGATTCATGGCCCGTATGCAAAATGTGCTTCTGGCAACTCACGTCCTCTGCTGGCTGGTTGTTGTGGTGACACTTTGGGTTCTGGCCCCGCTACAGCCTGCTGAAGCAGTGTTCACGAAGTTTGAGAACTTCGGTGGATGGTCATCCATGGGTCTAACTGTGATGGTGGGCCAGCTTGCGGCCATCTATGGCTGTCTCAGTATGTATACTCGCAACGAATCGAAATATCAACACTGACAAATACAGGTTGTGATGCAACGGCGCACATGTCAGAGGAAATCAAAGATGCAGGCCGTTACGTGCCTATTGCCATCACCTGGTCTTATTTCGCCAACGCTATCTTAGCACTAGTCGTGCTCATCACAATGCTCTTCGCAACACCATCAGTTGAAGACTCACTCAACGATGACACCGGCTTTCCCTTCATCTACGTTTTCAAACAAGCGACCAACACAGCAGGCGTCAACGGTCTAACAGCCATTATCCTCATTCCCGTGATAATAAGCAACATACTCTTCAACGCCTCCACTGCACGACAAACATTCTCCTTCGCTCGCGATCGCGGGCTCCCATTCTCCAACTGGATCGCCAAAGTCGACGAAAAGCGCAAGTTACCAGTCAACTCCATCATCCTCAGCTGCATCATCAGCGCCCTACTATCCCTTATCAACATCGGGTCCGAGACCGCCTTCAACGCCATTGTCTCCCTCAACGTAGCGGCCCTCATGTTCTCCTACTCCATCTCCATGAGCTGTCTGATCTGGCGAAAGATCTTCCACCCGCATACTCTGCCCCCTGCTCGCTGGGGGCTAGGACGCTATGGTCTGGCGGTAAATATCATTGGCTGGTTGTACGTACTGTTTGCCCTGTTTTGGTCGTTCTGGCCGGAGTCGACACCCGTCACGACTGAGACGTTTAACTGGAATGTGGTGATTTTCGTGGCGGTATTTTTGGTGAGTTTGGTTATGTATGTGGTTCAGGGGAGACACCACTACGATGGGCCGGTGACGGAGGTGAAGAGATGTGAGGAATTGTAGATGCCTGAGTCTAATACTTATAGAGGTGGCGCAAATTGTATAAATAGGATAGAATATTTCCTGTAAGAATGGAAAGAGACATATCTAAGTACTATCGGGGAAGGAACTAGTCAACATTGAGTGATGGAAATATTTATTTCGTTTGATTTACGATCCTATATTAATGTTCTGGAGACCATATGTAGAGCGCGTAATCTCATACAATGATGTAGTTGCACAATCAATGATCAGAACATATTTTGCTCCCGGTAGTACAAGATAACCACAATATTTGGTTCGGATCGCTTAACCCAATCACGATAATCGGAACTTCATCTCTGAACAATAGACTACCTCAAAGGTCTTGTTATTCCACCAATATCGCCGCCCCAGGCGTCTTCCAAGTATAAGAAGACGATAGCACTCAATTCGAGACTTATGGGGCCGATACAAAGTGATGGCATTCTGGGCAGCATATTCCAGGGGCGGGGAGAATGTATAAACGGAACCGAATCTCGGAATCACCGAAAAGTTGAGGTCAACCCATGGCAGCTTCAAGATCTGACCAGGGAATAGACCTTCTAAAATCGGATCTGAAGAAGAGAGTTGAGAGAATCTCGAATGTGCTAGGTTTGACCTTCAAATTGGGGTTTCAGGTGCAACATCCTTCTCTGGAGGCTCCGTAGTCGGGGCAATGCTATAGACAGAGGAATGTGCCGGTCGTCTTGACTTTTTGACGTCGCTCTGCAATCTGTATCTTGAATCTTGAAGACTCTGGTATAGACAGATCAGGGGCTGCTGCTGCAAATTGCTCTTTATCCTTTTTGCTTTTCATATTGTTCTGGATTTTAAACAGACAGCTTTCGTTGAGATCCTTGATACAGAGAGCCTATGTCCGCTCCGGTCTTGTCAATGACGGGTTGACCTAAGGCAGCGAGAGCGCCATGGGCCATTCCTGGTTCGCGTAGGTTGTCGACTGGGATTGGATTGGAGGACAAGTCAACCTCCCTTATCAAAGGTTCGAGCTCAGTGTCCAGATTCCTGCATTTGGACAGGTAAGTTTGGCCCTTGTTAGCTGTCACGGGCGGCAATGCCAGTGAAGCAGAGACAGACTGAGCAAAGGCAGCAGTTACCGCAAGATCACTGAAAGCATCATACTCTAGCTCGGACATCTCTTATTTTACGGTCGAGTCGGTCCGTTGAAGGTCATGAAGCTTCTTGATCCAGTCCACTGCCTTCGGTGGGATTGTCTCGGCCTGGCACAGGCGAAGCATATAATGGCGCCGCGAATCTGAGCGAGTGAAGCTTTCTGGCTTGGTCTTCATTATCAACCGTGCTACGCCGTTGTCATAGGCACCAGAAACTCGTTTGAAATATCCCGATCCTGTCGAGCCAGATCCTCATGCAATTCCATGGTGAGCGCGATATTCTTACCCATATCATCCATGATGAATAGTTAATACCAGATACTATATTACCAATAGCAGAAGAGGGCCTGAATGGGGATGGATGATCAAGGAATGAGGGAATGTTGTTATACATGAGCTCGTCGCGTGACCATATGCTGATGAATGTGGGATGCCGGACGGCCGGGGCTGGGTGAGTTCTCATGACCACTCGTTAATGCTCTGTTGTTCTGGTAGTTGTGGGTGATGCCAATCCACTGGGAAGTCAGATATGTTCTGGGAAATGAGGGAGAATGAGGTACTGCATCCAATCATCTGGAACTGATCCGATTGCCCTCACCCCTCTATAAGCCTACTAATATGAATCGGTATAAGCATCATTAATACAGAACAAATAATCAAAGAGACACGCTTGGCTACTAGATATAGCACAGCTACCACTACCAAGGTAGGTGGGTGGCTTCAGCCGTTATTGAAGGCCACAGCTCTGACACATAACTTCATCCCGGCCGCCATCCCGAGATAACGTACCTTCCCTCATCACCATAAAACTTGCAAAGTATCAATGATATCGAATCACATACGGGGTTGACCGCTTTTATCCATGGTTGTACAGGCAAGGTCCTTGCGTTATCCGAAGGCTTGCTAGACCTTAATTTTCACTACAGGTGAGACCAAGCGGACTTAGCAATACGAAGCGAAAAATCAGTTGTTTTAGTCCATAATCTCTTTTACATCCGCCAACATGCGTGTTACGGTTATGGCGGCTCCAGCACGGATTGAAATGGCTCACAAAAAGCAAATTACCGAACTGAGGCACTAAAATGATGCGATACAGACACTTACAACACTGGCCTCATGCATGGAGCCAATGTGATATTAAACGCCAGGAGGGCTGAGCCTTGCATATATTGCAGCCTGGCTCAGTTGACCAGGCAAGTGTCTCCCTACAACTAGACAACTGTGTCCAATGCAAAGTGTGCGTCCCAATATAGCAGGCCCATGACGAGAGTATACGTTGGGAAAGGACTGCTTCCCCAATTCCTAGATGCCCCTTAAGTCGTGCTGGGAACCAGAAAATTCGGCCTACTCACAGGACATAGTCTTGTAGGAAGAGAAGGAAAAAGGAAAGAGCCTACATCATCACAAGACAGGAGACAGATGAACTGGTATTAAGTAACCTTTCCAGCCCTACGGGCGTAACGGCCATTCGGCCAACTCCAGACATACTTTAGTAGCTCCAACATTATGATGCAGTGAAGATAAAGGGAGCACGCAAGACCTACGAACATATTTCCCCATCCTGGGAGATGCTTTTTCTCGCTACCCTCCAACGAGTATTTTACCACAGATGTGTGGGAACGGAAAGCCTTGAAGACGGGCAGCAATGCTGCTGCCTTTTGATCCGAAGGATGGCCAGTCGCCAACAAATGGGCCCCCCATTCGCCAAAGATAAACACGGGGCTTACGGCTGGGAGGCGATCGAAGATACCCTGCACATCTCTTGGATTAACCCGATCTTTCCGCTTGGTCAAGGAAAAGAAGTTTGCTTCTATAGGTCTGTATCACGTTCCCCAGTTCTTTTATTTGATATATTGGACGGTGCAATACCAGGAAAACTTACGTTTGTGTCATAGTCATTATGTGGGTGGCGCGCGGTTAGAATGGCAGATGGTGAATTCTCCTGGCGTATACAAATATGCTCCAGAAAGAAGTACCTATAAAGTGAATATCTTCTCCTAGATATAATTATCACAGGTTTACAAGGCCATAATTATATATGTTAGAGTCAGGATTCATTTAACATATTCCTGATCTTGTGTCCCCAAGACGATCGGTGTACAGCAAATCGCTCGCCATTATGCAGCAGATGCATACTATTTAACCCAGGACTGCTGATCGCACCACCTTCTGCTATTGGTCAGGTTTTGATCACCTATTGCATACTACAGTATGGTATAGTGACCAATGAGGGGGTGTATCTCATATTGTGACGGTGACGCGTGCAGTTAAATTATTACCGCAAATGACACCTTCTACTTCAGCAGACTGTCAGCCAGCCACTAATGCACAGTGACTTGTACAACAGTGATAAATCCGTCACACGCATTAACACTTCTTTTAGGGTGATGACTTGGTGTTCCTCATCAGCTTCCGACAAAAAGAAATATTTCACGAATCTAGTAGGCTGCCGGCGATGAGGGCTCCACTGATAAAGGTAACACTCTTTACCCATTCTGTAAGCCACCATCTGCAGACGATCTTAAGTCCAACCGCCATCGCCTGGAGCCAATACTCGTGAAGTCAGACTGCAAGTTCGACTTTTAGCGAGTATGCAAAACTGATCACACAATAAATTGCTTTTTGGCCACATCACTATTCGGTATACCTAGAGGGTTAGGTAGCAATTGTAGATATGGGTATATAAAGTTGTAATAATGATGCAGTCACCTCTAAGTAAGTTGCATGCCAAGGATAAAATCCTAGAGATTATTTTGCAGATTTCCAATCATCATGCAGTCTCACTCACCATCCAATTCGTCTTCGCTTAGCCTCCTCTCCTCCAAACTCTTCGATGATCACTATGGAGATGTTTCACGTATCGAAGAGCTAAAGCGCTCGTACCACCGAGCCAGAGCAATTGGCCAACTCCATCGTCAGTACATCTCAAGGCCGACGAATTGAGCCTAACAAAACCAGGTTTGACCATCGAGGATGTCCTTTATTTGGCCCCTAAATTCTGCGCAGTGCACAAAGACAGCATCATTGCTCGAGACCCCATCGCTCATATCTTGGTGACTATCCAACTCAACCTGGTGGTCGGGACAATGGCGCCTTTTGCCATCAAGAGACCCGACCTTCATCCACTGATGGAAAGCATCTTAAATTTTGATATATCGTTAGTATTTCTGCATGCGTACGTTTGAAAAGCTGACCAAAATCATTACAGTACACCGTTCATGCTTACTGAAGTCGGCCATGGCTGTGATGCGAGGAACCTAAAGACCACGGCAACCCTGCAGCATGATGGCAGCTTTATCCTTCATACGCCTACACCTGAGGCGGTAAAGTAGGCTTCATACAGCACAGACCCTATACCCTGCGTAATGCTGATCTTGTGTAGGTTCATGCCGCCATCCATGCCAATTGATGGGATTCGGCGAGTAGCCATTGTCTGGGCCCGACTAATAGTTGACGAGGAGGACCGCGGCATTCGAGCATTTATCGTGCCGGTAAATAATGGAAAGGAAATGAATAAGGGTGTTCATTCGTGGTAGGTACTGGTGTCAGCTATATAAAACGACCCGGCTTACAGACAACTATCTAGGCTTCTCCCCCAAATAACAGGAGGCAGGATGCTCGACCATGGTCTAACCTCTTTTGACAACGTTCATCTACCTGCTAATGCAATGCTGGGTGAACTCGCGATGCCCGCCGACATGCGCACCCAATTTCTATCAGCCATACACCGGGTGGGCATCGGAGCCCTTGCTTTGAGCCTGGCCATCATTCCCTTTTTGAAGTGTGCCACATATTGCGTCGGTCGATACAGCCAACGCCGGACTGTCCAAGCCGGTGTGCGTGGGGAACGCATCCCTATTATCTCCTTCCGAACACAGCAGCTCCCAATTTTGCACTCGCTTGCACAGATTGCTGTCATGGAGGCGTTCGCCGACTGGATTACAAATCGCTATAGCACGGATAGTGCACTACACCCTGGGGCAAAACATGGTCTGGGGGTTATCCTCAAGGCCACTTTTCTACAAAATGGGCAGTGGAGTCTAGCAAATCTTGTTGAGCGGAGCGGCGCTCAAGGATTGTACCCCCATAACCAAATGGTCTCGTTTGAGGTGAGCTGGCTCAACCCCATCGACCACGGCTTGAACGACCCACTAATTTTGTAGACCTTGACTCGTGGTATTGGTATTGCAGAGGGAGAAATTTTGGTTCTCTCAATTCGTGCGTATTTCATTTTATTCACTTCGCACCAGTAGAAATTTCTCCCTGACATCCAACAGGCCTCGCCACCGAGCTTCTTGTTGGTCAATACGCCATCCCCGAACCCACAAAGCCAAACTGTCCACTTGCACAACATGAGACAGGCATTATTTGCGAGCTCAGAGACAGATTGAAACAGATCGGCACCCATCGTAGTGACGAGTACGGTAATCAAGTTCTGCCCCGTCTTCGGTCTATGGTCATAGCAATCGGACAGCGCATGGCCTATGAGGCCGCAGTTGATGCGCATGTTGATCCGGATTTACTGGCCCTATACGAGGCGGGAGTCATGAAATCGGATGCTGCCTGGTACTCAGAGCATCTCGGAATCAACAGAGATGCCCAGTTTCAGCTGGAGTGCAACGCGCTGGATGCGGTTCTGCGCCGTTTGGACGAGCATCTTGATAATCTAGAGATTGAGCCATACTGCACTGCTCCAATGCTGTCTCCTGACCGATGGATGCAGATTATCAAGGCGGCCCCGGAGTTTACTGGGAATGTTGAGATGGGTTTTCCGGGTGCTCAGGAGCTGCAATCTAAGCTTTAGGTATGCCTGTACGACCTTGCAAATTATGCGAGGAGTCAAGTCTGTTTCACGTCAATTCAAGGGGAGCCCCTGGTTTAATTACCCATTTATGACCCTTCTGCAATAGTGTATTCTGCAATTCAGTGTGATTTCAGTCCTCCTTTCTAAACTGTGATGTGAATTGAACACACCATGAACGACGCTACTGCTTATAATAAAATAAATTCGCAGGCCTTGTATATGCCATCGAAGGTTCGATTCCTTTTCTTCCTAATTAGATCATAAATATGTAACTCCTTTCTTGATATTTTATATTTGTATAAAATAATAGAAGATTAGTTTTATTTTATTTAATGAATAATATTTTTAAGGATGCCCTTTTCCGGATACCATACCACGCCTTGTCGGCAAGGATGTTTGACCCCTTCGATTTCCATGAAGAGCGGGTAATACACCCGCCTATTATTGCTTTACACCTTAGAGATTATATCTCATTACCCGACCATCCAAATCTGCTGATCAGCGACAGGATTGAGAGGTGTATTCCTCCGTACGGAATAAATCCGAATGTTATTAACAATTCCTTGAAGGGTTGATCGTTACTCCGTGTATCTTGGTGTGTTGCACAGAATCTTTACTAATCAACATTCTTGTAGGGACCCGTTTGACCGAAAGTAGTATCTCTACTGACCAAACAACAATATATCTTGCCTCTTACCCCCTTTTCCATTCAAGTCACCCTTATCCATCCCCCTTCATAACCCCCTTATCCCCCTCCGTCCAAATAAGTTTTATCACCCAGTTCCTAAGCTTCCATAATCCATCACCAGCCACATCTCTCTCAACGTCACAGTAATAGAAGGCCCCACCCAATAATCTCGACGTATCATCCACGTTTCCTTCTCCAGGGCGATAATGCTGCGCGAGCGTCGACGCCGTAACCTTGGCTTTGTTCGGGTCCCCCTCGACCATACTAACTCGGATGTTGCTGAGGAAGTGCGTGGTATCCAACTTTGAAATTTTATCGAAACACTCTGTGTGGATAGCGGGGAGGCCTTTCATGACGTTGCCAAAAAGGTCGAATGTTGAGTCGGGGAACAAGGCAGAGTCGAACAGCCTGGTGTCGGTTGTATCGAAGCCGAGGACGGCGCGATAGAGGGCATCGATGATGTCGTCACGAGTTTGGAGGTCAGGAGGGTGGTTGAGGGAAATGGGTATGGGTGTAGAAGTGGACATCTTGGTTGTTGGATTTTGTTTCTGAATATTATGATAACGATGGCAATTCTAGAGACAGTTGTAGATTGAGACGGTAGGGCTGGTATTAACATGAAGGAGCCGTGTGCTTAAGGGTCCTTATGTTCGACTACAAACTATACGACCAGATAATGATGGCATGACTTCTCGTAGTTAATCGGAGACCGAGAGAAACAACGTTTATTCAGGCGATAAGGATGAGATCATCGAGTATCGGTTAACTCCGTGTCATATCCGGGGCTCTATGCAACCTAACCAATCCAAGCGAGGTTCGCATGCTGATGAACTATGACATTATGGATTGTTAAGCAGTCACCTTGCTATATGACAGCCGACTCCCTGAAGGTTCTGACAACGTTGACTGGTTATTGACGGGCTGCGTGCAATGGAGCGAAGAATTAGTGCTCACCAGTCAGACCGCTTTGCCTAGCATAGCCGCCTGCGTAGCTGATGGAATCCGTATTTATTATGCGCACATTAGTAAGCCCATATTTATCGCACTATTCCAGCACATATTATGGTTTCAAAGAAGAGCTGGTTCAAAAATAGCCATCTTTGCTGCAGTTGATGTGGTGCTTATCAGACGCCAGATTGACGGAAGGCTGCCGCGCGGGGCCGAAAGAGCCTCGGAGGTGATCCGCTCTCCATAATGAGGGGTAAGAGTCAATGCAAGACTCGCCGAATTCTGTCTGTCATCATGCAATCTGAGATAGAGACAGCTGTATTACAGTCTCTATTATTATTTTCACCTTCTATTTTCCCACTACAATTATCGTATTACCAAAATGCTACGTCTTGACGGCAAAGTCGCCCTTATCACCGGCCTCGGCCAGACCACCGACGAAGGCTGGGGTATCGGTGCCGCCATCGCCATGAAACTCTCCCAGCAAGGCGCAATTATTTTCGGAGGCAATCGCACATTATCCAGTGCCGAAAGAACAAAAGCCCGAATTGAAAAGGAGGGCGGAACATGCGAAGTCCAAGAAACAAACGTCACAGATTCCACATCCGTCAAAGCTCTCGTGGATAGCTGCATGCAACGCCACGGGCGCATCGACATCCTGATCAACAACGTGGGAAAATCCGAGCCAGGTGGCCCAGCCGAACTAAGCGAGGAAACGTGGGACCAACAAGTTGATCTGAACCTGAAAAGCGTCTATCTGACGAGTCATTTTGTGCTTCCTATTATGGAGAAGCAGGAGACGGGCGGCACGGTGATAAATGTGTCGAGCATTGCAGGGCTGCGGTATATCGGGAAGCCGCAGGTTGCATATTCGGCTACGAAAGCGGCCATTATGCAGTTCACGAAGGCCACGGCGGTGATATATGCGGGGAAGGGAGTGAGGTTGAATACTGTTGTTCCTGGGCTGATTCATACGCCGTACACTCGTGACCTTGCGAAGCGGTATGCTCCTGGGGGTGATGAAGAGGCGTATATGAAGAAGCGCGATGTACAGGTGCCAATGGGACGCATGGGAGATGCTTGGGATGTGGCTAATGCCACGGTGTTTCTCGCTTCGGATGAGGCACGGTATATCACGGGACAGGAGTTGGTGGTGGATGGAGGAATTACTTCTTCTACAGGGAGGGTATAATAAAATATCATACTACGAATTACTCCACGTGTTTGATGTGGCAGGCTACTATGGTTTAACTGCACGTTGCATCTGCACGGGCTATGTTCTGAGGATACATTAACGTTCTGTATAATATCCTAGCTACCCATAGATGATATTTAGATGTCATAGCTCCCCATGAACTTCCATACCAGCCTCTGTTGTACGCTCTAGTCAATATTATGTTGAGCGGCATGTCCCCGAACGCTACGGAAGCCGTCCGTTGATTAGCCGCGGTCAGCTTTATCCATTCAGAATAAACTCTCCACGTTTCTCAGCCAAATAACTCGATTCACTTTCTTTATAACATCAACTACTCTTGCAACTGATATATTCCTGTCTGTTTTCCTGTCATTCCCAGTCTCTACCATAATTTCCTTGAAAGATGACTCTCGTCCACATCGGTCAGTTTCCTCATAACCACCACAGACACTATGACATCCATCTAACCTACCCCCAACCAGTCCTCTTCAAATTCCGCCCCGAAGTAACTGATGAGCACAAACAACGCTTCGTGACAGAACTTAAAAAGCTCAAGAACCTACCATGTGTCAAATCTGGACGCCTGCTTGTGGGCGGGCCTAGTGTGACCGACCCCATAGACCGCAGCAAGGGATTCCAAATCGCTCTAGTAAGCTATCACGAGAACCTGGCTGCACTGGCAGAATACCAGGCAAGTAAGGAGCATCATGAGTAAGTGATTGGATATTATGTTCGCTGGTCGAAATTGCGGGTGCTAACCTCGGTTATGGCAGTGTGACATCGACATACATGTTTCCATACAAGGAGGACCTGGTGAGATTTGATTTCGAGGTTGACGAGGAGGATGAGTATATGTGTGAATTTCCGGTGTTGGGTTCATAGAAGAGCTGCCTCCGTTTCTCTATCCACAACTTGTGCGTTGTCAGTTATATATCTTCAGTGCTGGGGCTGTTGCAAATAATCTACAATATAGAGCAAATCAGTGAGGGCCGATTACTTAGGAAACGCTAAATAATATCGCACTATCATATAGGCTGACAATCAAAACTCCACTTTACAAGTATATATAGAAGTCTACAAATAAACCAGCAAGATTGAATCAGACAGATTTACCGCCTGATATATAAGGCACTAAGGATATAGTCACATGACATATATAACGGAGGGCCTCCGTTTGGTGAAGCGGGGGATCCCGCTCCACCACTTTGCCGTCTCCCGGTAGCGTCGAGAAAGCAGAATGGAGCAATCTCTTCACTCATCAGCTCGCATCGACTCACCAATCAGTGTAATTGAAATTTAGTGTTTACATATCAGCAATTGCACTAGTAGTTGGACCTCAGATAATACAGATCGTTCAAGAGAAGGTCACGTGGGAAAGACTGGAAGACGCGGCAACAACAGTCCAGTCCAGTCCAGTCATCCACTGATTGCGCATCTTGTTATCTCAGGCCAGTCCTTTTTGCCCCCACTTCGAACGTGTATATGTCAACATGGAATCACCGCGTCGGAATCGGAATAGAGCGGCGTGTAAACGATGTCAACGAAGAAAGATTCGCGTAAGTCACCAGATCACCCCCTGTTGATACGAGCTCACGATATTCCCGCTTTGTAGTGTGATGGAAACGAACCATCATGCAGTTCCTGCTTGAAGGCAGGGGCCTCGTGTGTGAATGATGGAAAACAGGAGGTCACGCGGAGATACATTTCAAACATGGAAAACCGGATCCGATGGTTGGAATCCATTGTCAAGGAAAACTGCGCCAATGTGGATCTTAGTCTTGAACCTCGCATGATAGCTGCAGAGAACGCAGCAGATCATGATAGCACGATTCTTTCTGCCGATCTACAGCATGAAGATGATCCGACCACTAGTTCGCAACGCATTCCCCCAAGAGAGTTGAGAAGAGAGGCCCAAGGAGCTTCACGCAATGAAGGAAACGGCTCGAATTCGTTGCCGGACCAACATCCGCCGCACCATATGACGGGGAGTAATGCTGAGCACCAACCAGCTCACGAGATTGGTCTGGTGTCCTTGTCCTCTGGAGAAGGCCCTCGATACATTGGGCCGTCCAGCGGGTACTTCTTCGCGAATCGTATATTCTCCAGCGCTGGACGGCGATGCAAAGCCAGGAGTGTTAAAAAAGCTACGGCAGAGTCAACTATCCTCTCAACAGAGCTACTAAGCAACCTTACCCTGCTGCCCACGCGAAAAGAAAGCGCCGTGGAACTGTCAAAAAAGTACTTCCGAACAGTACATCTTATCTATCCGTTCTTGCATGAGCCGACCCACATGTCAGTGATTGACCGGGTATATACATCCCAGAACGAGAACCCTCTGGATTTGTTCCAGGTGTACATGGTTCTATCTATTTCAGCTTTGAACCTGTCTCGTGAATGCAAGGTACATCTTCCCGTGGAGGGTTACTATGCGTCTGCTATGAAATATGTTGAGCAGGTCTGTTCATATGGCTCGGTTACTGCTCTGCAATGCATGCTACTTCTTATGGTTTATGCTCCGATTTCCGCGATGCCAGTGACGAGGGCGAAGACGAGGACAGAAATGAAGATATAACCAAGCAAGAGGGACAGAGGACCACCGATATGTAGAGCCTGACCCGACCCGACGAAGAGACCGGTGCCGATTGTGCCTCCCAGGGCCATAAGCTGGACATGGCGGTTTTTGAGGCCACGCTGAGTAACTTTGTATCGTTCATCGAGAAGGTCGCGCGCGATCATCTCATGCAAGGCACCCGACTTCAGATCGCCGGCTGCCATGCCGGACTCGGGGTCCGGATGTGATGTAGACGCCATTTCTGGTTTCTCTGACAGAGCCATGGTGTACGAGACACTGCGTAAGGGGAAGGGAGACGGAATGAGGGTGAAGTGGTGGGCATCTCAAGGTGACGGAAGAGCAACGTCGTGCGAGCTGCCTTGGTTATAAGTAACGGGAAAGCATCACGCTTGTCCTCGTACCACCCCCCTTGGCATGACATCGCTTACCGTTAGGACAATCCCCGCAACCGGGACGGTCAGCGACTTTAACCAGTGGGATGCATGATAATAACGACGGTCGGGGGTTTCCAGATGAATTGGGAATGGACGGGACAAGTTAAGAAGATGCGGGGGAAATTAAGTTGCTGGGCGTGATTGGTGCTTGCGTGAGCGGCATCGGGCTCAAGACACGCTTATCAGCCACGCCTCGTCTCGCTTCCTTTGCCAATGCGCTTGCTGACCGGCCCCCGGAAGGGACTAGTATGCAGGATCTCTGGTGAGGTACAGCCTTGTGGCAGCTGATGGAGGACAGACACTCTTCCCCCTGACTGGCTGCTGTGGCGTTCCGTGCCTCGGTTCCGTCTAGCGTGTCTCATCCTGCCCTATCCCAGTCCAGCTGGCTATCGCTTCCTCTCGTATCGCCGAAATCCTAGCCTGGCTCAGGGTCTTGATACCCCTGATCCTTCTTTTTAAACTCTAACAACGCCATCTACCGGTCCGGCTACCGGTCCGGCTGCTCGGTTTTGGTCGAGAAATTGTGAGCCTATTCGGGTAGTTACCCGGTGTTGTACATATGCGCCTGCAGCGTTGAGCCAGGGTCAAGGCTCGCTTAAGTCTGGTATGCGTTTGATATATGATAAGCAGTATACTGGACCAATCCTTTGCAATCTTATGGCTTATGTCTTGCTCAGACAGATGTGTTGTGGTCGTTAGTCACATGCCTGGTCACTGACATCCAGGCTGTTGATAATAACAGGTCTACACCAATGACATGATGCGACTTAAATGCTAGCCTTGCCGTGGCTTGTAGCCCATGCACAATATCTCCTAGATAGCACGCATCACCGGCTATCGCCCGGCAGCTAGGAGTAACTATCACCACCCCATCCAAGGAACCGATCCCACTGCATCACCACCACGCCACGCTCGCGTCTCTCTCTCCCCAATGAATCGAGCAGTCGCATCTCCGGTGCCGTCAAGATCCTCCCATCCTGATTCCGCTCCAACGCCGCCTGCGTCACAGCCGGAGCCAGCTCATCCGCGATGGCTGCCTCATCCCGATGGCGCGCATACCGCGTTTCACCGTCCTCAACTCGCGAGAAATACCACACCGAGCGGACAACATCGTAGCGACGCTCGAGCAACCAGATAATCGGCCATGCGAGGATCCACACCTGGCAAATAATACAGAAGTAGTATACCCAGGCATTGTTGCGTAGCTTGTTTACCCAGTGAGGGTTGTATACTACTAAGTCGCGGTTCGCCATGTCGACAGTGATGCTTATGTCACCTTTGTAGTGGAGACTGCGTAGATGGGATGTTAATGAGGAGATGAGAACGGAGCCATCGAAGCCGACAACGCTGCGGGAGAATTTGAACCTGCATATGTCAGCATATCGTACGTAGATGAATACTACATGAGGAAGCGCACGATTTAACAGAAGCCGGATCATCGCAGTATCGCTCACACCAGCCCATCAAACCAGGACCGTCCTCGTCCTGTCGGACCAACCCGGCCGCCTCGGGATCAAGGCCACCCTCCAGTTGCACGAATCGTGAGCGCAGTCGCTGTGACACTCGCTGTCGCAGTCGCTGTCCCAGTGGCCCTTTTCTACGGCCCGGCCATGTCTCCGACTTGATTCGGCCTCCGCGGTAAGTCTTTCGCGTATCATTATCCCGCACGACACTCAGCACATGCCATCCATCCTGGGTTGGGTCCAGGTCCAGTCCCAAGTTGTCGTCATCACCATACTGCTGGGTTCCATGCTCGTGGCGTACTATATATCCGTAGAGATCAACCTTGAAGGTAAAGTCCACCACGGTCTCCTTTCGATCCTCCTTGCGATGGTGGTCGTGGCGGGTCTCGGTGTGGGAACCGCGCACGGTCAGGTACGGTCGCGGCGGGAACTCGGCTTGCTGGGTGATAAGCGCGTGCAGGGACGAGGCATCTTCGCTGAGGGATGGGGCGAGGGTAACCGTCGAAGAGTCGCGGTTGCCTGAGTGGACGCTGTGATAGGGTCTGCTGTCCGGGATGGGGGTATCGGGGAGTTGAGGAAAGGAGAAAGTGGTTGGAGGAGGAGGTGGTGGTGGTGCTGGCCGGGAGGCGGCGGGGAGATTGGAATCACTAGCCACCGTCTCCTCGTAGGAGGGAGGAAGGTCTTTTGGTCGGCCCATCTTGTAGTAAGTAGGTGGCCAGTGATTTTGAGGTTATATGCTGCACTGGTTTCGCAATAGAATGAAGACAGATAAATCAAACAAGCGACATTACTGTGCAGCCTAATGATCAGTTGTCGTGAAGGAAGAGAGTGAGACGAGGCTGTGCTGCAGGCAGATTCGGGCTTGGCGGCGAGGCTGATGGTTTCGGCCTCAGGTTGCTGCTTACTTTCAGGGGATGTGGTACATTTACCTCCAACTGCAGAAGATTAACGTAGCTATCATCAATGTACTATTAGCATCATCATAAACCTCATTTCCGTCCTCTCCCAATCTTGCATCCCCCAACTAACATTGGAGATATGAATTGTCAGACCAAGTCCCAAAGAAGAACAGTCATATAAACGCGCCCTTCCTGATCCGCTTTGCGAGATTGTCAATTTTGGCATCTAGATCTGCTTGTAAAGACCGGTCCAACGGATAGAATCTCGCTTTACCATCACTGGCCTCCTCCAACGGAATACGGAGTAGCTGCGTGACACGCAGGAACTGCTCCCGGATCCACTCGAGCTGTCCAGGTCGGAGAAAAGACACCATCCCCTGACCATGGTCCTCGATGAAGAATGCCACCACGCGACTCAACACACTCATGACGTGCCACGGCCCTTGGGCGATAATATGACTACTGTGCTCGTCTTCTGACTTCTGCGCAGACTTTTGCTGGTTGACATTGTCTAGTAAGCGATGGCTAGGAAACACAATTGCTGGATCGGTTAAGTCGGGAATACTTAACCATCCGCCTTGGTTCCCAAGATAATAGGGCACGCTGTAACAGACCGAATCGACCAGCTCTTGAAGAAGGTGCTTATACTCGGCGAACTCTTCGGTTTCAGCATTTGATTGCGCAAGATGGCCAGCGGTGGGAATGGTACTAAGCGAGCTGAGGATTATCTTGACGAGCAAGAGGCGTTGAGCGCGCCATTCGTTCCACAGTGATCCAATCTGGCACGAAATGTAGACGTCGCACATAGAATTGTAAGTTGGGATCGAAGGGTCGAGAGCGATTCCATCCGGGAGTCTCACCGGCTGCAAATGTTGCGGGACGTTTTGTGCCCAAGCAAGGAGTCGTTCGTCAATACACTTTGCCTCGGCTCTCCAGTCTCTGCAGATTTTTGTCGAAGACATGGAACCTACGTGGGCTGCTTGCTGCCAATAACTTGCATTCAACTCGGCCACGGATACGCCTATTGCATCGAGTGCGGGGCCTAAATTACCTGGCGCAATTGTCGGCTCTATGCACCCAAGACGCGAGTGGGCCGTGCTATGCAGAAGCCGTTTATGACGTATCGCTGATAAAATCTCATTGTGAAGGATACATCGCCGAATGTGTGCGATCAGCGACCCACTGGCATGATCCTGATCTGTGAGTGGGAGCAAGGAGACGGCTCCCTCGTGGTGTACTCCCGTGGCTTGGTGACTGCCGTATATAACAGCGAAATTTTCATAAAATTGCAGCGCCAACACGGCTAACATTGTTGCCGGGTTTGTCAATTCATTGCGATCCTGGAGAGTCTCCCGAAGACGCTTGATGGCCTGGGTATAGGTCTCCCAAGATGCTCGGGAGCTACTCTCGTGCCGCCAACGCGACAGGATTTCCGAAGCCACGGCAGTCACCGCGAGCGAGAGAGGCGAGTTCTGCTGCTGAGTAGCGTATACTGGAGCTAATATCTCGAAAAACCCACGGGCAGACTTCGCATTGCGACCCATGACGCCGTAATGTCGAATGAAGAATGGGACAGCAGGGTCGGGTTCGGCTAGCGATCGCAAGCAAGGCACCCATTGTTGATTCTGAGCGGCTTGCTTCGAAACAAGGTCGTTGCAAACCTTGGCGGTTTGATCCCTGAACCTAATCTTGACAGGCTTTGGCTTGTAGCCCCCGCAACGAAGGTTGAGGCGTTGACACGCGTGGCATTCGGGCTTCGCCTCGTCACATTTGACACGTCGTGTTTTGCATGTAACACATCCTCCAGAGGGTCCGCGATTGACCATATTGAGAGTGGGGGGGTGCCAAAAGCAGCGATGGTGTTGCGACAGGATGGGTATCTGCAATCCTTCATCAATAAATGGATTAAATAGGAGGTCCGACCAGACAAGGCTGTCATTCGGCCCCCACTCAGAGCCTAATCACAACGCAGAATCAGGCTAGTTGTGGGGTGGCTGCAACTGCGGCTGAGATGCTGTCGGACGCGATAGGGTCTTGGCCATGTGCTGTCGCAAAAAAGATACCCGGTTCGGTATAGTGTGACAGGGCCTCACCTTTAAACAAGCGTGGGGTCTGGGGTTTCAGCTGCCCTGATAACCAAATCTACAGGGTTCAGATCTGCCTAAACTATTAATAGTGATTAGACTCTGTCCTGTTCTTGTCTATCTCGTACGTCTGATTAAGCTCATCCCATCGCAAAAGTATAACCTTTATCAGACAAGTTTATGGCTTCTGAAACAATGCATCGCCCGCAGGAACGAGACCACAGGGGCTGTTCGCAGGTGTGTCTGAGCACGGAAGATGTATAAAATCGCCTCCTCATAGCTATCAAATTGCCTCAGAAATATCACATCGAAGAATCCAACCTCATCAACCGACCAACTCGCCCTTAATCCGTCTCGATCACCACCCATCAAACCACCAACATGGTCAAAGTCGACCGCCCCCCAGCCAACAACTTTGTAGCCACAGCCCGAAAGATCTACAACCCGATCGGCTTCGCCAAAGGCTACAACTTCATCCTATGGATGATATCCGCCGGGGCACTCCTCGGCTTCTCTCTCGCGCGTCTGATGTACCTCGACTTCGACAACATCTTCTGTCCCGCAGACCAGAACAAAGCCAATGCTCTTCCCGGCGAATGCTTCTACTACCAGGATACTCGCGGACGCGTCGGCATCCTCCTCCACCTGGGCGCCATCCTCCCGGCCTGTCTTCTCGCCTTCCTTCAATTCGTCCCCGCCATCCGCCACAAAGTGATCCTCTTCCACCGCATCAACGGCTACCTGGTCATCATCGGCTCCTTCACCGGCATGGCCGGCGTCCTAATGATAGCCGAGCACAGCTTCGGCGGCGGCCTGAGCATACAAATCGCCCTCGGCTTAGCGCTCATCATCTTCCTCAGCTGTATCTGCATCGCTTACCATAACATCAAACGACTCCAGATCGAGCAGCACCGGGCATGGATGATCCGCGCTTGGGTCGTGGTTAGTACCCCCTTCCCCACCCCATCCCCTATTCTTTTTTTCCGCCCTAAATCCTGAACCCTATAGGGCGGCTTCATCATAACCATGCGCATCATCGGCATCACAACAGACAAAGTCCTCGTGGCCCTCAGCCCAGAACAATACTTCGTATCCTACTCCTGCTCCGAGATCTCCTTCATGCTGAACGGAAACCAATCCGTCCTGCAATCCCTCCACCCATCCTGCACCGGCGCTAATCCGAACCACCATGTTCTCGTCAACGCATTCAGCGCCAACGGCACCGGGAACGTCGATCAGGCTGCCGCCGGCCTCGATATCAGTTTCAGTGCTGCGGCGTGGCTGGCTGTCGCTATTCATGTCTTTGCGGCGGAGCTGTATCTTCATCTTACTCCGGCGGAGTCGGCGAGGCTGAGGCGTGTGTCGTATCAGAGGCAGTTGGAGGCGGGGATGAGATGGCCTGGGAATGCGGGGTTGACGGCGGAGAGGGTTGGTGATGCGGAGCCGTTTTTGATGGTGAAGGGGGTGGAGAGGAGTGAGAGTGGGAGTGAGGTGGTATTGGCTGGTAGGAGGGGGGATGGGAGGGATTAGATTGGTTTTGAGGGGAAGGGGGGTATGGCGTGGTTATGACAATGGCGTATGATGGGAATGGGAATTAAGTTTTACTTGTTTGATTTATAAATAGCATGTTTAATTATGATAAGCAGTGACCAAAATACCCAGTATCTTAGCTAGTCTTGGCTAATGGTTTGACTGTCCAATTGTTTACCAGAGACTCAACGAACAACTCTCATTCACCGCTTCCTCCCTTTTGTACATACATTCTCAAATCACCAACAATCACATCCTTTCCCCCACATCTCAGTCTCAGTATCCCCCTTAAGCACTACCAATAGCAGCAACATGATCCGTCACCAGGCACTGATAATCACTAGTCCCATAGTAGATAGTATTCCCATCATCCGGCGACTTCCCGGTACTCAAATCATCACCATACTGCCAGAACAGATCCGCGCCGACGCCCGTTGTGCTGAGCGCTGTCTTCTGCCACGAGCCCTCCACACTGCAGTGGTTCGAGGTGACTCCGTATTCCTCCAGGAGACATGGCTTGCCGGCCGCTTTGCAGGCTGCGCCGTGGGCGGTGATCCAGCCGTTGCCCCAGTCGTCGGAGGTGCCCCCTTCATTTGATTAGTCTGGATATTGACGGCAAGGAGAGTAAGGGGGAGAGGGGTACGTACAGCTATCAGGGTACAAGTGGAGGGTACCAAAGTCAATAGTATCGATACCGAGGTTCATCGTAAAGTTCAAGCCCTCGGAGAATTGATAAGGGTAGCTGCCGTCCGAGTCGATGTTGAGACCGAAGCCCTCTACCTTTCATCAGCACCCACCATACAAAACTAAAATCAAGGACTGAGTATGGGGCAACTCACCATCACCAATACAAACCATACGATCCGCATCCAACCCCTTAATAAACTTACTCGTCTTCTCAATCCAGTTATACAACACAGAAGTATCGCAACTCGGACATCTCGGCTCATTCGCCAACTCCCACGCAAACACCGCCGAGGAGTTACTGTACCGCTCCACGACCGTCTTGATATATGTCTGATAGGCACTCTGCATGGTATCACTGGTATAGAAATCCGTCTCGCCGGATCCGCCATACGCGCTCACGTACGCAGACATACCACCGTAATCGGTCCAGTAGTTGACGAAGTTGATGATGAGTTTGATGTCGTGCTGTTCGGCAGACGAGACGACGTAGTCGAGGCGCTGGAGACCGTCGGCACCCGTGTTGATTGTCGATTTGCCGTCCTGGTGCAGTTGGTACCAGACTGTGCCGGAGGAGGGCTGCGAGGTGACATCGTTGAAGCCCCACACGCGGAGGATCTTGAGGCCGGACGACTTCAGGTGGCCCATGACGAGGTCGACGTCCGCGTTGTCAGTGAGGAAACCGATCCAGTAGCTGTTCGTTCCGGCGAAGTAGCCAGTTTCGCCATCAATGGTGAATTGGAGGCCGGAGGTGCTGGCGAAGGAGGTGGAGGCAGCACTGCTGCTGGTGCTCGGTGCAGGGGAGGCTTTCGGCAGAGCCGTGGAGACGTTGGCCAGCGCCAGGCTAGCCAGGGTGAGGAGGGCGTTGGAAAGCTTCATTGTGACCGTTTGATTGATTTCCTTTGGTTTGTTTATGATACTCAAGATATGAGGGTTCAGGTGCCTTTATAGCTAGCTATTCAGTGTCCCTTCCGTTTTCTGCTACACGGACGACCCTCCGTTCTGAAATAAGCAGTGGCCTGTAGGAGGAGCAGGAAGGGACTTTGGCTCCATCTCTGGACCACCCAGATACCGAGTTGAGAACGGAGCGGTGACGATCATCGTGGTAGGTAATCAATCTGCAGATGCAGGTGTTTTGTCCGTGCTCGATTCGGTATGGCGACACCCTCTGCCGTGTGTTTCAGATCCTCTGAGTGGTGGGATCCTGCGTCAGGGACGGCTGGTGGAGATGCCGAGTTACATGTGCGTTAAGACATTTTGATGAAGAACCTGCCGTTCTTTCTATATTCGTTGCTGATGTGGTTTCAGAGGTGATGGGCTGATGGGCTGATGGGGTGCGGACGAGGTGCGACCGGAGATGAGTAAGTTGCCTCCCTATTAATCATGTCAGTGAGAACGCGAAAGGTATGAGAATGCGAAAGATAGATCGGGTAGTGTACAAGTTGAGGTGAATCCATCAATGAAGATATTGATGCAAACAAAAATAGATCATGTATGATAGAAGATGGTCTAATTCTCTCACCGGTCGGCGTGGGGCACGCTGGATAACCACGTGTGTGGCAGCGGGAAGATCGGCGGATTCCAGTGCGTGTGACTCCAGAACCACTGGAAACCATCCATAAACAAAGTATAAGAAAAAACAACCCAAGATCAACAGTATCTCCAGTGCAAATCACCTGTCAGTGTCGTTAATACTTTCTCCCGTGCTAGTCTACTTGTGTAGTGGGTTAATGATGCGTATAACGGGTTTGTCATCCATGCTTCCGTTCTACTTCGCAACTATATATATTCGTGCCGGTATGTAGACAGTAAATAATACAATGGCTAGACTACCATGCTGTTTATAGTACTATTTACTCTAATTATCATGAAAGCAGCAGATTGTGTTTCAATAATGATGACAGTGATTTGATGCCTGATTTAAGTCGATATAGACGCTTCTCTCTGTTCCAGTGAAGGCAGTGTATCTACGTCGTGGCAGAATCAGGTATTGAGGACAAGGATGTCCCAAACACTATTACTGACCGATGGTTATTTTCTTTGATCTTTCAGTCACAATCGAACTATTGAATTGTATGCAATAGTGCCAAAGCAAGACAAAATTGAACTAGCAGTGTTGCACAACTGCCAGCCTACAATGTATCTGCGATGTCGAACTATGCCAGTGATAACTACGGCATACTGGTCAAACATCGCCGAGATAATACCCTTGTCAGTGCTATCCGAAGATTTGCCGTAAATTCCCAATGCGCGGAAAGGAAAAGCATGATGACAACAAATTCTACCCCTTCCTAGCTTGATCAGCTGCTCGCATGTCCTAGTTGCCCACAAACAGAAGCCTACGGCCGAACAACCACCCCAGCCCCGAGTCTGTTAATGCTGACACCTTAAATCCGAGTGAAAAATCCAACCTCATTGCGTGGCTCGGAGTTCACCCCACGCCCTCATATCCCCCGTGTATACTAGCCCAGCAGTCGTCCGACTGCAATGCAGGAAGCCAGACGACGGAGGGTAAAGTATGATCCGGAACACAGGGCTGAAAGACCAAGCACTGTCCCTGAAAGAGGAGACAGAGACAGAGTTTTCCATCCAGGTCTTCCATGATTGGCCCTTCTCGAGCTGTGTTGGTCGGCCCGATGCTAGAGAGTAGTACCATTGGGCCGGCAAGCCCAACGAAGCTAGCGAGCCGGCGTTAAGCATAATTGACTGGGTTAATATCGGCGTAAATTGCAGTGCGGCAGGTGACGAGCCGATGCTCGGGAGACATTCCTCCAGAGTTCGGACCTGGAAGTTTGGAAGGACATGGTCGGAAAAATGTTTCTGAGGACAAATTGTGGGAGGCGGCATGTGGGGAGCAAAATGTACCGAGCGGGGTGCGGGTTGGGTCGGCTTGGTCTGCCGTAGTCATATGGGGTAGGTTAGTCATCCATGTTCGTTGTGTCAACACATAGTCAATGACATCTAAATCTCCAGTTATAGATATCTAGATGATGTTGGTAGATAGAGTTTGATGTAGATCTATCTCTGCCAGGGGTAAGCTTATAATTAGCCACTCCAACGCTCATGTGGTTGACAGGGTGGTTCTGCATTGTCCATGTGTTGGTGACCAGACATTCATCCCATCCCCGTTCTCCCCAGCCTGGAGTAAGGGCGGCTCCCCGCGGAGGCAGATGCAGGGACACCACCCCAGATACCCTGTTTTCCCTCCCACCTCCTCATGCTGTTCGCATATGGCGCCATCACCGGTCACACTCTGCAGTCGGCTGACCAGATTTCGGTCGAGTTCACAGTTGAAGCTATCGCCTTGGAATCTTCGACCAGGATCTGGACTCTCGTCGCTACCGGATTCCGCGTCACTACGGAAGTGGCGCTGTGGCTGCCGGGGATCAGTTGAAACCAGGATTGACATGTGGTCTGGCGCGGAGAGGGTTCTTCCCAGAATTTCCCGGTTGCTGTTCCAGAAGGGCGGAGGAAAGCTGGGCCGGGGCCTCTTTCACGGTTCTCCAAAGCAGGCAGGTTCCACGGGGTTTCCGTTAGTCAGCCGGGGTGCCGCCGGAGATTGCGCCCCCATGTGACATACGTCATCTTGCATTAGCCGACCACGTGTGCCTGCTAACCCTAGCCCTGGGGATGACATCTTTTCCGGATGCAGGTCGATTGGTCATCTTCCCCGGTCGCATGGGGGTTTCTGGAGTGGTCAGGGACCATCCCACGCGAAATGAAGGGGAAGGGAGGGGGAAGGGAAGGAAAAACAACGCATATTATCGCTGATCATTCCTGGGTCGTATATTCTGATTTGCATAGCAAGATTATAGTCCAAAGGTTCTACTCTAGTGGTAAATTGAGCACGTCAGGTCAGCCTGCGTCGTCATGCCAAGGTGCAATATGCAGTCCGCTGACGATGATGTTGCAGCCAAGGCAGCCACAAAGCTTCGTTGGAACCAGTGGATGGTTCCAGAGCCAACCAGTGGTGTCGCCGAGTGCCACTGCACACTGTCTTGTGTGTGTGCGGTCGGCTCGGTCGGGATTTGTCGTAGCTGAGCGTTGCAGGTTTTCGTTGCTGGCTGAGGCCCTCGTCATGCCGTGAATCGGCCCCGATTCTCTCGGTCGGCCGTGGTCAGTCCCAGACGTTGAGGGCTGAATTTTCCTCGTAAGCGCAGCAAATTTTCGGGCAGGTGACCGACAGGAATCGGGATCGCTTAGGAGTTTGAATCGGTACAGAATGGTTTGGGATTGCAATGGCCATCTGCAGTTTTCCCCAGAAAATGTAGAAACGTATCTGAGCGTAGTTCGATCATGATAATGAACTGACGTCTACTAACCTCCGCATTTTCCCCTCTTTTCCCCCCCTCTGCAAGGACTGGGAAATCCGGGATGTAGGCTCACCGGTCAACGAATATGGGAAGGCACAACTCCCCTCAATCAACTTCTCCAGGTTGGCATCTCCGGCTCCTCCAGGAAATCCCTGCGTTGGGCTCTCCCACACTCCAGTCCACTCCAGTCCGTCTGCTTCCGAGCCACGAGCGGCGATTTGCCTGCCGAACTCTGGAGGCCTGCCCGATGCGGGTTAGCGCACCGGTCTAGTCCCGAAACAGTGGGTCGCCTCTTGCTCGTTAGCCCGTGACTGGAGAAAGAATAGCGGCTTCTCCACGTTGGGCAAGAATCCCTTTCGGTAGTGTGTAGTAGTATTGCTCGCCTCCCCTTCCTCTTTCACTTGGTCTTGCCCTCCTTCAGCTTCTCTGTAACTAAAGAAACTCGGCTGATTCAGCTGTTAGCAATAGTTAACACGGTATCCCGTCTCCCTCATTCCCGGCAAGTAAGCGTACAGCAAGCACTGTGTATAGCCATCCTCAAATCTATCAGTCTATCGATCTATCATCTATCAAAACAGGCTTCTAAACGACGCCATGTCATTCTGCCATCTTCCACCCCCGATCCATGGCTGTTCTCTAACATGCGCCTCCTATCCGAACCCCATTCTGACCCAATAATGTTGATCCGTTTTCATCTCTCCCGGCTAAAGTTCTGTCGCCAAACGCCAGTGCCGATGCGCTGAGCCAACGAGCGTCCGCCACCCGACCCTCCTTGCCCCGAAAGGGCCGTGGAACCCGAAGTTATGCCTGCTCCCCCTGGTATCGCCGGCCCTTCCCCAGCATTTCGGCGGTTCTGACTGGTCTATCGGTTTCGGCCGGCCGTCCATCGTCACTGGCTGACGGCCTTTCGCTCATGAATCGTCTGGTCGGTCTCCCCCGGCAGCACTCGCTGCCTCCTCCATCTGATGTCGGCTCTCCACAGGTCGGCTCTGACGCGCCCCCCTCCCCGTGGATCTCTTTTCCCTGGAGAATTTTTTTTCTCTGTCGTCTCATACGATGGGGGACATAAAAGGGCTTGCATCTCCCCAGATTCAACCTGTTTCAATCTTCCATCTCATCCCCGACAATCATCACTTATCTTGACTCTTACCCTACGGTGATCTTCAACCAATACCAACCTAGGGTCTCCTCCTTTCCCTCTATTTACTTTCCCTTCCTCTTTACATTGTCTCGGTTGACACCTTCCCTTCACTGATAAACACACGAAACACTCTCCACGTGTCCACCATGGGTGTCGAAACCTCCGCTGACCACGGGGAGAACATCTCCCCGGCGGTCGCTCCCCAGCAGCACTCCAGCCAGGAGTCTTTCCAGAAGCCTCTTGGCGGTGTTGACACCCCTGTCCCCCGCGTTACTCTGCGGGCCTTCATCATGGCCGTCTTCGTCTCCATGGGTGGTCTCCTTTTTGGTTATGACACTGGTCAGATCTCCGGTTTTGAGCAGGAATCCGACTATCTTCGCCGCTATGGTATGCAGAATGCCAAGGGCGAATGGTACCTGAGTGACGTCCGCTCCGGTCTGTTGACCAGTCTTCTGTCCATTGGTACCTTGGTTGGTGCTCTCGTCGCTGCCCCCATCGCCAACAAGGTGGGCCGTAAGTGGTCCATCACCATCTGGTGTGTCATCCTCATGGTCGGCTTGATTGTCCAGATCTCCGCCCCCTCGGGCAACTGGGTCCAGATGGTCATGGGTCGTTGGACCACTGGTCTGGGTGTTGGTGCTTGCTCCCTGCTGGTCCCCATGTACCAGGGTGAGAGTGCCCCCCGTCACGTGCGTGGTGCGATGGTCAGTTGCTACCAGCTGTTCGTCACCTTCGGTATCTTCCTGGCCTACCTGATCAACCTGGGTACCAACACCCTGGAGGGCACTGCCCAATGGCGGATCACCCTCGGTCTAACCTTCCTGTTCGCCATTGTCCTCGGTGGTGGTATGGCTTTCTTCCCCGAGTCGCCTCGTTTCGACTTCCGCCACGGCCGCGTCGACCGGGCTCGCGCTACCATGGCCAAGCTGTACGGTGTGCCTGAGAACCACCAAGTCATCCTTCAGGAGCTCGACGAGATCCAGAACCAGCTCGAGGCCGAAACCGGCAGCGAGAAGTGGTACGAGTTTCTCACTGCGCCTCGCATGTTCTACCGTATCTGCCTGGGTATGGGCCTGCAGACCCTCCAGCAGCTGACTGGTTCCAACTACTTCTTCTACTATGTATGTATCCCCTGCAGATATCTCTTCAAATAGTTCATAATACTAACCTGTCATAGGGTACCACCATCTTCAAGGGTGCCGGTCTGTCCAACAGCTTCGTTACCCAGTGCATTCTGGGTGCCGTCAACTTCGCTTGCACCTTCGGTGGTCTGTACACCGTTGAGAACTTCGGTCGTCGCAAGTCTCTGATCTTCGGAGCCCTGTGGATGTTCGTCTGCTTCATGATCTTCGCTTCGATCGGTCACTTCATGCTCGACGTCGCTGAGCCCGAGAACACCCCTGGCGTCGGTAAGGGTATGATTGTGCTCGCTTGCTTCTTCATTGCCGGATACGCCATGACCTGGGCTCCCATGGTCTGGACCATCACTGCCGAGCTGTACCCCTCCAAGTACCGTGCCCAGGGTATGGCTCTGGCCGTTGCTGCCAACTGGGCCTGGAACTTCCTGATCGGTTTCTTCACTCCCTTCATCACCAGCGCCATCGACTTCGCCTACGGATACGTCTTCGCTGGCTGCATGTTCGTCGGTGCCTTTGTCGTCTACTTCTTCGTCATGGAGGGTAAGGGCCGTACTCTCGAGGAGCTGTACTGGCTGTACGTCAACAAGATCAAGCCCTGGAAGAGCAGCAATTTCGAGATCCCTGCCCTGCACTCCTTCCAGTACGAGGAGGAGCGCAAGCAGTCTCGTTCTTACCACGCTGAGAATGCGTAAATATTGGTTTTGGAGTTTTGGGAGATTGTCTATATGTTGATGGCTATGGCTTGCATGATACTATTGCATGTTTGCATGTTGCATGATTCGCATGATACCTTATGTTTTTATACCATGTACTGTTAATTCATTCTAGAGTTGATGCATCAGCTCAATTTCAAAATTTCATTCTAGAGTCCGATTCCGCTTCTTTCCTGGCTTTTTGTAGTGATTGGTATTGATTCATCTGAATAGGGGTCCTTGAGAGTCAGCCTTGAATAGTAATTGTATTCATAGTTCAATCTCTAGATTCATCAACCGATAATTGCAGCTCAAATTGATTAATCAACAACCATCCCTTCACCTTTCCTCTTCGTCGTAGTTCATAAAATTCACCCGAACCAACAGTGACAAATTCCCTCATTCAATAACCTTGTCATAGTAATTCCAAATAGTCCACAACCAACCACATAAATACGCCAAAACCCTCCTCAACACACCCAACCAACAAATCCCCTCACACTCACTACCTCAACTTCCACCACGGCAGCACAAAATGCTTCGCTGCGCCACCGAACCTAACGTCACGTGAACACCAACATCGCCACCCTCGCCACTCCCCCCAACCAATCAGAACAACGGAGCTTGTCCAAGGATGACACCGAGACATCTCGAAGCGTCGATCGGCAACATGCAACGCTTATGCTTACTTTTGAATTCGTGGAAACTTCCCGTCCACCACATGACCCCATCCAACCGGCATGTTCCCGTCATCAAGCCTATCTCTTTATTCTAAAGTATAATTTTGGGAATCTGCCAAATATCCGTATTAAGGGTGTCTCCGTCGCTGTGTCGATGGTTTTATTCTTTGTGTCACGTGAGGAGGTCACGAGGTGGTATATAAGAGAAGACAGAGGTACCAGTTTTGTGTACTTTTTTCCCTCTGCATGGGGGGAGATGTTGGGTAGGACATGGTTTCTATTCATATAATCATGGTGGATTGTTTGTGAGTTATGTCGTCGGGGACGTATAGCTATCCAAGATGATGTCTCCAGTCTGGTCTTCCTGCCGGCTGATGGGAAATCGTTCTTGGAAGGATGGATGCTGGAAGAGACATTTACTGCGCGCTATGTCGTGCGGTGAAGTGTGGGATGGTACCTGCATTGATGAACCGGTCATGGTTTGGAGATATAATCTATGCTGAAGAAGTTTTCTTTTCCAAGAAGATGACACCAATCTGGTCTTCCTGCCAGCTGCTGGGAAATCCTTCTCGAAAGAGTACCAGAAGCTAGATCTCATGTTGCAGGGGCCTGCACAATGATACATGCGATCCTCTATTGTTCGTTATGAGATGGTACCTGTACCGATGCCCAGGTCATGGCCTTGGGTAGTGGGAAGTTTCAAGGCCGTATTCCAGAGAGACTTCGACATGGCATTGCGACTCGCTCTGAATAATGATGAAAATACATGTCGAGGGGAGGCTATACGTTCCCTAACAACCTCCAAACCTATTATGGTCTTCCGGTCGGTGGGTTGGATAGCTTCCCTGATAATAACGGTATAGATTTACTACACCAGGCTTGGGTTTTGGGGATATTTTCTCCACTCTTCCACCACCTCTCCGACTTTCGCACTTACGCTCTGGATAACACTGATATATATTGATACGGGCAATAAGTACGTGAAGGGTGAGGGATGTCAGACTTTCTCACCAGCTATCTTTGTCTATCTCGACCAGCTAGGCATGTCCGGGTGTCTCGACCGCGACGAAGGGCTGGATTACGTTATACTCCAGAGAGAACAACTGGAAGACTTTCGATTAATGGAGAACGGAGAAGAAACCATGAATGCTTCTTATAATTAATATCCAAATACAACAATTTCTCGCGTTTCTCTGCGGGTATGGAAAACTGGCTCACCCGCACGGCTCGTTGCGAACTTGTCGAAAACCAACAGCAGAAGGAACACGGCATGACTGGAGAACATAATTATCACTATCAGAAAACTCCAATAGAACACGAAACTCCCGGATCGAAGCGCTCTGGAATAAATATGGCCAGTGAGGATGTGACTGTCTGTTTCAGGAGCCGGGGTAAGGGTTCACAGTACATTAGTGCTGCAACGACGGGGTTACTATATTTAGCTCGGCGCTTATGAGGAACGCCGGAAGGCCATGGCCAGTCAATATTTTCTTGATGAGGAAGACTGACAGCATTGGCGCGTATAGACTTTGGGACGTCCAATAGATCAAGAGGGTGGTATGTGATGATGCGCACTTACGCAGTCCCTAAGAACATGGACTATAAAAGCGGGAGTCAGACATCGTCTTCTGAATCTATAACTATCCATCTACATTCTTCCTACTATAATTCTTTTACCAATACACCAACCAAATTTAATACTCTAACACCAACCAAACAACTTAATAACCACCTACACCAACAAACCGTCCTAATAATAACCATCAACCGCCACAATGACTATCACCATGTTCACCCCAATCGAACTGCCGCCAACCTACTATATATCCCTCCACATGAACGTCCCTATATCCCCCCTATACCCCTGGGGGATGCCATATACCAGATCCACAAGTTTCTCCCACACCACTACCATCTACACCAACACCAACACAAACACCACCACCATCGAACGCAAGGACAGTGGCATCTGCATCCCATCAAATACCACTTCCCGCAAACCAAGCACCATCACAATCAACCCAAAACCAACAACAACAACAACATACGCTGCACCCTCCCGCTGGACAACCCTAACCTCCCCAGCCGAACAGACCAAAGCTCTCGACTTCCTAACTAACAACTACCACACAATCCAAACCCTCCAAGCAGCCAACTACACCATCACCCCAGACACAACAAAGAACAACATCCGCTTCCAACAAACCCCAAGCACCAACGACCCCTCCGCCCGTCGTGCAGTCTCCTTAGACTGCGAGATGGTAACCGACACTACGGGCCGTACCCAACTCTGCCAAGTGAGCATGGTAGATGTCCTCACGGGGGAACTCCTCCTCGATCAGCCTGTGCTGCCAAGCGAGCCTGTCTCCGACTGGCGTACGAAGTGGAGCGGTATGACCGCCGAACTCATGGCGCAACACGTCGCCGCTGGAAGAACGGTGAACGGGTATGAAGGGGCTAGAGCCCGTGTGTGGGAATACATCGACCAGAAGACGATTCTGGTCGGTCAGAGTCTGAATTTCGACTTGGATGTGTTGGGGATCGTGCATGAGAGGGTCGTGGATACGTATCTTCTTATGAGGGGGCAGAGGAGAGGGAGAAGTTGTCGCCTACGCGATGTCGTGCGGGATTGTTGTGGGGTCGAGATTCAGAAGGGAGAGGAGCTGGAAGGGGGGCATGATTGTGCGGAGGACTGTTATGCTGCCAGAGAGGTGGCGCTGTGGGCTGTTGAGCATCTCGGTAGAGATGAAGGTGGGGGTAGTACCCGAAGTTTTTGTGTTGAGAGTTTCATGTAATCGGTACTACTTCCCGATGGAGGGTTATGCTTCCTCGTGTGGAGCTATAATTATACTTTCTCTGCTTCGCGACAGCATTTATCTCAAGAAGCATGAGTCCCATCGATGACAAATTTCAACTGTCTTCTGCATACTTTCCTGCGACATGCTACTGTATACCTCGTGATGCTGAGTGGGCTACGTTCCACGGCTGGACTCTAAGGGTGGATACTTATGATACCACTCATGTCAACTACTGATGGATGGCCAGGAATAAAGGATGGACAAATACTATAACACTGCTGTCTGGTCGTGGCTGGCTCACAGCACTTTGGGCTGTGATTGGAATATGGAGTGAGCTTCATGGCTCCTTTCTATTTGAGATGGTTCAGATGGCGCAGAGCATCATGCTTTCTCTATATAACTGATGAATTGACTAAGTTGAGATACCCAAATATGTTTTGAATCAAATGACACTATCTACTATGGTTTTGCTGCTGTGTCCGTTTCTCGATCGCAGGCGTAGTGACTCATAGTAGTATGTAGCTGTAAGTATGACGAGATATTTATGCAATAGAAAACGGTGGAAAGTAACATGCATCTAAATGACATATGCGTAAGTTGTAA